CCTAGGTAGACTCTTGTTATGTACTTAATGTGTGTGCAGAAGAAGTTCGTGGCGTTGGCTTCCTTCTACAATCAGTGTACATATTGTGAAACTACCCCCTCACCACTCCGGTACTTTCCATATTCGCTTCCTTGAAAACAAAGTTGAACAAACTATCCAACTTGACCAATAGGTACAAACTAATGACGATGCACGGCCATGAGTAGGCACGTGGGCACATATTGTTGATTGTTATGTCATCGGCGTCCGGCAATACCACATCATATCGTATCATTTGCATCGCATCGTATATGTGGTTCGGCGTTGACCGTGGCCGTGCCGTAGACTAGCCAAGATGGGCCGCGATATGGGATATGGGTAGCAACACAATCGATAGCAGTCTGGGCCCTTTCTTCTAGAAATGTTCCATGGTGGTGTGCCAGTGAACTTATTCTACTGACGATCTAGATCCTCCGTGAATCCTGCCATACACAAGAGTGGTGGTCCTACGTGATTCTTGTCATACACCTACCTAACCTGGACATCTATGCATCTACTTAAGTAAGTGCTGTACTTAGTGGTCATGTACCAAGCGTATGTACTTGCCACCATACGAATAACGATGAAATTGTATCCATGACCATCGACTGATTATTATTGCCTGTGCAGATTTCCTGCATAGCAAACCCTAATCTAACCTGACATTCTCTCAAAGTTAGGGCGACATGAAGCTGAATCTTCCATGAAGTCATGATTTCCTTTCCCATACTAATGACTCCTATTCTCATCTAGTATACCGTACTGCATGCACCTCAAAACGTTACTCTAATTCTTCCACTCTATCAAGGCCCCCCATTAGCATCAACACAATTATACACACATTGGAATATATCCACATGATTGCTCGGTAAGACCCAGCCAATATTGCTGCGACATAAGATTGTATCTCCATGAGCAAGATGAGAAACCATGGCTCGGACAAATGAATCTTGGTGTGGTATGCCTACGAAGTACTATGCGCGATCATGCACATCACATCACGCCCCAATGTTGGTTTTTCCCCCCTTGGGGGCCTCGGGCCAGGCAGCAGTCCTATGCGAGACAGCATCGACGCTCCAGCGTTCCACCAGTATATACACGGATCCAGGATGTAAATACACGTGTATTTGCAGATCTGTGCATTTGTTCACTTTTATATGTAAAGCCAGGGGATATAGTCACACGTATATGTAGTTGTATCGTATCAAGCCGAGGCGTGATATCACGTCCGACCCAGGCTGCCTAGCCTCGCAATATAGATACGTGAAGATCTCGAGCGTCTATTGAGTATGTCACATCACCCGTGATACTTCAAAGGGCCCTGTGGAATGTTTGCCTCACTTAGGTGTCTAATAAGGTCGCCGTCGCTTCGTGACGAGATCCCAGCAATCTTGCCCGGTGTGATTGAAGAAGGTTCAGCCTCCATAGAACTAGCCAAACTCCTGTTTCCAAAATGCGCCGTCAGCCTCCTTATTTCCAGTAAGGTGTCCTGAAACCGGAAGGCTAATCACGAGGAAAACTGGAAAGATGGTCGTTCAGCCTCTAGGCAGGCTATGAGGATGGGAGGTCAGCCGCCCTGGCTCGGCTGCAACTAGCCTGCCTGCTTCGAGGCTATCTACACTGAGTCCCAACGATGGCGGCGAACTTTGATGACCGGGCGCTTACAGTTAGCATGTTCGGGTTATGTGTGCACCAATGTAATCTCTAAACCCATAAGTCTTCTACCCATTTGTGATTGTTGGTATTGTAGGACTAGGCAAGGGAGGCCTGCCTGTTCCCGCGTGACTTACATGAGGATTGATTGACTCTATCTTCGGCTTGGAATGGGGGAGGACCGAAAGGGTAGGCCGAGTGTAGGATCTTAACTGTCAGCTAATATCTCCCGTTCGCTGTGATCTCACGATAGTTTCTTCATCGTCGAAGTCACGTCATAGCCGATAGCGGAGAGGGAAGGAGGGACAAAAGCGCGAGAGGAAGCCGGCGGATAGTTAGCAGGGATGCCCTAGAATCATCGCCACAGCGGAGGTGGCGGAGTCACCGCGGCACATGAGCATGTAGCTAGCTGTTGACTTTGCCATCCTGTATGGCGCTGACTACCAACCAACCTATCTACCTAATAACAACAATTTAAGATTTTGAGTTCTTTGGCAATGCGAAATTTTCAAGTCACGATGTGCGTCATGCTATTCCGTCGGAGTTCTGGGGATTTCTCGAACCGTGTCGCGAGACCGCGTGACTACGAGGTAGCCACTTAGGCGTATCCCTATTTTAGCAAGTTTGCGACTCACGCGGGATCCGGCTATCTACGGCCGAGAAACCGGTGACGAGGAAACTCTTTTGGACACAGCTGAACATGACGCCAAGATGACTCCCGTTTGTCACCATCGTGGGCCTCGCTGCCTACCCTCGTCTAACAGTCTGCTTACAGACTTTCCCTTACCTAGCTAGACGAGACCCCGCGCCACAAGCGGAGTCGCGCACGGGGTAGAATAGGACTCTGTGAGGGAAGAAGACAGTTCCCACGCATAACATAGCAATAATGCCGGGCTTACGAAAGCGATTGCAGCCTACGCAGTCTGTGCGTTCTGCGACTTGACGATGCCAGCCGCTTGCCAAACATACCTACGTGTAGCTGTATCAAGCGCGTGATTCGCAGAGTAGTGTAACAGCTTTGTTACTCTCATCACCACGGGAGCAGGAAAGAATCAAACTCTAGAGCGGACACGGATACAACATGAACTGAGACAATTTTGCATTATGGCGCAAGTTATCTGCGGTCATCAAAGCGGCTTACGGGCTGCAAGATGTCACCATCGTAAACGGAGTATTACTCCGGAATCCGAGTAACAGGGTAGTGTACCGTTTATCTTTGCCACGAATGTCTGCGGCATATGTAGATTCAACTCAAAACTTGAGTTGCCGTCCCTTACTGGCTTGATCTCAATGGAATTTGAGTCGCACCTTGGTGTTTGTCGTGTTTTATAACTGATGCTCCTTTTTAAAGTGGCGATCGTCATTGTACGCAGCGGAGCTGGTGGTCTCGGCGGTATCGGGAGCGTAGGGTTCTTGTGTTACGGACTACAGACGTTGACGTGGGAGTGTTTGCCGTGATTCTAGTCAAGATACACACTTTCGTGCTAAGCTCGGTGCATTGTCGGCAGTAGTATGTACTTGCCGGCCTCGGACAGGTTGGCTATGACTTTCGGGCTATAGAAATAAGTCTCACATTCGCTTACCTAGAGATAGATTTGGTGAACCCGAATAGGTGTCGCCATGTTAGGGGGCTACTGGAGATAAATACCTGTATCAACACTTCACCCGTGAAGCTTGAAAAATGACTCACAAAATTGTATGATTTAGCCACACCATAGTGATATTTTACCTAAGCGCGTCACACAACCGACCACAGCATCATTATTGACAGAAGGGTTCTCATTTTGCGCATCAGCTAAGCATGCAACATCGAATAGGGAGCAGAAGTGGCACGCCGGCTTAGTCAGGAATTGTATAGTGGGCGGCTGTTGAACAGCATGACAACTATGCTCTATTGTTCACTATACATGTTGCTAGAGGTGTGTGATGACATTTTGTGTGAGCAAATCGTTCAGACTTATGGGTATTTATCTCATAACCGCAATAAACAACTGCTGGAAAATAGGTATCGGGACTCATCTTACACCAAGATCTATAAAAACAGGTATTTTCTATCTATGCTATTAAAGTGTCCAACAACGGCAACGATGCTTATACTCCTGCCATACATACCTGTCTCAACGATGCCAAACATGAATGGAGAACACATCATAGATCTACCGAATAAGGTCCTAATATCAAAACTGTACATCCCAATAAGGGGGCTGCGAAAACGTATATCACCTACAGGTACGAAGTTGGATTACCAGCCTACCAGCTATACACTCTGCCTTATCGTGATACCAGTTCTCGAGAGCCTCGCTTGGGCTTACTGTGCCGTAGCCGAAAGCAAACAGCATGAAGGAGGTACACCTTCTATATTTCAGTAAGCAGAGCTCGGATAGGTAGAAACAGGGTGATGTATTCTTGCCTCTTGCTACGAAGAATCATCAAAGACATGTAGCTCTATATATCTATAACGTCCAAATAGACGTATTCAAACGCCCAGATAACCCATACCTACCAGCGTAAAACAAGCAAAACTTCCGTAAAGACGAGATTACACCTTTCTCATATTTCCATTCACCCACTTTCACCATAAACACCATCCTGACAATCAGCCTTGAGCACCATCTCTCTATCCAAATTCCAACTCAACACATTCCACGTTCATCTTACACAGCAAGGCTTAAAGTCGTTCACTCAGGCATAGCCATACTACTCTAACTCCTTACCAACTCAAAACAAGACACAGACAGATTTCTCTCTCACCGTGACTCTCCAAACAGATAATAACTTATATACACCCCGACACAGAAACAACGGACTTAAAAAACTCATGTCACTAATCAAACAAGATGCTCCAAAGTCTCTCCGATAAATCCCCATCAGCCCGGCGCAATCAATTACACCAGATTTTCTCTCACCATTGGCGTCATATACAAACTAAAGACACAGAGTCAATACCTCGATACCACACTCTCAAATATGTGAAAGGCAATAACTCGCTACATAGGTACGAGACTGTTATCTGGTCACAATTACGTCTACTGGAGTCGGTAATACGTTGGGTGATTTATTTATTATCACCGAGGCAAATAAGGTAGTACATAGTCGCGGCTCAAGAGATTACGAGGGAATAAGTAAGATGCAACTCAACGATGTGTGTATTTTCTCCTCATCTACCGAGTTCATTATGAAAGCGACCTGGTACCCTTCAAGGCAACTGCTGAGAGTTGTTCTCTATGATACATTCGCCATTCTGACGGCATTCCCATTGCAAGGACCTTCTCGTTTTCTCAAGTTCTCTTAGAGGCCTGAGAAGCACCTACAGCTTGAAACGTTGTCTCAACGTCAAACAAGAAATAACGCGGAATGAGAGGTTTACTACCAGTCTGAAGCGCCATTCGCATTCCCGCCGGCATTACCACCATTACCATTAGTAGATGCACCCCATCCATCTGTATTACCGCCGCCGTTATTGCCATTCGGGGTAGCGGAGTCACCACCTGCGCCCCAGCCATCTCCACCAGCATCGCCAGTATCGCCACCACCGGCAGCCCAACCTTCACCACCCTCGCCTGGGTCTTCTTCGTCAGTATCATACTCAAACTTCAGCTTCGAAGCATTGTCGCCCTCGGGTTTATATTGCTGAAGGAAGTCTGGAATCGCTTGGTTGGTCTCCATGAGTGTCATCGTGAGAAGGGGTGCGATTGGCTCATCCCGTTCAGAGTAAAACGAGGTAGCCAGGCCGTGGTGGCCAATTCGTCCCGTTCGCCCTGCGTTACGTTAGTATGTGGAGTGATAGATCAAGTAGAGGACGATTACCAATGCGGTGAATGTACTCTTGAATCCCGCCATGTTCCATGCTTGGAAGGTCAAAATTGATGACATGCATCACGTTGCGAACGTCAATGCCACGAGCAGTGACGCCAGTAGTAATGAACAGAGGCGTCTTCCCAGATCTGAATGCTCTCATAGCATCTTCGCGCTCTCTTTGAGTACGGTCAGAGTGCATGGAAGTACAAGGAAGGTCCTTGTTGAACAAGAAGTCGTCGAGCTCATCCGCCATCCTTTTGCTGTTCACGAAGATGATAGTCCTTGCCGGCTTCAGCGTATATAGAAGATCTAGGAGCGCTTGCTTTTTCACGGATGACTCCACATATACGACATCTTGTTTGATATTTTCATGCGTACTTCCAACGCGCCCGACTTTGATACGCACGTAAGTCTCAGCGAGATGCGTCTTAGCGAGCTGTCGAACCGCAGTGGGGAACGTCGCAGAGAAAAGCATATATTTCACGTTACCCTCCTCCTGCTCTATTATGGACGTTAGTTGGACCTAGGGGCATGGGGGCGTGTCAATTTACCTCCACCGCCGAGAATTTTGTTGAACTCATCCTCCCAGTCAGCTTGCAGCAACTCGTCGGCCTCATCAATGACCATATACTTGACTCTGCGAAGGGATAACACGTCGCCTCGTTCCATCAGGTCAATGAGACGGCCGGGAGATGCAACGAGAACATCACATCCACGCTGGAGGTTTGCGATTTGATCACGTAAGGGACCTCCTCCATAGATGGTACATGGGCGCAGCATGGTGCGGTAACAGAACTTGCAAGCCTCGGCGAAAATCTGGATTGCCAGTTCGCGGGCGGGTGCAACGACGACGAGCAGAGGCTCCGCACGGGTACGAGTGCCAGCGGCTGCATCATCTGGGTGAGGACGAGGTGCAGCAATCTTCTTCGCTTTACCCATAAGATGATTGATGATGGGTACTAGGTAAGCGGCTGTTTTACCCGAACCTGATTTTATTGTCAGTACACAGTATAATAATCTTTAACCTGCTAGTAAGGAGACCATCACGTACCAGTTTGGGCAATTGCAAGCAAGTCATAACCCATTCTAATGGCTGGAATACAATATCGTTGAATTGGAGTTGGAGTTCTGTAACCAGCTAGCTCGACATTTCGAAGCATTATTGGGTGCAAACCAGCATCCTTGAACGAATTGATCGGCTGAATTCGAGCAATGCCCTCTTGGATGACATTGATTCTGTCAATTCTGTTTCAATTCAGTAAGAGCTGGACACGAATACAATCTTTTGCTGCAACTTACACGTTGAAATCGATGCCTTGCGGATCACGCGTCTCAGGATCTCCAAAGAGCGTGAACTCAAGCTCTGGATATTCGGGACCGACATCTCCCTCTTCCCCGTCCCATTCATAGACTCTCATATTGCTTTCCCAGGTAACATTCTCGTTACCCTCCTTGTAGTCATTCTGGGTTTTCTCGCCCCAATTCCCACTAGGAGCGTCTCGATGCACGATCGCCCCATTCGCAGGTTGGGTGCCGTTGCTCACATCCGCAAGAGCGGCTCTCATGCCATCGTTGTTATCCCAGCCCGACATGGCGAAGACAGTCAATCGTGGTCAATCTTGCAATTTTCTGTAAGGGAGTTAGAACCAAGGCAAGGTAGTAAGTGTAAGAGAGGATAGCGCATTCTAAAACAATGACTATTGTACACCGATATTTGATGAGGGGCGAAGATAGTGTCGTAGGTGAATCTGTTTGTGTAGTGTAACAATAGTCAAACGAGCCGTCCTTGCCCATGCCTGCATACAAACAGGCAAACTGCCGAGACATACATCAATTTGTGTAGAGAGACTTGACCTACCTTAATGCTGGCGTTCAAACCCGAGGCCTGGTCAAACGTGGCTATGAATATGTCAGTAGGCTCATGAGATGTATAATTGTAGGACAGCTTAGACCAAGGACAGGGTAAAGGCAGGTTGGGAGGAGCAGAAGCTTACCAACCTGTAATGGCTATGAGAAGCTAGCCAGATACCTAGTGAGGTTAGCTATGTATCAAATGAGTGGCAAATTTAAAAAGAGAAACCAGGCAATGGGGTTGAGCTCATATGAGGGCCTTCTAGTCAAGGCTAGATTATGTTGCATGAAGCTCCGGGTGTTGATCAACACGTAGTAGAGACTCACAGTCAGCTGAGAGATATTAGCTGAGACTCAGGAGGCCACGTAGCTTATAGAGTGATCGGACGTCAGGCTTGAGAACCTGTGCAGTGAGGAACAGCAACACAAAAAGAAGAAATGAGAAAAACGACTGAGAGGATAGAGACTGGAGAGGAGTCTTGTCCGCCAAGGGGACTGTCTAAGAATTCGGATAGAGGGGCAGGTCAAACAAGATGAATCCGAAAAATTAGTTGCTTTGTTGAGTTGGGATCGAGTTGGAAGTGAAATGGCGAGGATATTTGGGACTTGAAGAAGCCGAGTGATAGAGGGGCAAGAACGCTTGGAATGACCTCAACCCGGAGAGCCTTCATATGCTCGGCAGGTGAATACTCACCGATAGGCCCTGGGACCTAGTTCCAAGGTTGAAATATAGGTGAAAGGCTGGAAGTGTGCGGGAAGAACCAGGCTAGGATGGGTGAAAGAGGGGTGAGTGTATGTATAAGTGTTGGTTGTGTTTGGAGAGGAAGATAGGTGCCACTGGCAGAGATGCTCAGCTGGAATGCGAGATGGGGCGTACTAGGTAGGGTGTTGAAGAAAGACAGACACCTAGAAGAACATGTTATATGTGAGTGAACAGAGCTTGATACTTACTGTACTGATCTTGCAACTGTCTCTACTACTTGACCGATGGGCAGGTAGCTTGGAAGAGACTGGCAAGAGATAAGGCTGGTACCCACGAGACCGTCGCAAAACAAGTGGATGGCGTTGGTGGGAGTAAAAAAAAAAGAGAGAGAAGGAAGGAAAGGAGGAGGAGGAGGAGGAAGTCAGTGAAGGATCTTGAAGGCAGAGATACAAGGGGACCTGCAAGTACCTAGGTAGAGATAGGTAATGGGGAAGTGACTGCCTTAGGATGTGTCTGAGCTTCTGATCGTGACTGCCAGGAGCGACGACAAGCCTGGAGATAGCTGAATGTACTGTACCTATGTACCTATATGGTCATGTTATGTTGCTAGTCGCTGACATGGTGTGTAAACAAATGACATCGTGATACTTGGGTACCTATGATGGTGTCCATTATCAGAATAATGCCAGCCGCCGAGTAGTAAACAGTTTGGTGATTAGAGCTAGACTATCTAAGTATCTGCTTTATGATGAGTTGGAAGACACCTGGGCATGTGAATTCAGTCTTGGAAGGGCCTCCAGAGAGTATGAAACCATCAAAGACCATACCTTAGATAGGTAGCCTTATAGAAACTCACGGAGGTGGATTGACTAAGAGAGGGATGAATCACAGGAGGTTGCTGCTCATTGATCAGCTATATAAAGAACTAGGTCGCTGCTGAGAACTTGGCCTTGTATGATATTTGCATTGATACCCATAATTACATGATATAACCTGTCCAGATATCTTCATCTTCATCGGCTCTAAAGGTTCGCTCGCAATCATCCATTCCATCTCTCAGTGCTTTATCAAGCACGGCTGCTGCTCGTCCAGCAGCACCGCCTTCCTTTTTAGCCATATCAACGCCAGCCTCGACAGCTTCCATGAACCGCTTGGCGAATATCTCCTGTCTATCTTCCCGATTACGATATATCTCACCGTCTTCATCTCTAGGCGGTTTAAAGAGCCCCAGGTATCCAAATGGGTCAGGAGTCCTAGGAACCATGCTGATATTGTCGACCCAATCGTTCGGGTTCCATGGATTGGCAATCTCAGGCTTAAGCCCGAATTCCAGAAATTTGGCCAATACCATCATCTGCCGGGGGAACGACTGACCAAACTTCTTAGAGCCAAACGTAGTTCGTGGTGCTGAGGTCCAGCCGGCCTTCGTAGCAGGCGTTGGCGCCGTCGAAATTGTCCACCCCAATACTGACATAAAGTCTTTCAACGGCTTAACCCAACAGCCGGGGCTGGCGACCAGTTCTTCACCCGCAACATCAAGAATCCATTCCATGTAGTTGAGGCCATCATCCTTAATATCCTGTGATAAGTGTGTCATTGCGCCCCGTATATACAGCATCGCCTTCTGGATGTGTGGGCGGACCTCGTCAGCTGGGAGCTGCTGGAGGAGTTTCAGAAGCTGGCCACGAACGGATTTCGAGGAATCCGGCATCAATGGCAAAACTTTTTGCAGAAGCGTAGACGTGCCGACCGGATTGGTTGGTGGATTCGTCGAGAGCTGTCCTGTGAGGTATGATAGCGCATCTCGACGTTGAGTGTCGGTCCGAGAACTCGTTAGGGAGAGTTGATGTTTAAATCTCTCTATTACACCGGGCGCGGTTTCTGAGAGTTGCTGTTGCAGTACGATAGCTACATAAGACTGATCAGTCGAGGAAGTTGATTACGATAGACTAAGTAAAAGACGCTCGGCTCACATTTCGACTTGAAGCTAGTGTCGGTGAAGTTAGAAGCCTTTGGTTTCGTCTTGCCAACCTTCAACTTGGGCTTCTGAAAGTCCTTCTTCTTCTCCTTCTTTTTCTTGTCACTGGAACCCATCTTGTCTTGGTCATTGGGGCGGCTTGATCCGCAACGAAGCAAGCTTCGTGAGGCGATCTATCGCTAACTTCGAGTTGCCGATGGGATCTCTCTCTGCCAACGCTCACATCACGATGAACTTTTTGGCGGTAGCTCGGGGCAGAATTATAGAGGGATATACCGCTGTGGGGCTAGCTCTTAAGCACCCTAGTAGAGCCAATAGCCGCTACACTACATATTACACTGCTGTAAGTAGGTATGACAACCAGTAACTCAGTGCCACCATACCACTTTAATGACTTCTCCTTGTCCCTCCAGGTTAGGTACCTACCTACTTAACTGTTAACTGTGGCTGAAGCTCTGGGGTATCGCGCCTGGAACCCCGCCAATTCTATACTTAGTATGCTGATGCCTCTCTATTTCGCATATATATGTAAATCTTAAGTACACGTTCGCGACCTCAGTTCGACCTGAAGTTTTATCTAGAAAACAAGGTGTGGTAAGGAGTATTACTGGATCATGGCAGAGAAAGGCCTAGTACGTTAATCTGGACGATACCAATATCGCGTACCACACTGACCACAAGAGTTAGAACTCGGTCAACATCGATTCGATGGAGGAAGCCTTGCATCGACTATCCAAGAAGCCAGGCGTCAAGGCTTGGCTTACGCTTGATCGCTCGAATGGCGCCGTCCTGAAGACCAATGGTCAGATTGCCACCGTTCGACCTGCGAAATCGTCCTCAAGCGCCAACAACTCTTCCTCACTGCCAACGCCGACCGGCGGATCCTTCTCGACCGACGTCCAGACTAACACAAACAATGAAACCTTAGCTGCGCAAGAGCTGGCGAGTCTGGTGTGGAGCTTCCTCACTTCAGCTGGGAGCTTGGTGAACGACATAGATGGCGAGGTAAGACCTTGAGAGATATCTATATATAACTCGCACTTGATGCGTCTACTTAAGAGAGGGTTGATTGGACAGGTATACGAGCTAACTACGCACGTGTTCGAAATAGGATGAATTGAAGCTGCTGAGGCTACGCACCAAGAAGCAAGAGTTCGTTATTGTACCCGAACCGAAGTACCTGCTCGTGGTTGTTCATGATACCCCACCGGCGTGAGCCTTGCTGTATGATCACGTTTGGAGTTGGGATGATGCGGCCTGAAGGCTGCTATCGAAGATCTGTTTGGCGCGAAATTAACCCCGATTTTCTGAGATATTTCCGATGGACATTTGGAGTGTTGCTTGTTGGCATTGAAAGGCGTTTTGGAGAAAATGATACCCACAGGTTAAGGAGACGAAGTATTACAATAGCCTAAGACAACCATTCCCATTTCGATGCTCGGAGGTCTCCCTATTACTTCACCAGCTTGTTCATGGCTCTGAATATTGCCTGGAATTGGTGCTGATTGCTCAAGCTCATATGCTATTATGCCATCACTGTTTATCAGCAGGGTCAAGTGACGGCGCTGAAAATGACGAATGAGGAGCAAGATGCGAGTATAAGCTGGATACTTCCGTATCTAAAAGTATTATCGCATGTTACCGATTTCAGCAGGTCTTACCGTCGAACGTGGTACGCAGCCCTACATAGATGAGGCTGTCATAATCTTTCGCATGTTGAGTGGCAACATCCTACTTTGTACGCACAGGTCTACTTTCACCAGATAACATTGGATGGTTTGAGGGGCCTCCGCGGCCACAGCCGTCAGCCACTTGAAACCACCATCCCGAAGGCCATCGGGAAGAGGCGTGTATATAGAACAACCCTAGCCTCGACGAGACGTTTAAATAAGACGGACGAAAAAGCAATGAGCTTACAGCAAAGCCACAAGCGAGTTCATTGATGTTATGGGCTCAGGGCCTGTCGCTTCAGCTAGGCGAAGGGTTGCGAAAGTAACCCTCCTCAGATACCTAGACTCCAGCCAACAATGCAGTGTAGGTCGGTCCTTGACCTGAACGGGATTAACATTCGCACCGGGGTTGAGAAGTAGTAGACAATGCATACAATGAGGCCGCAAGGTCAGGTGGCGTCTTATCACTATATCATAGACGATCATTATCTTTTTTGTACATTTATGAGTACACGATGTGACCCAAAAGACCCCCCCTCCTCCCCCCGCGCGGGTTGGCTAGTCCTTTGCAGGTTTACAGTGAAGTTGGAATTGGCAGTATGCTCATATTTACTGAAATAAGGAGGAGTCTGGAACTCGATACGGTCATGTAATGATGCGGGTTTCTGGGCTCTCCTGACCCACAGCTCGCCGACCTAAACACGTCGCTTTCCGAAATACCTTAGTGCTAAACTTGCAAATATATCAATCAATCGCATTGCCTAGGCAGATCAGCCATCGTAAAATCATCGAGGAAGCATAAGCGGTTCAAGTTCGTTGGCTGAACTAGAGCGTGGCCTGATCAGTCTAGTTCGGCCCAGCTTGAAACTCATAAGCACCACGTAAGAGTATCCGCCCAGTAGTTGTACAGCAATTATTGGGTGTGTATGAGGATATGTAAGCATCTTACCCGCAGTAGGGCTGGCGCATTCGTTAGCATATTACCATATGTTGCTCACCATGTCCCTACAGTAGATAGCAGTGAGGCAGAACCGAAGGCTTACTTACCGGAATTTCCAGACAAAAGTTCCCGGCGCTGTGGTTGGCTTACAGTAGTGGCAAGCAGCGCCGACTAGGTACTATGTAAGATGGACAGCGTAGTAGCTATTGCCGAATGTGGACTGCCACGAGCAAGCTAGGATCAGGCCTGGGCTGACACCCTAGGCGACGATCTTCAATGCAATCGAGGTGAGGTGACACTATGATGCGACCCTCCATTATACGAGGGCTCCTACGCAGCAGCGGGAGCGCTTGGAATATTGGTTCAACAGCTGCAAGAATCTCTACTTGGTGCTACAGTGGCCCTCTCTGTCCCACTGGCCGTAAGCGAGGCTCGGTATATGGCAGTAGGTCATCGCTTGTCGAAAGCAATACCGGCTTTGAACATTGTAATAGTTAGATTAGGTCGTTAGGTGTGGACTTACCTTGGACCTTGGACACTTGGACAGACTTGGACTCTACGCTATGCAGACGTGGAGGGTGGTTATCGTCAGCCGACTTGAAACAACCATCTTCTCCACTGACCCAATGCCCTTGAAATCCAAGCTGGGTCTTTTGCACATAACAGACGATGGTGCGAGCTAGACCGCCTTTTCGAATGAATCAAGAACTGACTGACGACTGAGGCTTAGAATAGGTTGATCCCAGCGATCGCAATGTCTTCCCATTGGGAGCTATTGGAAGACGAACTAAGACGAGTCACGTAAGCCTTGGCTGTATATTTGAGGGACGGGCAGAGACGGGCGATACACGCAGTGGCTTTCTCGACTTCTTCGAGAAGCAAGGAGGACGGGCCGTCCCCACCGGCCGATTATGGTGCATCGCACACTAGCGTCGTGGATGATCTGAACAGCACACTAGCTTCGACATCATCCCACGATCCACGCATGTTTCAGCACCGGATTGCAGGCCCCCCCGGCGGCAGGATCTAACTACCAAGTGCGTACTCTGTGTCTGCTCTGTCTGCTCTGTGCTACAAAGGTACGTGGACGGAACGTCGATAAGAGAGTGTCTGCTTTCGGAGCATTACTGGGTATTACTTAGCCTGGACATGGCACGTACAGGCAGTCTAGGGCTGAAATAGTAGTTTATGCCGTGACACCGGCACCTTAAAGATCCATACCGTTGACCCTGGCCGCGATTCGGGAAGGCTGCGCTGGTGCCAGTGTGCATGTAGGTATCGATCGTATCTGGTGTGGTAGTGCATGCTACAGCGTACAGCATAAGATTAGCAGCCCTTCCGTCGCCACGAGAAGCATCTATCCGACTTGCCGTCGACTTGCTCTGCTGTTATCGTGGTGTGGCCATCCAGCAGTGCTTTTGTTCTTGTGCTCCCTCAACCGGAACACACCCTCTCGACTGAGGGGTCGATTGTTCGACACAATCCCTTTGTTCCGACTCAAGCGATGTAGAATATGGCTCCGAGTCCAAACTTGATACCATGAAAGTTCCTTTTCCTACTTATCCTGCGCATAGTGTGAATGAGTATTATTCAGTAGACACTATACGCGTACACTTCTTTAGAAGGACGGGCATTTAATTGAAGCTGATACGAAGCCCAACAACCACTTCAAACCTAAGATACTCATCGTATCTTCCTTCCCCGGACTGCTCCCAGTCATTGGCTGGCAACGGCGAAGAAATTACTTGCATACCTCCATTTATTTATACAGGCACTTCTATTGGCACCCTCGATTCTAAATGGACGAATGACCGGGGCAGTTTCAGGCAGCCAGAACCCCAAGCCAAATTAGCACCTAAACTCAGGCTACTGCCGCAGATATTGGCAGCAAAGATTGCGACGGGGAGCATGCTTGTTGCGGCCGCCCTTTTTCGTCGTCTTGTTACATTGTCAATCTAGTGTAGTGTTAGGTCATATCGCTGATGCATGAGCGTGGAAACGACGGCGACTGTTCACTACCTACAATAAGGTAGGCCGAAACAGAATACGAGCAACCTGGGCAGTTTTCAAGGCTCCGTGCTGCTGCTGCTCATCTTCCGTTTCAACAACTACCCTTGACAGTCTGTTAGCTGTTAGCCTGGTACTGAGACACTGACAGGACAACTCGAGATAATGGTCTGCTCAGATAAAACTTGGAAGACACGGCACATGAACGGGCTTCCTTATTGAACCCCCCCTGCTCGCGGATTACTTCCTTGTTTACCTGTGGCACGATCTGGATCAAGGACCGTAAAGCGGTGCGCCTTTATTTTCAATGTTTCGGTCCGCGATGATATGATCGATTAACCTGTATTAACTCAATTCTTCCTTTAGCGGTCTTAGATCTCACGAAAGCTTGGGGGGTGGTTTGGATCTCAAACCGTCACCCTTACACCTAGGGCTACCCAGGTGGGTATCATCATCTTCACACCAGCACCAGCACCAGCACCATCGCCACCACGATCGCCGTCAACGTTTGCATCTGATCGAGGTTTCGCTCTCGAAGAGCTTTGACGGACTCACCCTCGATACTCTAGCTGTTTATTCTATCGGTGACAAGATTCTATTGGGAATCAGCATTTCGATGCAGCGCCTGTGCCGCAACTACTTAACGCCGCCTACGAAAGGCCAGCATAAGAGACATTTCGACACACAGAATGCCGTCATTGAAGTCGTTGAGGCGTTCCGCACGTGGCCTTGTTGGTGAAAAAGTTCGCGGCACGACAGGAGCAGGAGAAGTCCAAGACTGTGAGAACGATGGTGGTGTCACAAGCCCGGAGCTCAACCACGTTCGCGAAAGGCCACGACAAGACTCCACAAAGCGCGCTTTTCTCCGGGAACTAATTACTACCTCAAAGGCGAAGCTGGGAAGCCATCGGGCGCCCGACGTTCATGATGGCGGTAGCAGTGACGATGCCAGCAACAGCTGCAGCAGTAGCGACAGAAGTGGCCACGATGCGGAGAAAACAACCAGCGCGACTGTGAGTGAGACCTCATTTTGAATCACATTGAAGCTTGCACGAAGGCGACCTACCGGTACCTAGGTAGTGTTTGCTCTCCCCCACATCCCACCGTCCTTCCTGTTCCTGAGTCGCAGTCCGTAACCCCGTGCTGTAATCCTAAAATCCCGCTGCCCCGAACCCCAACCCTTCAATATCCCTATACCTACCTACCTACTCAATCCGGCAGTGTCGGGGGTACAAGCCCAATCACCATCACCTGGCGGCCGACTGGACTTGTGCAGATCCAGCGTGCTGGGCAGCTGCCAATCTCAGCTCTGCAGCATTCCAATGGGCAATGAGCCATAAGCAATAAAGCACGGTCAACGCTTGCTCTCAAGTAATTAGATTAGTTGATCCCATGACCCCAGCCGTTGCGTGTGTACTGTACTGTAATGTGCTTTGCGCATTGTTCCTGCATGCGCAATTTCATTTCCACCGCCTCGTAGCAATCGCCATTCCTTACCGTCACATTCCTTGCCGTCTTCCGCCTGTTGTTCACACCTTTGTCCGCCCGCCGTGATACAGCCGAATCGCACATTGTTGAAGCAGAGCTGCTAGCTGGGCTTCAGCTGTCCCTACATAGTAGTAGCGTAGTGCCGAGACTAATACCGCCTCGCCAAGCAGGTCTCATCCCTATCTCCGTCATCCGAGACACCACAGTCGCCCCGGTCGACCATCAACTCCAGCAAGCACAAGCCATTGCCGTCTCCGCCTCCTCCGGGTACGGTTGATAAAGCTGATGGCAGGCCACGGCGCCCTGTTCTCAAACTAGATCGCATCATGGCCAATCTAACCGAGACCGAGATCGACAAGCTCTTCTCCGGAGCTCCGCAGTTCTTCGCACGGTCACAAGGCCACGGCTCGGGGGCACCCCATCCCTCAGTAGCCTTCCCCTTGAATGAGGAATTGACCATTCGAGACCTCACTGACCACGTCCAAATTGAAGATGATGCGTGGGGTTGCGTAACGGCGGTACCCCGTCTCATTCAGCGTGACCCATTGTCGGCACCGTCGCCGACTACCAGGACCCGGCCCCACTTCAACTCACGATGTCGGGAACGGCCGAGCATGCTGAGCATGCAAGGCCTGGAGAAGGGCACTATAGGTTACCAGGCTGCCCTTGAGCTACCTGTTGCCGACGCACTGCAAGAGGAGCAGTATGGTTTTCACAGCCTCGGGTCCAAGGCGCCTGTTATCATTGAGCAGCGACAGAGGCTCATTACATCTAAAGACGCTTTGCGCCACTTAGACGATGCCAGTCTTATGGAACAGCTGTTCAGGGTGGAAAGGAGATATCATTCGGGTCAATCCTCGTGGCGTAATAAGTCTCAAGAGCTGTATAACGACTTGTTCAGGAAGGTTTTATATCCGCCAACGAGAGTTATTGACCCCAGAGATCCTTGCAGTCTAGCTGTCCAGATACACGCCCTCGTCAAGGTTCTTGCAGCCCCCAATGCTTGGATTGATTTTTCTCGTGTGGAGTGGCGCATACGCCTCGGTCAAATCCTGTGGGGATTTCCTCTCGATGACGAAGTGTCTGACGGATCTTCGATTGATGACAGAGCTGATGCGCAAGACCGAAGTGAAGAACGGTACTGGTTGCTGCTCCAGATTCTATTGGCTTGTGAGCTTCTCACACGGCTTGATGCCATTACAGAAGGCGAGGATTTTATCACCCACATTCTCAAACAGTCGGACGTTCACAAGTTCGAGAAGGAGGCCAATGTTTCAGTACGATGGTCACTTATCCTCGCGCGATCATGGCTCGAAAACATAACAATTTCCAAAACTAGCATGAACCTCTCAGAGCCATCCACACCGAAAAGTTGGTTGACAGCTCTGACGAGCAGAATGAATCTCAAGCATGAGCATATGCATGGCGCTCATTACACGGATCATATTCAACATCGCCATGATGCTAATGCCGAACATTTATATGCGATCAAGGGTAGGTATCCCGAGAGGCAGGTCTTAGGTCTATTGCATTTTGCCCGCAAACTCCGCTGGCCAGGTCTGGACGTGTCAGCAACGAAAGTGTCTGAGAACGCAGCAACCTTGAATGAGGGAACCCCCATCAATACCCCTTTATCCACGGGAGACACACGGCGTTCATCTTATTTTGGTGATCGAGCTTCGACCACCCAAAGGGCCCAGCTGGTCAGAAGGCGGAAAGTCGATGCGGCTTTACACGCGTCTGGCTGGTTATCCAGGTCTTATATATCTGGTCTCATACTGCCTGGAGAAGTACTATCTCACTTTCTCATGTCTACGTTGCTTGAGAATGATAGCGAGGCTATTGAAAGACTTGGCTCCACTGCCAATTTATGTGGAGGATTTGTGTACGCCGGCAAAAGCTTCTGGAGTACTGCCTGTATCGTTGGGCGTGTACTTGCAGCAGGCCAGGGCTCCGCCGAATGTATGGGCTGGATATCAAGCGACGTGCTTCCGCACAAGCTTGGTGAAGGCTGGCTAAGTATCGCTGTTGAAGATATTCGAGGTAGGTCTGGCCCAAAGACCCTCTCAAAATGCTGCAGTGAGCTAATTTCCTCAGATGATGTGACGAAAATAGGGAAGAAGGCTCGCATATGGGGAAAAGCCTCTGTTGAAAGGGAATCAAGCGTGCTGGGCGATGCCGACCCCTCAGATGTGCTTCCCGCGGATTTCATTATTCCTCACGAAGCTACATATCCAAACCGACCGCCATCTAATATTCGAATTGACCTTAAATGTTTGGATTTCCGTACCCCAGATATCACACCTTCCACTGAGCGATCGTCACTATCCTCCGAATCCAACTATACCTCTAAAGAAGGGTCCTACACGGCCTCTTTGACATTCTCCATGTCTCACAACTCAACGGATCAAGATGTTGATTTTCATCTTTCCCTCACAAATGATGTATATTTCGTAACGGCGCACCCATGTGCCGCTTCTAGCTATGTGAAATATTTGAAATCGCCCTCGAGCCCAACAATTCAGCAGATCGATGTAGATGGTCATGACTTCAACGGCAAGCCTTCGAGCCCGGCGCATACCACAGGTGAGTTTGTAGTATATAATACCGCCAATGCCATCAGCCTCTCTAACCCTCACAGGCCATCCGCTCCATCGTTTCTATACATACACTGCTATCCACCTCGTTGATCTTCTCACTCGACCTAAGTCAACAACTCTGGAAGACCTCATGAAAGGGCCCCCATCGCACGGAAGATCAAGCAGCGCATCATCCAGAGCTTCGTTTTCGAACAAACCCCAACGCGTGCTAGTTATTGACTGCATAACAGGCTTCGCGCCACCTCGCTCGCCAGACATGCCGTCCCTCTCACGTATGTCCTCGCTATCATCCACATTTGCACTCGAGCCGACGAACACGCCTCCTATCCAACTCTCTACCCCGCAGATCGAACGCCGCCCTAGCACAGCACGTTCCGGTGCCAATAAATTTGAACGGGTTGACCCGCCACCTACAGCGCCACCTGAGACAACTATGCAGCTTGGGACGCGCAGGCGACATTTCGGCTCCGACCTAGAGGTCCTCGTGCGCGCCGTGTGCGCCGAGAGAGGGTGGAATGCCATCATAAGTCGCCGTAGGCGGGCTTGTTTAGCGTGCGCAATCCGCGAAGCAGGCGCACTAGGATGGCGAGTTGTCATCCGTGTAGACTGAACACACAAGATGTAGCCATTCTGTCTTTCACGCATTTTTGAATTCCATCAGGCCTAAAACTACCCTCAAACAATTCCCACAGTGGATGACAAAAGTAATGACAGCGAATCATAAGAAGTTGCCACGAGACACGACGCACACCAGAAGCATGGCATCTAACGTTCATCTTGTTCTCTTTTTTTTTGTATATGATATTGATGTTGCAACGGAAATAGGTTTTTTGTGCATACAAATGAGCAGAGCTTATGTGTACATAGCGCGAGATACCCGACTCATTCAAAATGACTATTATAATCGATGGTTCATCGTATTCACGTTTTTCAATCTTGTTCTTACACACTGGCTTGCGTTTTGCCTAGCGCTACAAAGTTTCTACTCACCATCTCAGCTTCTAGCAATCATGTACCAGCACCGAGTTCGCCACACAATTCCGCCTCCTGCTGCTGGAGGACAAGGGATGTTAGGCCATCTCAAATAACTGTCGCCTGCTTCGCGCGAAAACGGCAGTTCCGTGCATTTTCATTTACTCAACTAATTACCACTGTGTTCATCAAGAATAGCACAAGCATAGTCAAATTTCCACTTCGATTCTACATAGGCTACAGCGGTTCGTTTAGTCACAAACCCACCCCGTCTACTTGACCATCTCCGTCCCCGGTATTGCCGTAAGGATGTGAAGGGATCCCTACCTTTCCCGGGTTACCAATATAAACACATCAGTCTTATCGCAGAGCCGCAAGGCCTGGGGAGGCTTGGCCTTTTTTCGCGAATATTCCTTTGATTCCTTCGCTAATGACTAATAAACGGTGAGATCCCACTCGCTGACGTAGAGCGAGTCTGAGAAGGAAAATTTGGGCCCAGCCCCATCCCATATTCCTGCGAAAAGAGCCGCACATGTAACATGGAAAGTCCTTGCAGCTGATCTTACCATCATCATCATACTCACCACCACCATCACCACCCAACCATGTAGTAGCTAGTCAGTAGTATAATGTTAGCACAGTTGCCATGCTCTCGGTCACCGCTCTTCTTTCAAATCATCCACCGCGGAGGTTTTAGTTTGGCTCGGTCAGTCCGGGGGTTCTCTCTGGAATCCCGATAGCGCAGCAGCAATTCTGTGCCTCTTCCCCCTCTCTCGTCTTCGGCCGACGAGTCCCAATAGAGCTAAAGGCTACATACACATTTAGTCTACAGTGGCGTATAAGTTTGGAATTTTTGCACTGCATCACGGAATGGCACATGACGTCTTTTTTTTTTTCGTGTTGCTAATCGCACACCCAAGTGCTGGTTGTTCATTTCCTAAGCAAGAAATCCAGCGGGCAAGCAAACTACCTTGCAGTGCAGTGCCGTACACTAACTACCTACACCGCACTATAAGATGAAATAGGGATAGGGGGGGAGGGGGATGAGTGTCCTTACCCATAGGATCGCACCGCATGGCGTAGGCTATTTTAGGAATTCGTTATACTAACTACTACGACTGTACCTGCAGATGGTACCTAGTGCGGTTCTCGTCTCGAAGGTGAGTTGAATCGGGTCACCGACTGTCAAATCAGTATGTAGAACATTTTATGAACCAACCACCTACGCATACATGTACTGCATCCACCCCCAGGACAGACCTCTCTCCTTTGATTGCTTCTCCCGTTTCCGTGGCGATTGCGTCGCAATATGGAGAATAAACGGGAACGGCAAACCCGACCATCTGTCGGAAATGAGCAGGACTGAGAAGGACTTTTTTGTTTTCAATTCCTAACAACACGGCGTAACGAACACGAGACATGGTCCTACCGATAGATACCCGAGACGTATGAGAAAATAGGTGACGATGATGTCGGTTGTTCTTGTTTTGGGCTTTCTTCCCCGTTGAATGGTACCTGACGTGACGTGACGGGCCGATGTCGTTGTTTGCTTGTTGGTTTCATTTCATTCTCCGTATATCTACTACCTATCAAGTATGCGGCGTCACTTCAAGTTCTTTGTTTGCGGCGTTTGTCCAAACGCCGCCCGGGTAGCTACCTACCTGACAGACTAGCCAGCCTACGCACCTTACGCCATTTCCCTCATCCCTTCTGTATCACAAAGTCTGTCGGTGAAGAGGCGTTGATAATTATAGCATCACAGAAGGAAGCGAGTAGCCAGGCAAACACGGATGGAGCGAGTCCAAAGCAAACGGATGAAGCAGCTTTCCGAACAAGAATTGCCAACAATCGAAATGAGAGGGGGAAATCCCAACAATGCTGCAAGTAAGGAATAAAAATGTTAATGCCAAAAGTGACCAACCATTGTCTGTCATTTCCTGTTTGCCACCTGGAAGGATTCTGGGTGTGCCAATGGATTGGTATACCGATATGCATGTATGCGCTGCGCTGCGGGAAGCAGTTGAGTTTGTTGGCATGACGTTACATTCGGTGCGGTGTGAGAAAGAAAAAAAAAAAAAGGCCTTTTCTCGGGAATAGATGGGAGGGAGGGATGAAGCGGGTGTGCGCCAGGCTGTCGGGTACGCTTGCTGACGGAGCTAATCTGATGGAGGAAGACACGATCGAATGAATGCTCACATAATAGCTGAGTACCGCGTGCATTGTGGCCGATTGATTGATTATGTATGATTATTAAAAACCACCACGTGGTGATGGCGGTGGAGATGGTGTGGTAGCAAGTCAGCGGAGCTTTTCCCACGCTGTTGCTGCGTCTTTCAGCTCGCACATCATACATCATACATAATACCTACGCATACACTAGCAGGTCCCATTAGCACAAGCCGCTCCAATCAAGCGCGAATAGGAATCTGATTATCGAATCTGGGCGTCAAACGTGTATACCTATACAACTGTTACGTTTCTGTAGACGACAAAGGCGCCAAGTCTTCTCTTTTCAGCCACAGCATCGGGGCCGTGGCCGCCGATTGCGCTGCCGAGACACTTTCTTTGGTGGAAGGGCACACGCGACTGGTGGGCGAATTGCTTACCTATCTCAGCCTCCAGGTCGTGAGTGTATGTTCTACCCGAGGGGTCCCGGTAGGATTCGTTTCTCTCCTGAAAAGCATGGCACTTTAGGGATCGCCTAGTTCGCAATGGCACGAGGTCTCTGCTCCAGATCTATCTACCTGGTGTAAGCCAAGAGGTGCAGGTAGTGTAGCATTCTACTCTCCTAACCCACGCCATGTCATGTATGGTACTCATGCCTTGCTTACTATCGCATGCCCAGACGATTAACATAGAACTGATGGCTCTAGGCCGTGGTTACAAATACTATCGCTCTCAGCGTAACGAGTCCGTAGACGAATAGATGGCTTACACGAGATCAGTCGTATCGATAGAATAGCATCCCGTATCGTCCAACTGTGACCAAATATCGGACTTACGCGAGTTCACGCCACATGAATAAGTCCACCGGGGGCGCCAGTCATTTTTAGATCAATGGCCAGGAGCGTATACCGGCCGCTGTAATCATGCAATAGTTACGCCGCGCGAAGCGAAAGTGCGGAATGGGGTTGATGTTGGCTGTTTAATTGAACGACAAATATTGGCAATGCAAAACATATTCTAGGCATCGACAGCGTCTTGGTACTATCCAAACTAGGTAGACGGCGCCTCAGCCGCGAAATTTAGAGCCACCCCCTGGTAAGAGGCCTATCGAGGTACCGGTGTGTGGCGCTTGCATTTGATAATCCCCATCCCCAGGAGTCCGGGAGGAAGTGTATTCCTGGGAATTCGCCTACTAGGGGATTTGACGGAGTGTAGAGTATGGAATGAGACGATCCTATTAAAGCTTCCTTCTTGGACCGGTGGTACCAACTACTGTGTATGCAGACTACAAGTGTGTCATTTTTAGCCCGAGTGAAATGAGCTGTGTGGCGTCGTGAGTCTAGTCTAAGGACTTCTAGAAGCAGGATGGAAGGGCGGGAGGTAGGGTCAGATGAACATGCGCACGTCGAACCAACAAGCAGGAGGGAAAGATGATGATGGTGGTGGTGGTGAAGAGAAGGATAAGAGAGAGAGAGAGGGAGAGAGGCTTAGCTGGAGCTGACGACGGCCAAGAGCTGATTCATCAGGCCCGCCCTGTTTCTGTTTCAGGTCGCACTAAACAGCCTCGTCTGCTCAGCTGGCCGTCCACCCTCGGCTTCCTCAAAGCTCCTGCTACCAAGCTTCATCTATGATTGGCATTTTGGCTCCTTTCTCAATGACCAATATAATTGGCATTGCCTTCGTGAACGGAAATGGGTAATATCCGAAGATCCGACCAAGATTCTGTTGGCGCTGCTGCTGCTGCTGCTGCTGCTGACAGTGGCCTCCGTCTCGCCGTACTTGCTCGTACCTACTATCCTCTTGGACGGACTCGGTCTCGTTTACTGAGTATGTCAATCGGCCGTGATTAATAACATCACATCAGAGACCGTCCAATCTCGGTGTATCTCGGTAGCCGTTTGGATTATTCATCCGAATGGTTCTATACGAGTTTCCTCTTTCGTTCCTTGTGCGCCCAGAACTGTCCACCACTCGGGGAATTATCGCGTCGTAGAGGAAGGTGGTATTACTGGCAAGTCTGACATGCATCTTCAATCATGCACGTACCCGCTTTCCAAGACTTTCCATAAGGCTGAAGTCTTTAGCATGTCGTCAGGGGACGGCTTGTGAGGGCATCGGATAAGTAGGTATATCGTATCGTCTTATTACCACTTTATAAATAAAAACCAGTGGGGTAGTCGGCCGGAACGTGTGGCAATTGGCAAAGTCTTGCACATACTTACATGCCAAGTTTGTGTGTATCCCAGTCTGCCCAGCTATCTACGCCAGGGAGTCTCTCTACGACGACAAGGGTCTCTCAGGTATCGATCTACGCTACAATAGATCTAGTGTATGAGATTGGACGATGACTAAGTAGGCAACTGGTCATGCCTGGTCATGCTTCGAGGGAGAGATGGGATTCATACAGTCCTGGCGAACACTGGATGGCCACACTTCGCAACCCCCCCCCCCCCCCCCCCCCCCCGGGGGGGGGGGGGGGGGCGGGGGGGGGGGGGGGGGGGGCAGAGCAAGGTTCAAAATAACAGAGTATAGCCCCGTCGCAGATAAAGTATACTGTAAGAAGGAGTTGCTTGCGTGCATGCTTACTTACTTACAGGGCCAACATCTAACCTACCACCCATACCAGTTCTTCGGGGTTATGAGTAGGTAGGTAGTCACCGAGGTAAGAGGTATCTACCAACTACGTCGAAGTGTAGCCTAGTCTAATCAAAGTATTCATATCTACCTGCTAAGATGCCGCTGTGACAAGTACCTACTTGTAGCACCTCGGATGCAACCTGAATTAATAGAATAGAAATCGATGAGCATGATGCAGTATTTGCCTGGGTAGATGAGGATGTATGTAGGCATACTCACCTCATCTCACCTTCAACTAGACATTCGAGGGGAAGGGGTCCGTCTCCGGCATCAGGAACATATAGAGAAAAAAGGCCATGTCATGCTATCATCGTGACTGTAAAGAAGCTATTCAGTATTTTACTTTACGGTGAATAGCGACATTACTGTCTTGATTGGGATATCTATACGATGGCCGAAAATGATGAATAGAGGTAAATACAGCTCATACAAAAACAAAAGACGGTTCAACCAGCCGTAGCTAAAGCACACCATGATTCATTGACTCCTGACCTAAGAATATACTACTATAGGTGGACATATATATACTCACCTTCCAAGTTCTGTTCCACTTTTGCATAAAGTCCAATAAATAGCTTCATAAATTAAAACAAGGCCTCTCTTGTTGCATCAGGGAAAATAAGAAAAACAAAACCAATCCAACGCAAGATGATGCCGAACACAGACAGGCACACGCGGCGCAGGCCAGCTAGCTAAAGGGTATCCCCGTCATCGTCGGACATAAAAACGGTTGAAACATGTACCTATCTATATAAACGCCGAAGCCGCAAGGCGCAACGGGATACCTAGGTGGTCGGCCGGGCGGTCAATGCACACAATGCCATGTTGCGACCTTTAGATATGTAGTTACAATGTTTTCCTGCCCAAATCATCAAGTTGTATCATATACATACAGTACGTAGTTAGTCAATCGTCCGTCAACAGGAGCAGATAGACGGAGCATGTTTACGAAAGAACCAAAATCAGAGATAGAGAGAGGAACTCTTGTGAAGAACACAGACAGTCATCGATGACGAGGGTTAATAACGAAGGAATACTGAAGCGAGCATTCCAGGTAAGGTCATGGTTCGCTGACTACATACCTACCTAGGCACACACCCAGTAGGTAACAACATACTTACATACTACTACCTACCTACTTAAGTACTTAGGTAACTTACCTACCATGCGGCATGCCAGTCTCGCCCCGAGCTCCGAGCGTTGACATCGTGAGAGAGAGAGAAAGAGAGAGAGAGCAAGCAGGGTCCAGAATCTACCAACCTAGGTAGGTAGGTAAACAAGAACGGAGTATGCCGGACACTTACTTGCTTCCTTCCACCCATCCATCCATCCTTCCTTCCTTAAACAGTACCTGTGTAGATAAAAAGATAGATAGGATAGATGAATGGGATATGGACACAAAGGATGGGCAACCCAGCCTGACAAGCGCCTCCCGTCACGACATTGTTTCAAAACAAATTGTCGACTTGTGCATAAGTATGTCCAAGTAAGTACGTAGTAGGGCACAGTTTGATGATGCAGTGGATAGATTAGGTCCTTACACTCAGGTGTCTTGTAGGTCCTAGTTTGGGATAATTTCCCGGGCAAAGGAATGGGTAAATTGTCATGCATGGCATCCATCCATCCATTTTACCCACATTGCCCGCACGGAGCAAGCAGCTAGCGAGGTGGGCAGGAAGGGCGTCTGGCCTATGAGTCAAGGACAGAAAAGGAGGAGTACTGAATGTAATGAACGAATGGAAGAACGAAACAAGCGGAGAGAAAGAACTGCGACAAGGATAAATGAGCGGGCGGGGAAGAGGGGAAAGTGATGCGATGCGATGCGATCCTCACGATTGAGATGGGTGGAAAACATGTGGTTGCTAAAAATAGCTATTTATAGCACATACAGTAGGTAGGTACCTACCTACGGTACCTAGGTACTTACTTATATACACAGTACATAGTTACATACAGTACCTATGTACACACATTCTCATGTACCTACTACTTCAAATAGGTATAACAAACCACGTAATTCCGGAGCTCGGCATAGTACAAGAAACATAGGCGGATGGGTCCTTCTTCCTGACATGGCATGCATGTTTTTTAACCCACGACGTTTTCTTTGGTTTGTTTCGTTTGGTTTCTTGTCTTTCGGTGCAAAGCCACAGCCTTGCCTTTGCAGCTCACGGAACGAACATCGACACCCAATGAGAAGGCACACATTGCCGATGGGTGAGGAATTATTGCATTTCTTGGGTTCGGTCGGCGCTTACGAGGAGGTACTGAAAGTCCTTCTTCTATACTACTACCTACTTACTTCCTTACTTGCACTGTTTGTTCCTCTCTCTCTGTCGTGTTGCACATGCTCGGCAATTGATTGATTGATTGATTGATTGATTGATGCATGATTGCATTGCATTTGCATCGAACTTCTTTTTCGGTCCGTTGGGTTTCTGACATACCTGCTTACCTCTCTTCTTCCTCTCCCTCCATCTATCCACCCTTCCACGCGCGGTGGCTGCGGCTCGGGATTCTCGGTACCGTATATCGCCAAGCTGCAACTGATGATATCTGATATGAACACGTGTGGATGGGTGTGTGCATACATACATATGTTTGTATGCAAATCAATATGGGTCTTGTACGCGACGCAGCTGTTCCCGGCAGAAGTTCTACCTACCTAGGTGAATATGTCGGCAGAGATATGAGACATGATTCCAGTGACATGTGCGCATATGCGGATAGATACATAGGTACTGTTACCTTTGAAATTGAGTAGAGAAGTGCCATGTATACTCTATCAGGGACCATCAAATCACAGTCACACCTACCTACCTACCTACCTACCTGCCTGCCTGCCAGTAGTCGAATCACGTAGAAACGTTTCTCCATCGTATCTATCCCCTCTCTCCATATCTACAGTATGCATCTAGATGAATGTCCGAATACGGGGGGCTAATGGGAGTAGACCTACCTAATGATTGTTAAGTCCATAGCACGGGCCGGCGGCATCATAACTACGTCTCGGTCACTATGATAGGTAGTAGCATGAAGCCCCAAAAATAGGACTTGAGGAAGAAGTAGAAGATGAAGAACAGAATGCAACAATGTACAAACATATGTATAGGTAGCAAGAGGCGCCACGACTGCTGACTCCAGCAACTTTGCTTGTAAGCGCTCATTGTCAGTCTGCTCAACGAGATAATCGAGATCATCCTCCCTCTTTAGGGGAGAAAGGGGAGGGGATGGTGAGAGGGCGGCTAACGGACGTTGGTTGACGTCGCATCTTCATCATCAAGACCCTGGCGAACTCTTGTTATAATCTAGGCTTACAGATCGGTAGGTAGGTAGGCAGGCAGGCGGGTAGGTAGTCTACATTGTGTCGATGCTGAGATAGATGCGGACGAAGCACCGCTCTTGCCTGGCCGACGAAGCATGAATGAAGTTCCCAGGCTCGGTCGGTTGAATCCAAGAGGCGAGCGGCGCTTATTCTGCGTCTCAGTCGTCGTGTCATTGGCCTGGCGGGCGCAAAACAATCGAGTATAGCCGCGACCGCATACCTACCTACGTACCTTACCCGGCTGTACAAACCTATATCGGTGTATATTGGGGTGTAGGGTATATATCGGGACGGAATATTGGATTGCCTGCTTGCGGGTGGTAGCAATATGGGTGCTGGCATGTGTGCTATACCTACTCGGTTTAGGTAGATTGTGGTGTGTGCGGATGCGTGTGTGGATGTGAGTACATGGACAGGCAGGTGAGGTAGGTATGCAAGTAACGCTGATGCATGGGCAGACGAGGTGTGGTGGTGGTGGTGGCAGTGGTGGCAGTGGTGATGGTGTGTGGTGAGGATGACGATGATGTCGATGACGATGATGATGATGATGATGGTATTCTGCTTGGACGAACGCGGGATCGGGGTCATGGCAGCATGGAGAAAAAGAAGCCCGTTGGGCTGGGTCTGGCTGGGGCAGTGGGAGGGAGGGAGCGAGGGAGACCAAGCCAGAGAACCAAGCCAGAGAATGCAGAAAAAGCTTGTTCGGTCCAAAAATAAATCCCAGGTGCCACATGAGGCTCAAGACGAAGAGGGCTGGCTGGTGATGTACCTACATTAAATTAAGTACCTACCTAGACTGTGTACCTACCTAGGTAGGTAGTAGGCAGGTTAGGTACATATGTAGATAGGACTATACAATATCTATGAGTATTACCTATACTACATACATGGCCTACCTATCATGTATGAATGTGGTATTGGGTATGTAGGTATGTACCTACTGTAGGACGCGGAAGCGAGATGGAGGGGTAGCGTCGCAGTTGGTGCTAATAGTGTCAAGTCAACGAGAGGCTGTGTTTTTGGTGTATTAGGTAGACTAGTAGCTAGCCTACGAGGCATATCAAGTATGTGTAGGTGTATGTAGGTAAACTTTAAGATAACCAGGCCAGTTCATTTATACTATTTGTCTGTACATATATATGTACTTACTTACCTCACGCAGGTCCCGTACATAGAGCTTAGGTACTAGATAGGACAAGGCCTACACGCGCATGCAACTATCAAATAAAACTGAGGTATAGCAACCTTGAAAGAATACCTACATGCCTACATAGTATACAAATCACCTGGGCAGCTAGTTTAGTCAGCCGAATTCGGGAACCGGCCAGAGGTACCTACCTATGTGTACTTATGAAGTTGATGACCGGCTAACCGGGAGTTACGTGTTTGAATCTGCCGGAGCGAATCAGAGACTCTGCCGGCCACCTTAATAACATAGTACTTAACAAGACGTAAGTACCTAGGTAACTATTATGTATGAATATACATTAGGTATCTTAGCCAGGTACCTCCCTACCGAGGCCTACCTACCTGGTAGTAAGTAAGTAAGTTGATCATGATTGCAATTCCCTTTTCTGTGCCGTTCTATCATGGGCATAATCACGACCCCATTTGAAGCTGCAGTGGCGTTACATATGGTGATATAGCCTCTCGCCAGTCAGTCGGTCTGTATCCACTATCCACTGTTGACTGTTGGCCAAGACGTCGTCGATGCTCGCAGAAGGTGATCATTTGAAATAATTACTTGTTCGCCATTGCGCGACGGTTTTACTCTCGACAAGCTACTGTAGGTACATATACTAGGAGGTAGGTACAGCATCTCACTAAGATAGGTATGCACTACTGTAGTCTACACGGCCAACAGGGCCAATCAGTGCGTCTATGGCAGGAGTTCCAGGGTCCCTCCAGGTACGGTACCCACGCTACCGAGACCCGTGCTAGGAGTTAGCGCCGGTGGACACCCCCGACACCTTAAGCAAGTACATGTACCGTACCTTGCAAACGTGCATGTCCTACTGTACATACATAGTAGAAGGCTAAGCCACACCCGTTTCGGCCTAGCGTTCCTTCTCTTCTCACTGCAGAGGCCACACTAGGTAAGTACCCGTCACGGTCTCGACGGTATAGTACGGCACATCCATACTAGGTTAGCGCGCCATCTCACTTTTCAACACCCATCATGCTTAGGTAGGTACTTACATGTATGTACTATCCCCATCTACTTACCATGCACCTACTCTACACGCCTATGTGTAATAGGTAGTGAATACTAGTAGGCAATGAATGTGACGATAACCTTAAATTGACGCTTGGGCTATAGTCTGAGAAGCCGTCCTTATTGTAGTAGGTACCTTGGTAGGTACTGTGTGTATAGGTATACATGTATAAAGGTATTTGTCCAGCATGACTTCAGGGCGAGTACTGTAGGTACGCATAGAAGAATGCAAGATGAGCAGCAGCAGATAGGTACAAGGGGTTCTTGGCCTTGCGGTTTTACCTGGGCTCGCCTGGCTGCATTGCTCCCTGCATTGGTAGTGTGTTGTTGGTGGTGCCAGTACTACAGTAGACATGCTGTCCGTATAATGAATGCTAAATAGATGATGAACCATCGGGTGTTGATGGGTAGTTGTTACAGGGTCCCTTGGATTGAACAGAGCCTTGGATTCCCAATCTTCCCAATCTTCCCGATCCGGCCATGTCCTTCCAGTGTAAAGGAGCCACAATACTAACCAGAAACACCCCTTGGACTCTCTGTGGACAGAGGTGGACAAACATATTGTGCCAAGAGCCGGGCGAGTTTGTCTTTGGCCGACGGTCAGAAGATGCAGAAATCTCCAACGGCTATCCCTCCCAGACAGTCATTTCTCTGTACATAGCCTACATACAGTACATACAGGCTAGATTGTGTATGTAGGTACCTAGTCTACTTACTTACCAGGTTAGGTACTTTGCGTATCCCCCTCTCGATCCTCTCTCTTGTCTCTCTCTCTTTTTCCCTCTCTTGTTCACTGAGGCTGTCTTGTCTGGTCTGTCTGGTCTCTCTCTCTCTCCCTCTCTTTCTCTTTCTACACGGTACCTATCCACAGCCCGCATTAAAATCCACTCTCCCGCACAGCGACCGCACTGCACCGCTTTGGGACACACATATTACTAGGTAGGGGACTGGGTATGGATGTAGGTAGTGCATGTAGGGCCCTGACCAGGTACACTACAGTATGTATGTAGGTAGGGGCACTACAAAAAGGCGGTCGTCCTTTTCTAAAATCCAAAAAAGGGTGGTGAACACGATCTCTTCTATTTCTATTATTAGAACCAGCCCACGCCAGATTCAGCCCCATCGTCCCTGCCTGCAAGTCACGGAAGAGGAAAGGGAAAAAAAAAAAAAGAGAGTGGGAGAGAGCGTGAGACACGACTAACCATCCAGTAATTGGATCCAATTGGGTTTATTTTTTCTACTGTATTATTCCATCATTCCATTGTTCCATTGTTCTACACTAGGCGCATTGTCCGAGGGTGTACCTATACTCTTAGGGTATTCCGTCATCTCTGCATATCTACGTTGCGCGTGCTTCGGTCTGTCGGTCGCAAGCTGTACTCGTCCGTTCGGTCCATAAAGAAAGATATACACCAACTGTTGAATTGAAGCGACCAAAAAGGTAGACTGCCATCATCATCTACCTACCCATTACACTACTAGGTAGTCCAGGTACACAACTACCTGCCTGTCTTACCCACTATATACAACTGCCCTACATATGCAGCCTTCGCAGCCTTCGCAGCCTATGCAGCCTACTTGGGTGTCTTGTCCTTAGGTAGCCTGCCCTGTATTCACTGCCTGCAACCCATCTGCCATCTCGCTGTAAAGGTAGGTAGCAGTTAGCAGTTAGCAGTTACTCTCTTGTACCGCACGCACACCTTCTAGCGACTCCCGTGTGGATAACCCCGGATTGATATAATCACCACCACCCTTCACCCCGTCCTGTCATCTCGTCCCATCTCATCCTATTCTATTCTCTCTTACCCTCAAGAACTCGTTTCATACCTCGACAGACAGAACAGCCAGACAGATAGACGCCTTGCTGCCTCTTAGACGACCTTTACAACAATCTTTTATTTCTCATTGTTGCTACTTCTTCTTCTTCTTCTTCTTCTTCTTCTTCTTCTTCTTCCTCTTCTTCCTCTTCCTCTTCCTCTTTCTCTTATTATCTCTCTCTCCCTTCTCCCTTGTCCCGACGACCGACCACCTGTTGACCAACCCGTCGGTGCCTCATACCGACTCCGTCTCTCGCATAGGACACCCTGTCTGTCTTCCGAACCATTGTACAGAATTTCGGCCTGCCCTTGCGTCCCACCCTCTTCTTACTCTTGTTTTCTTTTTCATCCACCCCTCAGTCTAAGGTCTGCCTCGATTTGCAACCCCGACTGTGCGTGCTTGGCTCCAGGACGGCCGGCTGATCGCATTGACCGTGTTCGCGCTGCTCTTCCCGAGTATATATCCACGGCGTCTGTTCCCCGACCCATCTCCCTCTTAGCCTGAAACCGACCCTTTTTGCCACGCTGGATTACCACGCCTCCCTCTTTAACCCTCCGTCGGTCAGCCTTACCACCGCGATCTGATCCAACAGTCGCGTACTGGGGCACCCGACCACCCCGTCCAGCTCCAATCTAATTGGCCTCTCGCGTCGTCTCATTGACGCTCACGCAAACCTCTCTTCTCTCCATTCAAGATGGGACGCAGAAAGATTGAGATCAAGGCGATCAAGGATGACAGAAATCGCTCTGTGTAAGCAGCCTGACCTATTCCCAACTCCTCTCCCCTCCCCTCCCCTCCACTCCCCTTGCCTATTCCATCTCCTCCCTCTGCGGCCATCAGGCTACGCGATGCGATTCAATGCGACGTTATGCGCCACCATGCGCTGCGGCGTATTGTTACGCCAATTGGTTAGCAGTTCGACTAACCTGTCTATGTGTTCTGTAGCACCTTTTTGAAACGGAAAGGAGGCCTGTTCAAAAAGGCCCATGAGTTATCCGTGCTCTGTTCCGTCGATGTTGCCGTCTTCATCTTCGGGAGCAACAAGAAGCTCTACGAATATTCCTCAACCGATATGCGAGAACTGATCACAAGATATACATATGTGCGTACAATTGCCTCTTGATAATCGCCGATCGCGGTTTTGGTCCCCCTTTGCTGATAAGTATCCATTAATGTAGCATGGTGGCGTCAATGAGCACAAAGGACCTTCCGACTTCAACGGTGGTGAAGATGACGACGATGACGATATCGAGGGTACACCGCCTCACGGCCACGAGGGCTCAGTCGAACCTCAAATGATCCCCCAACATTTCCAGGGTCAGCCGCCCTTCCCGCACTTGAGACATCATACACCATCCGCTTCTCCTCCCATCAACGGCATGCAGTTCATTCCGAGAGGCCATACTCCTCAGCCTCAGATGATCCCCCGCCCATCATCGCGGAATGACCGAATCCCACCGAATGTCACTCAAGCCGGTGCCCCAGTCTCCCAACCTGTTATGAACGGATACGCGTACGTACCACAACCAGCAGCCTACAACCACCCTCCCCAGTCTTCGCTGCAACATGGACCGCCACCCGCTCCAGCGCAATATTATCCCGCCGCGACACATCCACCTCAGATCCCCGCGTACATAGAAGAGGCACGTCGCTCAGCCGGCACCCCCAATTATCCACCTCCGCAACCGCCGGCACGGCCGCCGCCTCAGCCTTCGCCCCCTCAAGTTCACGTCCAACAGCTGCCTCCTCAACCCGTGCCGCATACGTCCCCTCCTCAGCCATCGAACACGCATCTTGAAGTTCCTATTGCCGTTCCCCAGAAGCATCCTCACGTACAAGTGCAGCACATGCCAGACCCCCCCGCACAATCCCTTGCACCCATGGATCCACCCAGATCAGACCGGTTACATGACCGTCCTGCTCAACCTGGCCTCGATACATCCATCATCAGAAGGCTTCCCCGAGGTAATCAGTCGGGCAGTATCTTCACTCCTATTGATAACAATCAATCCATCTTAGATCAAGTACTTGACTCGTTTCACACCGACGCCCAGGTGAAAGATGAGGCAAGTAGCCGGGCACAATCAGTTGATGTCGGCGCCGTATCACGGATTAAGTCGTCTAATTCGCCCCCCATCCCCCAGCGTTCCAATACAGGCGCCGGCTTCATCAAGGCTCGCGGTTCTGTGTCGAATGCTCCCGAGGGAGGCTTCACACCCCCATCCCGCTCGAACAGTCTGAAGATAGAGGGCGCTTCGAGGCCGCGGCTCCGGGTCCAGATTCCAGATGAGGCTTCTGATGCCGGCAGCAATACCGGAGAGCCTGCTACTACTACCTCACCTCGAGTTACAGCAGATGCCTCGGCTCAACCTCCGCGGCGCAACGGGGTCGATGCTCCCAGGCTACCTCCACCATCTCCCTCGGCAACATCAATCCTTTCTGCGGGTGCCACTGGCCCTCCCAATCCATTTGCCAGACCAGCCCCCCAGACCCATACTACCGGCATGAACATCGACACGCCCGTCTCAGCACTCCCGTCACGATTCCTCAACAACGAGTATCTCCCTAGCCCTAGCAGCTTCTATCCCGAGTGGGGTTTCCGAGGTGACAACAGCAACACGTTACCGAGTCCTTTGAATTTCGCTACCCCGGTGGCCGGTTCAGGGCCCTCTTTTCTAAGGGATGAAAGTGGACCAAGCGCTGCGAAGAGGAAAAGCCCTGATATCAGCACAGCCGGCCCCCATTCAGAAAATCACGAAGGCTTTGAACCTAAGCGCATCAAGGTCGATGGCTGAATCCTATCACACTTACCTGGACCCTTACCACTCAATGTTTTAAATCACTTAATATCTCGCCTTCCTCACTCCTTGAGAGGCATTTGATAATGGGAAGTCAGCGCGCTGTCATCATCGACATGCCTATGGCGAATGTACATGGATTTGACCGAACGAAGAGGGCATTTGATGGAATCGAACTTTTGTTTTCTCTGGATACAGATACCAACAGCGATTCGGGATACCCTTCATTTTGTTCCTTCTCGTTACATAATCCTTTTTTTTTTTTGTTCGATTCGTTTCCAGCGGGTTTCACGTTCGCTGTCTTCTACGTCATGCATTTTTCACCTTCACTTTCCATTTCAGCATGGCATGGCGTTTTTTTAATAATTTTCTTGAGATGCTTTGTATCTCCATTCATTTATGGTGTTTAAATTCGGACACACTTTGACAAATACTCTTGATCATTTATTAGACATGGCTATGAAGAATGAGGTTCATGGGGTATTCTGGGCCGGGGGGTTCTGTAAACCAAGAGGAGACGGGAACATGGAACTTTTTACCGAGGGCCACTGGGACGGCGTTTCAAGGAAGAGGGTGTCAGTCTTGTGATGTATAGTAAAGGAATCTTTGACAAAACGAAACCAACAGCGGCTCGCTTGCTTTACTAGGATTGTTACATCCAAAAGCGGAATTAATGCATTTTTAAGAGCTTGTTTTCCTACGTTGATGATTCATTTAGGTGTGAATCTTATTTGCATAATGTGATAAATCAGCTTAGGAGCATCAAACTTTATACAGTTAAAGCAACATATGTCCTACTTTAAAGTAACGCATGCCCTAATTGACTGCCCCTCCCTCTTTTATCACATATTACTTTATAGTATTATATATAAACCTTTAAAAACCTACTTATTATATTTATTATGAATTAAGTTAAAGTAATTCTGTTAATGTAATATATTATGTAATATAACATAACCAGCCAACCAGGCAGGCAGGTCAGGTCAGGGATCTGGCTTCTGCTCCCATCATCTCCACCATCTTTCCTTCCTCCCTCATCTTGTCTCATCTTGTATTGCCTCACCAGACTGTCATAAAGGTCTACATAATGCAGTCAATGTAATGCAATGAATCAATCTCTTCTCTTTTTTCTCCTTTCCTCTCCTCTTCTTATCCCATTTCTTATTCGTTTACGCTTGCCTCCTCTCCCTTTTTCCCTTCTTATCCTATCCCATCCATCAGTTTAAACCAATAAATTAATCACTTGATCAATCAATTCAGTAAGAAAACTAGACCAAATCAGTTAATCAAGGGCACCCTTAAAGCTTGAACAGGTAAACGCACGCAACGCAACACAGCACAGCACAGCACAGTATAAACCTTTCCATTCCTCCATTCCATAATCCCTACCCAAATTATCTTTGCTTTCCCTTCCGCTTACATCCATCCATCTAACTTCAGAGATTCGCATCGAGGTTTCTCTTCCATCGCTCGTAAATATGGATGGCTGGGTCCCGGCGAAGGATTTTCATAATTAAAGCCAAACACCTTTAAAAAAAAACTCATGTACTTTGTTTCCAGAGGTTCGCTTGTATTGCCGAAACGTTTCAAAGATGAGGTAGAAAGATAAAACGTGTCAACCCTAACTATGTAAAGAAGTTGGTGTGAGGGGCAGAAATCAGCAAGATGAGAAATGAGGTCGAGATTACAGACAGAAAAGAGGGAATTATTAAAAGACACTGACTTAGAACGCCGGAGGAAAAAAAAAAAAATAGATCCGTGGAACTCGAGTAAATTAAAAAAAGAAAGGCTTAACGTATGTGCGGGTGTGAGAGATGGTATTACAATGCAATCTTTGTCTTTAATTGACTACCCCTTTCCGATATTTTCGATCTAATGGTATCATCGACAGCCAAAAACGAGAAAAACAAGAGGTTCAAAATTCAAGGCAGAAAAGGTATCGACGATTCGGTTTGCAAATCCTGACACAAAGACAAGATGTGAAAGACGCAGATCAAAAATTCAACAGCAAGAGAGAGAATGAAGGCAAATTGGAACGTAGGGGGTATGTGTACTACAACTGGCGTCTGAAATGTACGATGGGCCGCCAGTGATTTATCACCATCGCTCGTGCAAACCAAAAGGTCCTGCTATTGACCCATGTACCGTCCCTAGCGGCGGGTTGCTGTCGGTGGTGTTCCTGGGGCACCGGTGCCTTCCATGTTACCCGTCAACTCAGCAACACGGGCCTTGATACGGGCTACACGGGATTCGATAGCTACAGCATGTCAATCAGGATACTGCTTGGGGAGGAGGGTGGGTACTTGAGCGAAAATAAAAACAAAGGGTCATGATATAGAACTCAACTTACTCTCTTCGCCGCTGGTTTCATCGTCGCCATCTGTCGTCTTGCTATATCCACCGCGGCTTTGCTCTTCACTCTGGCGCGCAGCAGCCCGTTCGGCAGCATTTCTTCGAATGGCTGCCCACCGATCCTGGGTTGCAATAACTGGTGAGGGTGCTGCATCTCCCTCTCCTTCATAGTCCTCCACAGGAGAGCTTCCGTGGCGCGCGATGGGAGGGGGCACGGCCTCATCCTCGCTGTCATCATCAGGAGGTGCAAATGCCGGCTGGTCCGTCAATGGGCCCTGGTCGAACCGTGAAAATTCGTTGTGGGCTTCATTGGCATCTGCTGTATCGACTCGTGAAAGTTGATCTTCAGCAGAGGGTTCATAAGTGGGTTCACGTGCATTCACGGGAGCGGAAAGCTGGGTGGGAGTCTTCTCATCTTCTGTAGGAACTGTAGGTGTCTGTGTCTGTGCAATTGGCTGAGGACGGTTTGTCTCAGGTATCGGAGATTGTGCACGGCTAGACTCGGCTGTCTCAGCCGCCTGGGTGGCTAGGAAGTTGTTCACCTCATTTGCAGCATTCTCAGGAAGCTTAGACTGCCTCCTGTGGCGCCCAAATAACTTTCGGAAGCTGGTGCCCGTCTTTTTCTCTTCCTTGTGAAGCTTCTTGTGTTTCTTCTGGTCAGGACTGACGCTGCCAGGTTCAGGGGAGGCCATTGTCTGGCGAGCTGCCTCCAAATCTTCCTCTTCGCCGCGAGGCAGGGGAGGCAATGGTGAGTTACGGCCAGCTGCGCCAGGACGCTCGGCTGGATGGATGTCTTCAAGGTTCTTCCGCGGAACGGCCGGTCCCTCATCTGGGGCGGGCGTGGGTGACTGTACCCGGGAGGGCGGCAGTGACGCCGACTTGTCAGGAACCCCAGGTGCCTGGCCGCCTCCATTTGTCATGCTGCCGTAGGTTTCGCTGGTTCCATTAAAATGTCCAGTGCCACGTCCCGCAGTAATATCGCCGAGGTAGGCTTCCCGGATGGTGTCTTTATCATACTTGTTAGCCCACTTCATGGCTGGAGAAGCCTCCTTCATGATCACTGGCTGCAGAGTGAGAATGCTTTGAGTCTTCTCTGCAGCAGCGTCTGCATCGGTCCTCCCCCGTCTTTGCGGTAAAGCTGCCTGTCTCTGCTGTTGTTGCTGCGCACTGAGTTGCCGTGCTGCGGCCTGAATCCTGGCCTGCTGGTCTGTTCCAATGCTCGTTTTGCTAGTGAGGCTCCCGGCATTGCTCGGGTTAAGTTTGTCGCGTCGATCAAAAGCACCTTTACTTGTGGACTTGCTGCGCGACACTCCTCCTCTACCACGTCTCGTCCAGCTGAAGAAGCCTTTCTTTTCCGCGATGTAGGCGCCCTCATCAGGCTCAGGCGCAGCTCCCTTGACCATTTCTTCCATGACGAGCCATTTCCCTGAACGAATGGCAGTCTCGACTACTGCGCATCTACCGAAAGCTGATTTTCGTGCCGCTGTCTCCTCCGGGGCCAAACTACTCATCCATACCCACCAAAAGGCTTCGTCAAGGTCAAATCGCGTAATACTGGCGAGCTCGCCTGGCTCCAGTGGTTGATGAGACTCGAGTCTAGGCCGGTGAGATTGTGAGCTTCGCTGTCGAATGTTTGTCTCGATAGGTGGCAGAACCTTATCTGGCGGTAATAACATGCCGGAGGGTGCTGAGTCGTCCACGAAGCCGGACGACAAGAAATCGGCCCACGAGGGAGTTGTCGGCCTTCCTAGGTTGACACCGGATGCAGGAGTTGTACGCAAGCCATGGGCATGTGGCAGATCAACCTTGACGTAATCTTCGTCTTCTTCAGCCTCTTCCAAGGTAGCACTAAATCCGATATCTTCAAATCGCGACCACGACGCATCGCGCAAGCTGGTGGAATGCTTCGCACTGGATACCTGAGACTGATTGGCCAGCGAGATAGCCTTAAGAACTCTACGGCACTCTTCAGTCAGAGCAGTGACGGGGTCTTCGTACTCGGAAAATTCTTGCAGAGTCTTGTCGTCTTGGCGATACTGGAAATGGCTTGCACGGCGTAGCAGAGCAAATGGCGTTGGTGAAACGGTTTCCACAATCATGACGACTCTATAAGTCGACGAAAGCATGAGGGTGGGCGTCTGCGGAGGGTATTCGGTGTCCTGTAGGAGCTTCTGCAAGGACATGGGTAGTAGGGAGATAGCGGCGCTTCTGGGCTGCTCGGGAGATAGTGATCGGAGATATGCGAAGAATAGATGACTGGTGGCATCGGCGGCGCTGCAAGGTAACCGATCAGTAAGTCAACACTAGCATGCAGATGTAACGATGGCTGTAGGATGACTGCTGCCGTACCGTGACCAGGTTTTGTAACCGCCTTCAAATCCATCACCGGTATCCTTGTGTTCGAAAGCCCACCAGGCAGCCATTCGCGAAAGCTTGCGACCACCAAAACCATTCGCCTTTCCGTGTGCCGCAATAGCAGACAGCAGGTCGAAGTAATCGAAGACAATCTTGGAACGGGCATCATTTTCGACGCTCAGAGGTATAAAGGTCGAGAATGCATCCCGGGCCATATTTGAGTCTATGATATGTTCCATGATTAGCCAAGAGGGGACCAACCGATTCTCTCATCCATTGCTACTCCCATCTCATTTTGGTATGCACCGGGATCTCACCTTGTTCTCCGACCTTGAACAACTCATAGGCGTCCCAACCAACGAGACCACCGGAGATTCTACTCCAGCACCACTTGAGGACATCTGATATGACCTAGAAACAGAAAACAAACGAGATCAGGACGACGGTCAAGAAGTCTCGAATGAGTGGGTGGTGCTACATACCATGGGCTCCGTCATGCGCAGCTCCTGGTCGAGGACACCGCCATGCATTCCATGGGCTTCATTGAAGAAATGGCGGATGAAAGTGCGCACAGCGCTGGGATTTGACGTCGGACGAAAAGGGAGGAGAAGAAACGGAAGATCGAGACCTAGCCATCGACGCCTTATTAGCGAATATCTACGCCGGCAGTGTTATCCACGCAGCATGCTGCTTTGCAACGGAAATGCTTGATGCTTGATGCTTGGGCGCTGCTTAAGCTTGTTTCTCACCTCGTGCTTTGAGTTCGACGGTGCATCGGTTGACCAGATCCTGCACCTCCTCGGGCTCAACCGATGTGCGCGCGTAGGCATCTTCCCAGCGCGGCTTGGTGGTCAATTGAGGGGTTGATTCAGCATAGCCGTTCTTTTTGGATTTAGGCTTCCCATCCTTGCCCCTTATCCGGGAGAATAGGCCAGGCATCTTTGATTAAGTAGGCTGAAGGGGAAATAGTCGACAATTGTCGGGCGAAATCATACAGACCCAGGACCCAGAATTATCGATAGCACGGAAACCAATTGAGGAAATGAAGGGTAGGTTTGTTTGCCTCGGCGGTCGGGGTGGGTAAAACGCAGACCCTGGGGGGGTTGAAGACGTATTACGTCGTTTGACAAATTGAAGGAGAATGGGAAAAGGGGAGAAAGGAAAAAAGCGAGAGAAAGAGGCCAGTTGCCAGTGTTGCGACAACTCAGAGGTGGTGGGGGGTCCCCTGGTTGGGTATCATGTGTAATAATATGCGATTTGTATATGGGCCGTCAATGCACGTCGAGCTGGCGGAACAAGGGGATAGGAAGAATAACAAGGATGACCGGGATGAGGCGGCGAGTGGTGGTGGTGGTGGTGGTCACTGGCGGTGGTCGCTGGTGGATGGATGGGCCGAGAAAGAGAATGGTAAGTGTGCTGGCGACGCGTTTGTGTTGCTGGTGTTGGCAGCGAAGGCTTGATTCGTTCGATTTGTGATTCTGTCGCACCGGCACCAATGTCAAGGTCGGCGGCACATGGGTAACGGGGCAGCGAACAAGGGGGTGCCACTAGGTAAGTACTTACGACGTAGGTTGGATATATAGAGATATATCTATCCGTACCTACATGTACATACATACATACATACACACATACATACACACACGCTGCAACGAACCAACCGCCGTGGTGATGTTTGGTGATGGTGATGGTGATGGAGGTGGTGATGGTGGTGGTGATGATCGTGGTCGTGGTCGTGGTGGCTGCTTGTTCTTCTTCTGTTGATGTTTTTGACCCCCTATCTCAAACAGCGGACGGGCCTACTACCAGATGCCTACAATGGGCTAGTGGTAATTGCCTACTACTTATGTACTAACAGAGGACAGTATGGAGGACTTGGTTCGATGTTGAGAGTCGCTGGTTCGTCAGAAGAAGGAAAGATCAAAAGCATCAAGCGTGGTACCTGCGAGTATGTTCAAGATTGGCTGCTGCCCGCTAACGAAACCCGTCTTACATTAGTGCCATGCTGGCTACCTAGGTACGTACAGATACGTAGGTAGTACTATAGGTACCTACTCGCCTACAGTACCTATGGTACAGGCAAGGTACACGTCACAACTTTGGCTAGATATAAATCAATACGGCACTGCAAGTTGCTGTAACAGTGGTCGACGAGATCCGATTGATCAACTGCCTGGCTACCTTAGTCGATGGTTCGCAGGTACTGTACAAAGAGTATAGTTTATAACTCTGTATGACCTGTACCTAGAAGGCTTGGACAGGAAATGGGCAGAATGGAAATTGCAGGACGGGAGCCAGCGACGCTACTAGCGAGGCTAGTGGGGGAGGTACCGGTAGGTAATGTCCAGGTACCAGAATCACCAGAAAGTGAATCCTTTGCTCGTGGGCATCGTTTCTGTAGAAGGGAAACAAGTCAGTCAGCCCCCAATGGTACGGCCCATCAATAGAGCCGAAACCGCCACGATCCATTGGAGATCCATTGGATCACCGTGTCACCCGTGCATATCGAAAGCGCCACAGCCGTTCTCTTTTCTCCCGACCAGCTGGCACCCCACCTCTACTACCGGTAACTGATATCAGCACTTCTCGTCGATGCTCGATAAACACCACCTGGACTAGCCATTGGCGAAACCCGGACCGGATACAGGCATATGGTGGGTGATCCTTAGGTATCTACCTTACAGTAGGTAGTGAGTGATCCTCCGGGGAACGCCACAGATGGCATATACCGATAACGAGTTTGCGCCTCACGTTGACAACACATCTCCAGTAGGTACGGGCAGAGGTATCTATCTCCAGGCTACATAGGTAAGTAGGAGGTAGGTAGGTATCTGGAAGCCACCCTCAGAAGCTGTGCGCCAGGCAAGGTGAACCCCTTTTTTCCATCGTCCGACTGACATCCGTCGACGTCTCCTCGCCCAGTCATGATACCGGTGGCAACGCCGACCGTGCATGGACAATTGTCGAGGCACATCTCATTTAAACCCCCTGGCCAATGAATCATCCCGACCTGCTTTCCCGCAACTCCTCCATTGGACAAAAGGGTTGGCTTCCAGTAACGGGACGGTACCTAGCTGACTGCGTGTAATGTGTAATGTACAGACAGGCTACCGCATCTAGATATACACAGTCCGATATCATTTCCTCAACACCAACGGCAAATCCCCTTCTCCTTCTTCTTCTTCTTCTTCTTCACTGCTCAGATGCTACGGCAACTGGGTTATGTAGGTAGGTAGTTGAAAGCTTGGGTGGTCCGCGCGCGCGTCATTTAACCAACGACATGGGGTACCACCTCCATGCATCCGTTAGCTTAGCCAGATATACTGCCAGATATAATGGAATGGTATTGGTAGTTACTATATGGTACCATGGTAGCATTTATCTCCAACTTTTGTCTCCAGCATGCTGCGGTAACTCGACGCGTCTTATTCGCGTGTTTCGTCTACCTACCAACGAAGTAGTCACCTTTTCTCTCACTCTCACTCTCCTCTCCTTTTCGCCAACCGTGCCACAAAAGATCTAAAGATACCTAGGTACCTCGCCAGAAAAAGAAGTTGTCACCTACCTACTCAGACCCATGCTATTCACGCGCAGGCAAACGTGGGTAACCAATTCCATTCAGTGTAACAGCTTGGTACACTTCCTGCAGGTCGACAATTCAGCGTCTGCCAGCGAACCTCTGCAGCCCGGTGGCTGCTGGATCGCCCAGTAAGCATGTCTCTTCCACTTGCCTACTTACTAACCCTGGCAAGGTGGTTTTCGAGGATGAGGGACTAGGTATAAGTTCTTTACAGGTTGCTGCGAATTCCAACACGCGATCAAAGTGGACCGACCGATTGACGATGGATTATCTCTCTCCACTTTCCCGAAAAGGCAAGTTTTCCGGAGACCGGACGTCAACGGACAGACATATCTACTTACATCATCACTTTATCAGTACGGACACGCCTAATTAATCTTACACGAGTCTTGAGATGAAAGAAATCGGTATAGCACAATCACACACATCACCATTCTAGGCCACGTACAGACATGTAAATGTGGGTGATAATGGTTTTATACCTGACTAAGTCTGCGGATAAGGTGAGCAATTGATTAGAATTCTCCTAGCAAATAACACGATTGTCCATCCACCAGCGAAATCCTGCCAACAAGGAGGAAATAAAAGGCGGAAACACAAGGCGGAAAGTGGGAAATGAAGGAATTGCGTAAGCTGTGTCCGGAAGCAATGTCTCACGGCAGCCACAAAAGCACAGCAGCCCGTGATCCGTGATCCGTGATCCGTTGGGGTCCGTTCCGCGATCCGTACGAGATCTGAACAACCAACTAACCAGCCAACCAAACCTAGTCCCGATCTTACCACGTATATATGTACAAGTAAGTAAGTGGGTAGATAGGTAGGCGAATAGGTAAATAGATAAGATGCCATCGCCCATGACGCCTCAAATGCACGTTCGACGATAAACCCGAATGAATGGACGCGGGGAGTGATGACGATACATTCGTGACTCGCACCATAACCATCTATTCGGTAGAGAGAAAAGAAAAGAAAAGATAGCAAGGAGCAAAACACAGTTCCTAATATACAATCCCCTCTCAATTAAGTATCATCACCATTAATACCCATTCTTATCTTATTAATCCCTCGGGAGAACACACACACAGCGAAGAGCGTATCCAGCCCAAACATGTCCCATTACTCGAAATCCTCCTTTCCTTTCCCTTCCCTTCCAATTTTCCCTCCTTCTCTTTTTGTCCCATCCCATTTCCACATCCATACATCCATCCATCAAGTAAAATACAAGAACCAATCAATTCTCTTTTCCCCCCATTATCAAGAAACGATGGGAGTAATCTATCGCGCACCAGGGAGCGTGGAAAAGTGTACCGAGGGGGGTTATAAAACGAAGAAAAGCCAAAACTCAACTAGCCTAAACGCCAGACAGACAAATATTTTAACAAAAATCCCCCTGATCTCTCAAGGTCACACTTACTTACTTTTTTACTTACTCTCCTCACCAGGATTCCCATCCTCACCCCGCTTTTCAAGGACACCGCTCTCTTCTTCCCCCGAAGCCTTTACTTTCCCAACAGCAACGACAGGCGTAATAGCAGTCTCGGCCTCGGCCTCAGCCTCAGCAGCAGCCAGCGCAATAGCCGCCTCCTCATCTTCATCGACATCTTCATTCCCATCAATCTTCTTATTCTCCTTCTCTTCCTCCACTTTCTTACTAACAGTAGGCACCCCATCCGGGTTCAGATTCCAATCAATCTCCCCATCCTCATCTCCATACCGATTCCTTAACCACTCATTCGCCTTTCGAAAGTGTCCACAGTCGAAAAATCCACGCGAGGCGCTCAGCGGCGAAGGATGCACGCTCTTCAGCACGAGATGTTTCTTCCCGTCGACGCGCGCGACGCGGTCCCCCGCGGGCTTCCCCCACGCGAGAAACACGACCCCCCTCGTCCGCTTCTGAGCGACGAGGTCGATGACTTTTTGCGTAAATGCCTCCCACCCGCGCTTCTGGTGCGAGTTGGCGGCGTGCGCGCGGACCGTGAGACACGTATTCAGCATGAGCACGCCGCGCTCGGCCCAGGGCGTCAAGAGGCCTCCGCTCTTCGGGGGCGGGACGAAGGATGGATAGTCCTTCTTCAGCGCGATGTACATGTTTTTCAGCGAGGGCGGCGCGGGCGTCGGCGGGCGCACGGAGAAGCAGAGGCCGTGGGCCTGGTTGTGGTTGTGGTAGGGGTCCTGGCCGAGGATGACACATTTTACTTTGTGGAAGGGTGTGTGGCGGGACCTGCATGCATGAATTGGTAAATATCTCGATTAGTTCTTGCTTTAGTTACTCAAATCAAATCAATCAGTCGATTGGCGGGCTGGAGGTGTAGCGGGATATATATAGATGAGGTAGATAAAAAAAATCATTCGTTTCAAAAACAGACGATAAAGGGAAAAAGTGAAATTGAGCAGTCCGGTCTTGAACATACCAAGAATAAACATCCTCGCTTGGTGGGAAGACGGTCTGTCCAGAGCGAACCTCCCCCTCGATGAATTTCTTGAGCGCAATGAACTCGGGCTTGACGACCTCGTCCTTGAGAAGCGCCAACCAGCTCGGATCCATAGTATTAATTTCAAGGGCTAGATGCTTCTTCTGCTCAGGGGTAAGCGTAGCAACCCATTTCTCCTTATCGAATCTCGCCGCCAGATTTCCCACCGAGGCAGGATCGTTTGCAGCAAAAGGTATTCCGCTCCCGCCAGCCTTTGTTGCCCCCGCAGCCGCCGCCGCCGCCGTCTTGGGCGCCTTGAAGAATGACGTGATGCTCCCGTTCGTCTTGGCCTTCTTGCTTGCGTCGGCAGCCGCCGCGTCGCCTTTTCTCTTGACTGACGACATCCCGAACGCCCGTGTGCTATAGTAGGGTATTTTCGCGTCCGAAGAGCCGCACAATGGACGTGGCAGAGCAGGTCGATGATGTCTAGCTCTTAGTCGCAGAGAGGGAGGATGAATCGAAAACAAGCACCGACGATTGAGAAGCGTAGACGACCGATTCGCAATCAGACTGGCACCAGAAATGCTCGTGATAGTAGAGAAGAATCCTTTGTAAATTTTCACAATCGAGCGTGTGCTGAGGTAAAACACAGCAAGTTCAGGTGCCGTCGTCGAAATCGTATGACGCAGATGCCGCCAGGGACGTAGCTGCGCCACAAGATTCGTTGAGGGTGCAATCTTGACTTATTCTCGTGGAATTCGTATTCAACTGGGTGGATCAAGAGAATACAAGACGCCAATTTGCACAATTATAGACAATTCGACAGTTGCAATTGGTTTCAGGCAGATTGGGTCATGTTAATTGAGAATTGTAGGTAGGTAGGATCCTTGATGCTTGTTAAGATAGGTACCTAGGTAGGAATACCTACAATGGATCGCGCCGTAGAGACGTGCCGTAGAGACGCGACTCGCGTTAGGCAGCACACGTACTTTACGCGAACTCATGTGGCACGTGCAGCACCTACATATTAACCTCCCCTCCAGACTCCCTCCTTGCATGTTCGCTATTCACATTACTTTAGGTACGATGCCCGTGTAGATTTCCACACAGGTACTTATATATGCATCGGACAGCGAATGGATAAACCCCTTCATATCAAGTCTTAAGAGGACTTGAATTAAACAATCCATGCATGTACTAGTAGAAGAAGTATGTAGAACCAACATCGCGCCATACATGTAGGAAGCACATCAACCCCAACATCCTCATTAGTGATACGCAGTTAATCATACAATCAGTCGCCGGTCCTCTTACACTTTAGCCCTCGATTCCTCGTGAGATTCTTGTGGAAGTTTTGTCTTTCACCCACCCAAGACCATTCTATCATGTGATCCTCTAGGATGCTGTTTGTTTCCTCTGTTCAAACCCAAAACGAATCCCGCATTTTCCCTCTTTTTTTGGTACAAAAATGCATGCGGTTCCACCCGTCTATCGCAGAAATGCCGTAGCCGCTTCTCCAAGGTATCATGAAACCAGAATTAACGCCAGAGCCAAGACCGGCCCGATGCAAAACAGACAAAGAATATAGGAGTCGAGTGAAGATGTGTGTACGTTGGCCTCCTAGTCGTCTCGTCATTCCCGCGCCTTCCATAGCTCTTCAAGAATCGTCAATCCGACGGTCCACCTGCTCCGCCATGGCATGCCGTTCGTTGACGCTCCGGAACACTCTCTTGCCCACCTCGTAGCTGCTGATCATAATCGCACATGCTGGGGCGACCTTGAGGGTCCGAGGAATCCACCCTTTCCAGAGTCCGGCCACACCCTCGGTCCTGGCGATGTGCCACAACAGCCGTACCATGTTGCTCTCTTCGGGCGCCAAGGCCTGTCCGGCCGACGCCGTCGTCTTCTTGGCAGAGTCTTGGTACACCTGTGTCCTAGTCTTACCGACATCGAAAGGCATGGTGACCATGGACGCAATAGCACCCGATGAAGCCCCTGCCGTAAAACTGTCTATCAAGACGGCCGTATGGTTTTCCCGACTCTGTGACCTGGCCCTCTCTCTCGAGCGCGAACTGGGGTCGCGCGATAGTGAGCGGCCGCGATGGTCTTCGCGCATGTCCGTCAGCCTGTTCCGGATCGTCTCATATCCCAGCCAGTAAAGTCCCGAAAATGGCACGTCGCGCCATAGATGAAGGGTGATGCCCCGCCATAGAGACCGATAGCCATTCTCGGCAACCATCTCCCGGAGCCCCTTAAGCGTGTCCTTGAGGTGGCTTGTTGCCGTAGAACCAGAAGAAGCCTGCAGACGGGTCTTGAAGAGCTCAATAGGGCTGACAGCAGCCACGGCCAGGATACGTGCCGTAGACCCCGCCGTCACGGCTTTAACATCATCCCTGGCCAGCCGACTTATAGGGCTTTTCTTCTTGTATCGTAACCAATCGTAGCCCGTAAAGTAGATAATGTTGGCAGGGATAGCCATGAGGAGTGTCGGCGATAATCCCCTCCACAACGTGGTGAATCCCTCGTTGCGGGCGATTTTGCGCATGCCGTCAAAAGTCGATGTGAATGTACGTTTTTGGGCCTCCTCGACGGCACACTCGGCTCCAGCCCCGACCCCGGCGCCCCCAAGCCCCTCTAGCCTCGGGCCGACGATGCAAACTTCAGCGTTATTGTTCATGAAGAATACTTCTCGGCAGCACGAGGTAATGCCGAGATTGGATGGCCGAAAGCCTTGGTGCGGCGAGACGACTAATTTCTGAAAGCCCGTGTTGGCGGTGGGCTGCGGCGACGAACCTTGGGATTGTAGTCGAACGCGTACGACGTCGAGGGGAGTGACTGTAATCACATCGGTTAGCATACGATGTTGACAGAGGTAGGGTAGCGGTGAACAAACCGAGAAGTGAGGTTAACAGGCTGCCGGTGATTGCGGAGGCCATCTTCTGGCCGGCTGTGATGTCCATGCCATCGGTATTCGCGTGGTCCTGGGACGAAGAGACCATAGTCGCGCCGGCAAAGGCATCTTCAGCTTTCCGTATTCTATCGTGGCTCTGACCAGCGAAGCCGGCATTGTTCGCCGACATTGTAACTGTGAATTGTGGGAGATCTGAGTAGCTGGGCGATTGGGGGCTGGTATCCGGGGGGGAATCCGGAGAACGCCCGTCAAAGGGAAGAGTGGCGCAGTGGAGGGGGGCGATCAGAATGCGATTAGAAGCTAATGAGGAGTATTCTAGAATATGTGTGGGGAAGCGGTCAGGTAGACTGTTGATAATGCTTGAGCTACCTAGGTAGGTAGATAGGTGTTGAGCTGATCAGACAGGACAGAGGGGGGACAAGCGGTGGGAAAGATGAGATGAAGATGGCGATGGCGATGGCGATGGATAGATTCACCCAAGCCTAGCTTCAATGTTAACTAGCTGTATATACCTAGCTCGAGATGATTCAGTGCCATCAGATAAGTAAGACGTAAGTTAAGTTTGAGAATCTCCGGATTCCGGGAGTGACATCAAGGTTCTACTTCGTATGTAGGTCCCATCTCTGCGCCCATCTGTGGTGCTAATCATTTGTGGACTTTTGCCACTTTTTTTTGTGACGCACTATCAATTTGGCTTAGTAGGTAGGTCAGACTAGTGCTCTGTCAGTGCTCGGATTTAAAAGATTTAACGCAGTGTAACCAGCCGAGCCAACCTCCAGCTGCTCCGGCACGCCGGATAGCCACAGACCCCACCCGGTGAAGTCACTTACTTAGATTGATATATCTCCACCTCCATAGCAAATCGCTCCAGGTCGTCTTTGATCGTTCAACAAATTGTGTCATCCGTTCTTTCAGGCTAATAACAGTATATACCTATTGAGGTACTGTAGGAAATGTAACATACTCTCTCATAGGACGATGTTGTTGATATGTATCTGATAACAACAAGTATTTACTACATATATGTAAGTAGCAACACGCTCGCATTGGCACACAGCACTACCCCTTATGTAATCGGGGTTTGACCAGGATACAAGGGAGCTTGCCTTTCTGATAGATCGGAGTCGATCGGAGCAGGTATACGGTATACCTACACTACCACAGTATGCCGATACTAGGCGGCGGTAAAGTGGATGAAGGGGCTCACACCTGCAGCTGTGACTGCTCCTTAGTCATCTTCCTTACCAGAAAAGGAGTTTAACCCACAGTTCCCCAAGCAGGTAATATGTTACTGGTTGCTGTTGGTAAGCATGTAATCGAACAATAGCCACGCGAAGAGCAAGCAAAAAGCAAGCTAGCGAGCCAGCTCCTCCTCCTCCTATCAAGTGAAAGGATTGCGAAGGTCTTGAAACTCTACGATCCAATGTAAGTATCACATTGCTTCAGCTAAGAAAGTCCAGTGGGCAATCAAAGAGTCAATATATCAATATATACCCAGATATCCACAGATGCTCCCAATAGTGCCAATACGCCCCCTCCAATTTTGTCTGTTCTTGTAGTACGGTACCCTCTGGTACAGATTCCGATGCTAGACGAGAAAAAAAAAAAAATAGGCAGATAGCAATGAGAAGCGACCTCCCGACCCTCCTTGCAGGTATTTACAGCTTATATCGGTTGGAAGTAATGGGGTACAAAACCTGGGAAAGAAACCAATTGTGCCTCCCTTGTCTCCCTTGTTTCCTGCTTCCGGCTTGTAGAACACGCAACCTTGCGTGCTGCATGAGGTTCCTTCTGTTAGGATAGGCGATGTTCAGGGCCATACAAAGACCCTACCTGGCTCTTGAAGATGGCCTTGACGTTGTACGTCTGTGGACGCGTGACCGTCCGCCGACGGGGATGTGGTCGACGGCCTGACTGTTAGAATACTGGGTTAGCTATTTCAACATGTCTGTGTAAGGGTGAGCGTACAAGAAGGCGTTGGTGACATGGGCTTATCATCTGTTCCGAATTTCCATCAGGCTTCTCTGTGCGGTTAGGACTTATACACCGTTCTCGAAGTGAACTTCCAAGGTGGAACTGTCCCAGTAGCGTGTTTCTAGAGATACCACGGTGTAGTATGGGTTCTTCATCGTCACTAATGTCATTGTGATTCGTATCGTCATCATTGTCTTGCAGCCAGTCCTTGTTGTCGCTCGATTCAGACTCTACGCCACGTTCCATAGTTTCTGAACGAGCATATATATGCTCATCCTCATCACCCAGGACATGTAAATCCGACTTCTGGGGTCCTTTCTTAGGTTCATCGCCTTCAGGACTCTCCTCAGTCAAATCGACAGTACTACGATTCAACTCAGACCAGAGATCGTTTTCGTCGGTCATTCCTATCTTTTCTGCCTTTGAGGTAGCAACCTTTTTGGCCTTCTCTTCCTTCTCGTTGAGATTAAAGACCTTTCGAACTAATTCGTACTCGTCTTTCACGAGGGCTTTGAGATTTTCGAGTTCTTTAATGTACTTTGCCTCGAAATCTGCCGTCGAAGGCTCGTTGTGCAGCCGTAGGGCCGCTCGTAACAATTGTTCTACACCATTATTTTTCAAAGCTTCCTCGGCGGCATTAGCTTTGCTAGCAACGGAACGCGATATAACGCTCTCAAGAGTACTGCTTAGACTCGCAGCGCCCGACATCTCGATTTACTATCTCAATATTAGCGCTGCGTAAGGCCAAGATGAACCTATATGTAGTCAGGGTTTAAAGTCATTGAGTTGCAATTCTTACCTTGGCGAGCGTGGTGAAGAACAACCGTCAGTGGTCTCAGAACGGAAGAACAAAGAGATATGCTGTATATAGCCAGAGAAGTCTGAATGCCTTCAGACTTCTGACCTTTTCGACCTTGTCCCACAATGAGAGTCTTACCATATACCTTGTACAGCCTTTCTGACAACAACGAAAGGCAGCAACAAGCGGGGCATATGGCAATAACTCAGCTTCTAATGATGAGGGATGCAGGTAATAAGAGTTCAGGTCAAAGATATAACTATGACGATCAAAATAGAACCATAGAGGGAAATAAACAGAAGTAATGGGCAATATCGATCATAGATGATGGCTGCTTTTTAATTCTGGGGATGGATAACGATAGAATGACTGTTTTTGGCAAGGAAGGTCTACAAATATACGTACCTACTTAGCATAATTTTATCTGCTGATTCTACAAAGTCCTCAAAAATAATTTAGGAAGGCACGGTTGTCAGATATTGTAACGCTCTTGCCAATATTATATAACTAGGTTTCCATTTTTCCATTCTTTACTTCCTATATACTTGCACTTTTGGAAAGGCATAATACAACATAACTTGCCTGGGGATTATCAAATATTAAAGTGTTTGGAAATCATTTATTATATCTTATTATACTTTAGACGAACACTTTGCTCTCACGGTCATATCCTAACAGTTGGAATTCCGCAGCTGTATGTAGAAGCTCCCATGTGTTGTGTGAATAACTTGCGAACCTTCCCTTCGTACCCTTGACTGGCAATTGGGGTACTCGGCATCCATCACTAGACAGCAGCGCAGCTTTAGATATGTGACTACCAGCTGTGATGAATTAGAAGAAGCATGTCGATTTTCTACGACGATGGAGTCAGGCCACCAAGGCCAAGAAGGGGTTGGTTGGTCAAGGACTCCTGCAACCCCAGTTGATCATTGTAATCTGAATAGCTTCAATTCCAAGTCTAGTCACCTGCCCTTATTATATCCACATAGTTAAAGAATCGCACCCTCCAGTATAAATATGATTACGGTGCGGTAAACGCTTCATGGATAATACTTGCTAACATATCTTATGATGGAGAATGGATGTATATGGGTTACTACCCTTAGCTTCGAGATGATGCACCCGGACGTCGTATTGACGTTGCCGCAGCCAAGGGCCGCACAGTCTGCGCCCCTCGAAAGAGCCAAAGAAGTCGCCTTTGATTCACCTTTAATCGTGAAGCCTTTCCACGCCACGAGCCGTTATTACATGGGACGAGCTTGGAAGACAGCTTCCGATGACATTCGCACCAGAATTCATAGTGATCAGCGGAAGCGGTATACAGCATGACTTTGGAGATATGCGGATCGGACAAAAAGTCCAGAAAGGTCTGAAAAGGTCGGGCAGCTAGAAAAGCCGGCCCCTGATATTCTATGTCCTTGCCGGGCCCGATAAGCAGGGGAATCTCATTGTCACAAAAGTCATCATCATCAGACCAGGCGTCGGTCCAGAAATCTATGCGAGAAAATCTGCCGCTGATTTCTAGCCGTAGAGTGTGAAGGCCGCCTTTGTCTGCCATCTCGCGCAAGACAGGAACATAGGCGCTGTGAAAGGTGCGGAGGTTGGTCTTGTGAGAAATGGTTAAGTTCATGGTACGGACGTGACGTCGGGGCGATAGCGCGGTGATAGGCTCGGCCAGCAAGCCGGGAGGCTCGGGCCGACGAGAGATGTCTACCCAAGTTTCATGATAGAAGATATCGGCTGCCTCTGTGTACAGTCTACGGCATGCTAGGAATATCTTGATAACGTGAATCTGTTCCTCGCAGTCTTGGAGAGCGAGGCTGAGGACCTGGACTCGTAATTCAGGGGGCAAATCGAAGAGACGGAAAGGTCCCTTGGGTTTCCATCTCGCGGCGACTGGCAGTTCATGGGACAGCTGAGGCCTAAGAGCAATTGATTTGCTACCAAAGGATTTTCTCGCAGTCACCCATTTCGTCGGGGCCATTTCCTTACAAAAATTGAGTGTAATGGTGTATCTAGCGCGACCACTGCCTATGTTGAAGAAGATGATGGATGGGCCACTTCAGTTGGCGTGGTAGTTGATTGGGTAATGGTACTCGAATGTTTGACTATCATTACAGCAAAACAGCAAAACAGCAAAACGTTGTAGAATAGCGACAACCTAGTACAGGCCTAGTAGGCGTGCTGCTTTAAATCAAATTGACTGTATGAAGAATGCAGATAGCCATGAGCTGGATGAGGTTGACCACTTGTGCAGATGGCATCTTGAAGGTCCCCGTAAATAGGAGGCAAGCCCAGCCGGCCGGGGGTGCCCTGCACTGACTGACCCCTGCCTCTGCCACTGTGCTGCGTAGTAGTAGGTACACCAAGGCCTCGGCCTGGGACCCCCAATCTACCTAGGTACCTAGTGCTTCACGAAGGATATCAGATGTAAAATTTAATATTCAAGTCGCTCTTTTACAAGCCGCTCTATCGCCTTGTATGCAGCAGTAACACGCAAACGGTCCCTGTTGTGCTCCGGGCATATTCCTGATGCTGTTCTCGCCCCCATAAACCAGTCACAGGCGCCAATGCCTGCCCCGAACAAGAGTGGAAGAAGAACAGCAGAGGCGACAGACCTCGGAATCACCATGGGCGTATCTTCCATCTTCCGCAATGTCTATGACCTCGACACCCTCGACACTCGCTTCACCGTCTCGTCCAACACTCCCTACAAAACCGTCATAGACGCCCGAAACGATGCGACCGCTGCAAGCAGGGAACGCGCTGCCAAGTGGAACAGCCGGCTGTCGTCGCAGTCAAAATCGAGGTGGAACACACCCGAATTTTACCTGTACTATCTCGTCTTCATCTTAGCGATACCTTACATGTTCTGGAGTGCCTATGATGCTTCAAAACGTATGGTCAAACCTTCCCTTCCTTCGTCTACTCCATGTCGCGCCTTGACCGTTAACACCCTTCATCGCAGCTACACATCCCAACTACAGAAACTACGAGCGCTACCTCTCGCCGGGCTGGATTCCTGGCCGCAGAATCGTAAGGGACTCAACTCGTGCGCGCCATTGTTATTCATGTGTATGCTAACCGAGCGAACGAATGGCAGGACGTCACTGATTCGCAATACCGCGCCTTTCGCAGCAACATTCCTTACCTCGCCGCGCTTGTCGTACTCCACCCCCTTCTCCGGCGGCTGTATAATATGGTGGTCTACCGCGCCCAATCGGGTGGCCAGGCGTCGCGGCCGACGTTAGAAGAGGCAGACCAGAGGTTGAACCAACGAGCCTCCTTCGATTTTGGCTTCGCTATGATATACCTAGTTGCTCTACACGGAGTCTCGATCGTCAAGGTCCTCGCCATTCTGTACCTGAATTACCAGGTCGCTACCACAGTGCCCCGGAAATCGATTCCTGCTGCGACGTGGGCGTTCAACATCGGCACCTTGTTCGCGAACGAGCTCGGTAACGGCTACAAGTTCCGGGACATCGCTTCACTTCTTTGGGGGTTTCTCTCGGGTGGATTGATAGACGATTCGAACAGCAGTCTCGTGCATTGGGGCGCATGGATCGACAGTTACGGCGGACTCATGGGTAGGTGGGAGATCCTCTTCAACATTACCGTTCTGCGCCTCATCAGCTTCAACTTGGACTACTACTGGAGCTTAGACAGGAGAAGCGCTAGCCCTGTAGAGGTATGATGATAAATTCTTCTCCTACTGGCTTTTGTTCTGCGATTGTACCACGGGAGATCTAATAGCCCAAAGAAGAAGCAGCTCGATCCCTCTTCATTAAGCGAACGAGACCGCGTCTCAACCCCAGCGCAATCCAAGGATTTCTCCTTCCGCAACTACGTCGCCTACGCCATTTACGCCCCGCTGTATCTCACGGGCCCCATCATCACGTTCAACGACTACATCTCGCAGCTCCGCTACAAACCCGCGAGCCTCGAGACCTCGCGCACCATCCGCTACGCCATCCGCTTCGCCTTCGCGCTGCTATCCATGGAAGTCATCCTGCACTACGACTACGTGCAAGCCATTGCCAAGGTCTCCCCGCGCTGGGCCGAGTACACGGCCGCGCAGCTGTGTCTCCTGAGTTACTTCAACCTGCATCTCATCTGGCTCAAGCTCCTTCTGCCGTGGCGTTTCTTCCGCCTTTGGTCTCTCGTCGACGGCGTCGACCCGCCCGAGAACATCATCCGCTGCGTCAGCAATAATTGGAGCACCCTCGCCTTCTGGCGCTCCTGGCACCGCTCCTTCTACCGCTGGTCCCTGCGCTACATCTACCTCCCGCTCGGGGGCTCCTCCTTCTCCACGGCCCGCGACGCCGCGCGCTCCGTGCTCACCTACGTCCTCGTCTTCACCTTCGTCGCCCTCTGGCACGACATCCAGCTCAAATTACTCATATGGGGCTGGCTCGTCGTCTTCTTCATGTTGCCGGAAATGGCCGCCGGCTCGCTCTTCCCGAAAAGGAGGTGGGAGCGCCATCCTACGGGTTACCGTATGCTGTGCTGCGCTGGCGCTGTCGCGAATATCCTTATGATGATGACGGCGAACCTGGTCGGCTTTGCGTTTGGTGTTGATGGGCTGCGGTCCATTCTGGCAGGTATTTTTCAGCATTTTACTGGTGAGTTAATATTATTATTATTTTTTGGGGGGGTTGGGGGGTTATATGATTTATCCACTCATCTCTCATCATCTTTCGCTCCTACATATTTTACGCTGTTTCGTCCTTCCATTTTTCTACTTTCCTCCCTCGATCATTTGGTGAAAAAAAGGCCCCAAAAAGCCCACAAAGAATGGACTCATTTAATGGTGATGAAGAGCTAATTCATGGAAAATTCTGCTAGGCTATGTCTTCCTCGCTATAGCGTGTACGGTGCTCTTTGTCGGCGTACAGGCCATGTTTGAGATCAGAGAATCGGAGATGAGGCGCGGGATTAACTTGAAATGTTGATTGTGACGCTTTTCAAGCGTGTGGTCTGGCTAGATGGCGCTCGGAATGCAAGGAAGACGTTTATTTGTGGTGTGGGTATTATGTATGTATGTGTGTACGTACATTTGTAGACTTTATCCTAGACTTTATATAAAAGTTGAGAATGCATGAAAACATGAGTATGACATTAATGGACTTGTCATTTAGAATGAGTGTGATTTAATTACTTGAATGTTAAGTCAGTGCTTGCTTGGTATGATCACATAGACGTATAGGCTGAATCAACGGAGTATGTTGTATAATGCATACATAAAATGTGCTGTGTATTATCAAGGGCAGGTGATGTGTTTTGGAGGAGGCTGTAGACTGTATTAAATATAATCTTCTTATCCTCTATCAATGCATTTGAATTATATAATCACTTATGAGTCCATGAGCCCGAGCATACACTTGCTTCTAGGCGGGTTGCTTTGAGCTGCTGCACCAAGATTTGCACATCTCGCGCTTCTTCTTGCGGGTATTGTTAGGTTTCTTGTTGCAGCCCGCCGTTCCTCCCAATCTCATTGCCTTGCTTGGCCTCACAGCATAGTCTTATCCTTCTATTTGCGATCCCCGCATTTACTTATCGCTTAAAAGAAGATTTCAAAGGCTGCTTATTGAAAATGGATTCTTAACAGTACTTAAGTCTACTTCGATGTATTCGACTTGTAAAGGATGGAACATTTGTTACGAAGGTTTATATAGGTTAGCGCGCTAGTTTTTGTAGGACCGCTAGGCTCTGTCGTAACCAGGCGCGCAAGGCCATTAAGATGTACGCTTGATAAACAAAAGGTGTTGAGCTGGTACTGACGAGCCTTGTAGCTTGTGTGACATATATTACATGGCCTTTTAAAGGACTGCATGGTATTAGGAAGCGGGGCTTCGACGGCAATATTGTGAGGGTATGAGATGATTTACTTGTGGCGGTTGACGTCTTCGACGCTGTCGTTGACGAGACATGTCACCTCGTTAATCATTTTGTAAAGCATCCATGTGATAATCGAGGATAACTGAGAAGGGGCTTGTGACCATCACCATAGCGGCTGAGCGTCTCTCAACGTTGAAGTTCCAGCAGGTTAGGGGTGCTAGAGGTGCAGCTTCAGCTTCACTCAGACAACTGGCCTCGCTGTCTTCAAGACTTACACATCTACTTACCTACACTTCCAATATTTATCAGAAACGTCACACTCCTTGGTACTCTTTAGGTGCTGGTGACTCGAGCATGAGATGATGATAATAGCTGTGTTAGCATGTTAACCCTAGAGAGACTGCCTACTTGATTGTGTATGTGCAGCGTACTGCATCACGAACCTTACCTGTTCAGCTGGGACATGTGCAAGCTAATGACACTATATCTTCGAGCTCGCACCTCATCGCCAAAATATCTTCTCGGAAACAATCCCTGACTTCTTGCGACATGTTCACTTGACGCTGTACTTCCCTAGAATGAGTGTCAGGAGTTACTTCTAGATGATGAGCAACACTAGATAGGTATGAGCGAGCTTGATGCTTGCCGCGGAGTCGACCGTGAGAGTGAGCATCGTCGAGCTACGACTGTCGTTCATCGGCTAACACCAGCGTCAAGAAGATGATGGGTAATTAATCATATCATCAACAACGGTCAATTGCTTCATGTTCCCATGCTTGCGAAATGGAATACCAGTCAGTGCCTTGTCCATTTATGTCAACTTCTTATCCCTAGTGCCAACTCATTCATCATTCATCCCAGTCTGCAAGACACTATGATTGTTACTGCTATTGTTCCGCGCCTCAATCAAACCATGTGGCAAATCCGTAAATTCGGGCGGTATCCCTCCACCCTCCCTACGGGTGGAATAATCTGATCTTCCTTGTCCCGCACACGCGATCGCGGCGCTGTTCCCGTTGATGCTGCATAGGTTGATTGTTGGGAGTGGCTGTGATGGCATCTGGGGCAGAGGGAGAACTAGTTCACACACGCTGGATATCACAGTGAGAGAGAGAGGAAAATATGTGTGATGAGAGAGAGAGAGAGTCGAAGATTACTTTGCGGCGGTGAATAAGATGGGGAGGGAGGAGATCAGGAAGAAAGATGAATGAGGAGGGAGTGAGAATTGACATTTTTTCCCTCCAATGATTAACCGAATTGTGTTTGCGATGTTACTAGAGTTTTCTGTTTCGGGTAATAGCCTCACGTATGCGTGTATGTATGTTTTGATTCATTTTTCTTATTCTCTTCATGCGACCTATTTGCTCACACCCTTCTCACCGTCTCTACCGTACAGACCGTGGTGGTAACCAGTATCATTCTCATTAAACGACGGGAGGGATTGATCCATGCGCCGGATGTTATCACCAATCTAGGCATTTCGTGTCCTTTATGATCGTAATTTACCTTTTTATGTGTATGTTTACAACAAACCAACACACACACACACACACGGAGAGAGATTGAGAGAGAGGGTGGGGGAACGGTCCCTCTGTATCATTTGTGTGTCTTTGCTCTTCCGATTCAAAGTTTTGCAGCGGTGATACTCGACCTAGTGACGCATGCATCAGTGAAACACTGTTTCTCGAGAGTGCGGCTAGTATGTAGAAAATACATGTAGAGTTTCTGTACATGTATGGGCGTGATTAGGCAACGCTCAAGCAACACACAAGCCGACCCCAATGCTTGAAGAGCTATGAAGGCCGTACAAGAGCACGAAGGGCTAAGGAAAGCCGTGAAGGGTGCGGCGCGAAATAGGGGCTGCGAGCGTTGGATTTGGTGGGATGGCGGCAAGGCAAAAGCGAGCCTGTACACAGTTAGATCTACGGTAAGGCAGGTATTGGGGCCGTCAATATGCGGCTTGGCACATAAATTGGTCCAATCTATGCATAATCATGCAATGTCCTGATTACGAGAACGCAGCGAGATAGGTGCCTAATGTCGATTGCGAATATCCGGTAGGGGTTCGTTAACAGGACGCTGTTACTCTAGACTGCCTATGAACTTTGCGAGTCGCGGTCGGGGTCGAGTGTTGATGGTGGTGATGGCATCTATGCTAAGTGGTAGCCAGAGAGATGAGATGTCGTCGGTCACTATGATGGATTGCATCAGAAAGTACATCAGCACTACTAAATCATGTCGATATTGAAGTGTGGTAAGCTTACTATTCGGTCGCTTTGTTGGGTCAATCAGTAACCATAAATAGGTAGCAGGAAAAGTGTCTTGACTCTCGGCCCATCGGGGCCATTCATCTTGATTGGGTTTATGCTAAAAATCAGGCCGGCCGACCGGCGAGTCGAGGGAGAATGATATCTGCGTCGTCCTGTTTGCACGCGCGTATCTGGGAGCCTACTTGATGGTTAAAATATGCCTCCTTCGCAGTCAGGATCGTGGTGAAGGAAAAGGGCAGTTAGAAAAGGTGAGGACAAGGAGAGAGCGTGTAAATGAGTGAAGAATGACGACCTCTAGATCAGATCAGATCAGCCTAGATTAGATTAAATAGATGAGATAGATCAAATAGATTAGATCAGATAGATTAGATGTTGCCGATCTCGGGTAGATCAATCTGGGAATCTAGGTCTAACCAAGTTTGGCGCTTAGGTAGGAACTCGCAGTAATCATTACGATGTCGTAAGATGAGTAACATTCACACCACGAGTACAAGTAATTACACATAAGTGCCCAAGTGCCAAAGCTGGTCTGTCTGGGCTACCTACATATGGGCACCTACTAGCGCTGGTTGTGAGGCTATGAGTAGCAAAAAGACTAAGGTCGATGATGTTATATTACTCTAGGATCTATTGTTTTCAGTCGCCTCACAACACCATCCAGTCTTTCAAGGCTGAATCTGGGTTGCGATGATCCAAATCCCCCAAAAAGGCTAAGCCAAAGCCCCGTCCAATGTTCCTGTCATGGCGCTATTTTCGTATTGTCTGTTGTTCTTGATGTTGTTATTGTCGCTCCTGCTTGTAAAAAGCTCACGGATGCTAGCGATAATGGTTTCAACAACGAGTGTAATAGTAGGTTCGATAAAAGGGCAGAACCGTCGCGCCGTCCACACCAATGCTTGCAGCGCTATCCCAACGCCAGCTATAACAAGGCATACGTATAGCAGCGTTGTCTTTAGAGCTTTGAAGATTCCGATGGCGCGCTCTCGCTCCTTAGGAACTGCCAAGAGCAACTTACGTAGCTGGGTTGCTTGTCCGCGATTCCAGATTCGAGAGCTGATATAGGTAAACCATAGCCGACGTAAGGACGTGATGAAGATGGTGTGAAACCACGGGAAATTGTCAAGGGAATGTGATATAACCATAGCCATTACTCTGGTTCTTGTTGTGATGCCTGCTGTAATAACATGGGCAATACGCCGCGGTTCGTTGGGAGTCTGATATATATATGCACATACATCAATACAGAGAAAGGTAAATAGCGAGGGAAAACTCATATGTATACATATAAGTAGGGAAAGCAAGGGATATTAGTTTTCAAGCAAAGAAGTAAGTAAACGCACGAAATAAGAACGAAATGAATCCATACCCGTACTATTGTTGAGAGGAATAAATGCACATGTTCCCCGATGTTCATCAAGAGGGACGTGATCACCGCGCGCCATGTCCGTCGACCACGGCCCATATGCAACGTTACCAGAGAAGAATACTGGCGACGATTCCCGGTCCGGTCCTTTCTTTTATCGTTGTAATCTCCACATTCTTCATTACCGTCGTTAATATCATCACTCTGCCGCGGAACAGCAGCAGCAACAGCAGCAGCAACAGCAGCAGCAACAGCAGCAGCAACAGCAGCAGCAACAGCAGCAGCAACAGCAGCAGCAACAGCAGCAGCAACAGCAGCGGTAGCAGGAGCGGCGGCGGCGGTGGTGGTAGAATATCGCGACCGTCCACTCTCATCCTCATCTTGATCCTTATCCCCATCAAGCCACACAAATACAATGTCTTGCGTTGTCTGATCAGCCCAGCATAGTAGGCCGATGCTGTAAACGGGGGCTGAGACTGGGGCTGTTGAAGAATTATCCGGTGATTCTGCCATTGTGTAGATGAAGCGGCATGAGCCGGGGCTGTTTCTATTGTTGTGATTGCAATTGTTGTGAACCAGTTGAGCTTGATTCGGTTTCCAATCGGATTTGAGAAAGTCCAGGAGAGCAATAATATTAAACGAGGACGAGGAATTTGTCCGTTTGCAGTAATCAGAGGCTTTGCAAAAGATTATTTGCCCTTGGATTGACGGATTGGTCGGGTTAGCCCATCTTCCGTCTAAAGAACGAGGTGGGTACATATGCCTGGCTCATGATACATATACAAACATGCGGGTGCACGTGTGTCTGGATAAAGGTGTGCTGATTCGCGATGAATGAATGAATGACCCAGTTTATTGAACACATTGCACTCGTCATCCAATCATTTGTTTATTTTATCTATAACTATATTATAATATATGTCTTTTCTTAAATATAGGTGAGCCTTATAACACTGATAATATATATACATATATATAAGATTAAATAAAGGTAATATTCAATGCTTTGATTAATTAAATTTTATAATATATAGTTAGTATAGAATTAATTAGGGGTTTAATATAAACGGTCCAGCTGCTGCCCATTGAAGAGTTGTTCAGTGTAACGAAACGCATTGGAATATGCAATATATTCCACCGTCTGGTTTCAACGCTATAATTCTTCGAAATTTCTACTAATTCTTAGCATCGTTGATCTTTCCTACGGCAAACTCTCCTTATACGCTATAGAGTATCTAGGTTTTCATTGACTTAAAGCTTCTCCCTATGATGTGGAAATGAGCGGCGATAGATAACGCACGTTCTCTAAAGTCCATCTACACGTATTACCATGCCCCACTGACAACCTTCGACTGTGGGGGTGCCAACTGAGGTGGCCACTTTACTTAGTAAGTCTATACCAAGTCAATAACTTCTTGATCCATTTACATGGCTTATCTACTCTCGACAGGGACAAGAAATCATGTACCAAAGCTCAGAGAATGGATTGAAGGGCAGGCTGCAGCTAGTGATCAATAGATGTAGGGCTGGGAATTTTGTTCCGATTTGTTACAGCGTTGCGGTCGTATTGAGAGATCTGGATGATGATAATGCTAGATTTCACGGCTCTGAGGACTTCTAGCGTTATTCACTTGCATAGCCAACTCCTACAAGACATTTTAATTGAATCACGAGAAGAAAAAACTTACCAAAGAACAGGCTACATGATATAATATGCTGACAACTTTGGCTCTAAGCTGTCAGGTGGAAGGGTCCTAGAGTGGGTAGAAGGCTAGTCACAGTCAAGTAGGTAGTCAGAAGGGGTAGTATAGGTGTCAATAATCATTGAATCCTGAACCCTCCAAGAAGCGAAGGGGGGTCCAACACCCCTTTATATAGCCAGTAGGGTCTATGTGACTATATCACCTGACATAAGCTATGTTGTTCTAGCAGATAACCAGTGACACCTAGCGAATGGACGTGAACACGGGAGCAGAAAATGCTCACAACAATCTAAGACAATTTTCAAGAGATGATTGTGTTGCATTATATCATCCTCATATCCAATACCTTTTATCGTACAATCTAGGTGTGATATGGAACTGGCTGCCATACATAGATTAACAAGATGGTTTGGCGGGAGGCAAAATGTTCTTGGGTGCACGGTTAGCTTGATAAGGGCTGATGGGTTTCCTGCAAGTAGCACCGCTGCATAGCTTCGATTCTATTTGAGAAGATAACATGCTACTGGTGGATGACAAACGATAACCCTTGCCTATTACTTGCACGCTTCTATCATGACACACACACTTTGGCCCTTTCAGATGCAATCATGACATGGCACCAATACAGAAGCGTAGAACTGTGCTATTTCTGATAGGATTGTAGGAATAATGAGTAAGTAGTTGACGGCGCTTAATATGGGCATAGTATACTGAGTTTGGCCCAAAACACTCGTCCAACCTGCCAAGTATTTTAATTATCCAAACTTGGATCTCTTCTTGAGTATCCAGTCCGATTGATAGAATGTCATGATTCTGCGTATGAACGTCATGGTCGCCTCTTGGGACTCTTTGCAACCTCAAAGAAGAAGGGAGAAGATTACGGACAGGCCATACATGCTGGTCTTTTGTTTACACCCATGCACACTAATACTTCCCAAATTGACCGTCTTCAATATTTCTTCTCTTTAATCTTATGTCTCATGTCACAGTTGGCAACCTCATCATCCAAGGCGATACGAACAGCTTGGGACTATGGTAACTTGTCAGGAAAATCGTCTTTCCACCTAGGTAGACAGGGGGCATCCACCTGATTGTGCGGTGACATCCTAAATTATATTAGACTACCACCAAATCCCAAAAGCGTTCATGATAATAAGACCGTGCCACGAACAGAGGTATCACGCGGTGATTAAGACACCAATCACGAACGACTTGGCTTCTGACCACTTCCTTAATGAGCGCCGTTCCAGTCCCGCCTGCAGTATGGTCGGCCCCCAAATGCTCCATATTGACTGCCTGCAGGAACCTGCAGCAAACATGACCGAGGGAGGGGATGATCGACAATGGTTGGAACCCTGAGTAGTATCGAGGAACATAGCACTAGTCTTTTCAGTCTCTTTCTGGTAAGGCAAACCCCCATAATTCTATCGAACAAACATTGTAAGATAGGTACACTGGTGTAGAGTGAGGGTACGATAATGACGCCAAACGCTTACGGTACTTCATCGCGCCGCTTTCCCTCATATAACCCCTGTTTCCGAACCCGGAACAAATTGTCCGTTAGGCCTGGGCATCGTGGTGAGGAAAGTGTGGTTTCTATACACATTCTGAGTTGCTCGCAGCCCCAATGCTCTCTGTTGAAAGACTCGTCTCTCAGAAATCCTTCACTTGCGAGGCGTAAAGCACAGAACCATAGCCGCCTCGATATCGTTACTCGATATTCTATAGAGATTATGGGTTACTATCTATGATCATGTGGTGCAAGTCAGACAACTTGCGAACCAACACTTCGCCAGTTGTGTCCCCTAAAGCGGCGCGCATTGTTGGGGGCGCAATACAGCCTCCCGTCCAATCGCTTTTACACGCTAGAAATGCAATAGAGAGCAGAGATCTGGTAGAGGATACTAATTCATATGTCCTTGTCGGCTATTATAACTATAGATCATACTACGACAAGGACCTGCGCAGTAAGTATAATAATACATAAGCCTGTCCTTAGTGTAAGTTAATAGAATGCACGAAGATTCGGCTGTGCGAACGGCCGTGGGTAGTAGAACGTGTTACTATGTAAGTGGGCTCGTATCGCGATGTAGATCCTTGCATCATTTAGGGTAGAGCTAATCTTCTATGTTCACCGCATCGGACAACTCCAGAGGATTCAATGATGCCTTTCCCAAGTGGAATCATAGCCCTCATTCAGACTTCGGACGATCCCAATACAGCCCCTCCCCAAAATCTATATCCGTGTTTTCCATCTTGACAGCGACGTTCCATCGACGTAGGCCCGGCCAAAAATTGTCATACACGGCATCGTAACCCTTGCCGCTTTTGATAACCCCGCCCCCACCATCGTGGGTTCCGTCATGGCTGTCTTGAGACATATCCATCCATCCCAGTGTTGCTCGCCTTGTCGACAGACCGGGGATGACTTTACACCAGCGACTCGTCCCGGGTAGCTCCTCTCCACCCCATGAACTACTCTGACGTCCATCCGGCAACGGTGGTTGTACAAGAGACGCGTCGATGCCCACGTACTTTAGCCATGAAAATGAGAGCGGGAACGCTGGCGCCCAGTGCACCGGCTTGAAAGTAGCCTGAAAAAAGAGCTTCTTGCTCGGCTCCGATTCCGATGTGGCACTGTAGCTGTCGTCATTTGGTGCCTCATTAGCGTAAGGATATACTCTAACACCGGTTTTGCCATCTAGTGAGTGATCCCATTCGAAGCGCGCGAGATGTTTTGGGATGTTCCAATCTTTTAAAATGTTAGTGAACAGTTGAGATAATGAAACGCAACTTATGAATGCTCCCCCTCGTCTTTCATACAAAACAATACCATGCTCTGATTTTGTTGAGATATGGTACTACACCGCAATTTATGAATTCGACTTACTAGCTCGCCCATTCCAGCACGTATGTTTCTGTGACACATATATTCTCGTGATTCTTGCATTCTTTCTCTTTCTTGTTCTCCCCTTGCCGTCATCCTTCTCATATGCGAAGTATCCGGGGCAAATAATCAGTTCGTCATAGGGCCCCACGGGGCTGTCGGTGTAGCGAATGATCTGGATCTGGCTCAAGCCACCGAGGTGCTCTCCAGACATGGCTGGGTTCGCAAAAGGCGAAACCGCCTCTAGAGGTGAGTATGCGACTGTAGGCAGGCCATCATTCTCTTCTCCTTTGGCGCTAGAGGTCTTGTTAGTCCAAAAGCTCAGAAAATAGACTGTCCCCTTTAGTTTCCAGGGAGCAGGAACAGCCAAGATTGGTTCATTGCTGTTCATTTTCCCTATCTATCTCTTTTATGAATTCGAGGCTGAATTTCGCTCACAGACAGGAAGAGAGATACTGGGAGTGAGAGCTGGGACGAGACATTTTCCCAGAGAATAGATTGAAATATTCGTGACCCAGGTACTATGTAAATATACAGCACCGATAGGACACAGGACCGACAGTCCTGATGGTTCCCTGCAATGTGACGCACCAATGCGGAGTTCCAGTGCGGCGACAACTGACAGATCTGTGTTAGACTTTCAGCGCTTGAGTATGTAGGTTTGGGTCACACATATACATCAAGCTTGGCACGGTAGACCAATACTAATACTAAGGGTGATGGACATATATGACCTCGACGTCCGTAAGCCACCTAGGTTATACGGTTGAATTGAAGGTGCAGAAGGTGTTGTATTCGGTTGTGTCTAGCCTTACTATATCTTATGTTCGAGGCATATCTTATATATATGCTCACTCTGGCCAATTCATCAGCGAACTGGTCTGGCAAGCCAAGAGCCCAGATAGGAAAAGTCAAATCAGAAATCACTCTGAGATGAAGACACCTCTATCCCCTAACAGGACCTTATTTAAATCAGGTCTCTTTGCATGGACACAAGGTGGTTTAAGTAGGCATTTATACAGTTACGTGCTAACTACCTAACCTAGGTACCAAGGCGTTGGGGATTTCTCTTGATTCACCTTGCCATCAGCCTAACCTAGCTACTTGCCGTCGACCACTAACAACCCAATTAAGATCTCATTCCGAAATTTAGCCCCTAGCACTGCCCCTAATCTGTATATCCAAGCCTCATGGACGTGCACCTAAATACCGAAAACGCTCACCGTTCCATTTCTTCCTGCGCTCGTGTCTATTCTCTGATGAATTCCGACAAACATTCTTCCTTTAAGTCCGCAATGCAATTCACCATCTGTTTCAATGGCCAAGCTCATGTGTCTACCTATCCAGAAACTTAAAATACCAAATGCGAAAAGACATGCGCCGGCAAATCACGATCATGTGCAACTATGCGAATCATGTCGAGACTGGGGCCATATCAGCATACACAGTCTAGATGACCCCGTCCCCAAAGACGAGAAAGACAGGTACACCACGGGTCGGCGCTCGGTGACGCTCGAAGGATTGGCGCAAGGAGCCCAGTCGCAATGCCGCATGTGCACATCTGTTATGTCTGTTTACGATGCCCGGGCCCGAGAGATGGAGAATGTGCAGGCTCTACCGCCGGAAGATGTCGGTGTTAGCATAGACGGACCGTTCTATCTGGACTCGGGAGGCCATTCGCTTCACTCTCCAGAGGGTCGTCCTCGACGTTATGGCGATCGGTCTGATCCCGATCACATCGTCGTCACTATATTCATCCGCGTCACGATTAAGAGCCTGGCGCATGTCGCCGAAATGAAAAGCGAATCATTTTTGCGATCACGAGCTACCAGACAGCAAGGAAGGGCTGATCGTACGGAGGAAATCGAGACCTCTGATACCTCGTTGTTCACTATTACCCCGCTTTTCAAGTTAACTTATTCTAACGACGATGCTAAAGTCCTGACTAGAGTCGAAGAATGGAATGTGCCGTTCTTTGATACAACGGTTCTTCGCGGCTGGCTTACGAGATGTGACGATCAGCACACGGGGGAATGTGTTGGCAAAACGGTCGAAATAGGTGAATATGTTCACTGGGAACTGCACCGATCGGTATAGGACGTCCGCTGACGTCTTGCTAGAGAATCTTCCTGCGGGATTTCGAGTCATTGACACTCATGAAGACAAGATTGTAGAGCCGAATAGTTCCTTTCGATATGTAGCACTGAGTTACATGTGGCCCGTCGGCCCCGACAATAATCTCCGGTTGGAAAAATGTAACATCGACACCCTTGAGGCACCCGGTAGTCTCCGTCAAGTGCAGCTGCCAAACATCATAAGCGACGCCATTGCCCTGTGTCGCAACATGGGTGAGCGCTATCTGTGGATTGATCGTCTTTGCATCATCCAAGATGACGAGATTAGCAAGCCAAACCAGATCAATGCGATGGATCAGATCTATCGTTTGGCAAGCTTCACGATCATCGGGGCTCTGAACACACGCGATGATATTGGCTTACCGGGGTGTGCTGGCAGACCCCGGCATGCTTCCGCGTGGTCATCACATTATGAGCCCGAAGTCGAGCTGCAGGGCTTGCGATGCGGGATAACGGCGGACAAAGCCATTAACACGACGCTATGGAACCGTAGAGGCTGGACCTTTCAGGAGAGGTTACTATCTAGACGCTGTCTGTATATCACACATGATCAAGTCATATACAAGTGCTGCGAGGATGAAGCCATGGAGATGCTTACCTGGGCAGTACACACGACGCCGCTGTCCCTACACAGAGACGATGGTGGTCACAATGACGACATGTATTGTTTAGAAGATCGAAGCGGCTCTTCTGGTTTGTCCAGTGATGAAGCAACTGATGCTCTGAAAGAGCCCGAAGGTGGTGGCATTTTTAAGAGAACCGACAATGACGAGCAGTTCACTATCCAAGACGGGGTGAAACTGGCGCATTACTGCAATTGGATCAAAGATTACAGCTCACGACAATTATCCGTCGCCAGCGATGCCTTCAGCGCGTTTGCCGGGGTCGCCAACGCGCTGCGTCCGGCTTTCAACTGTCAGATGAGATTCGGCATACCGGAGAAATACATTCCGATCTGTCTCTGCTGGGATTGCCCCGGACACTTCAGCCCGCGAGGTGACATCCCAGAGGTTCCGAGCTGGAGCTGGGTAAGCTCGTCGCGGCCTGTCACCTACGACTGTGAGGGCGAAGTGCTGGGCCGAGATTTCCTCCAGATTGCGAGCATTGTGTATTTCTATATCAAGACACCGGCTAAGAATCTCCTTAAGCTCCAGGCTGAGGAACGATGGATACAGCACGAGGTATCCATCCAGGAGATGGCCGGGCGAGACGAGTTGCCGCCTCTGCGCGGGAAGGGCATCCCTGGAGAGTGGAGGTCGAACAAGGACTGGAGGGAGTGTCCGCAGAACCCGTGGACAACATTCGCGAGGCAGACATTGGACTCAGAGGCAATCAAAGTAGCAGATCTATTCCCTGGATCTCTCGTCTTCAACACGACAGTCGCATGTCTCAAGATTGGCCAGCTTTCAGCGCCAAAAGATAAGAAGAAATCGAAATCAGACGTTTCCAACGCTATTATTCTCAGCTCGAACGATGAGCACGTTGGAACCATCAGGATGATGGATCACGGATGGATAGAAAACAACTGTAGCAGCGTCGGCGTTCAGAAGCGTTTCGAGTTCATCGTGATCTCAGGACGTCTCCAGGAGTATTTTAATAGGAAGATGTCTGCCTTTTTGAACAGGTATTCAGATATATGGGAATTGAATGTCATGATGGTAGAGAGGCTACCTTGTGCGTCTTTCGTCGCTAGGAGGATGGGGATCGGGACGGTCAAGATGTGTAAGTGGAAAGACTGTAGTCCTAGATGGGAGACTGTGGTTCTCTGTTGATTGATATAGGTGCCTGCATGTACGTAGGGCACAAATACACGACTGCACATCGAATATCTATCTGTATATATACCCCAAGATATCATCTTTGCAAGTTGTTGGATCATAGAGAGATGTTGCACATCCGAAATGGTGTAGGACAATCCTTTTGGAAGAGACCCGTCCAAGGCTCCTTCGAAGCTGGATGGAAATTATATTATGTGTACAGCTCAACCTCTAGGCTCTCTAAGTGTCGACCTAGACCCTTCGGCCAACAGCAAGAATACCTCTTTTTCCTTCAAATTTATGCTAATTACTCGATGTTTCTATGATATAGTTGCGCACACGTCTGCATAACCGAGTGTGATGCTCGTGGAGTATACGAAGTCTCAACGTGTGGTCCACGTCAGAGTGAAGTCACTTCAATATGTGTGAATAAGATGTCAGGAACGTAGCACGAAGTAGACAGCAAGACTCTCATTGCGGCACGAGGTCCAGAGGGTCAGAGGTCTGAAGGCATTCAAACTCTGTCTTAGGTACTATATACATGCTATTATCTCCTTGCTCCATGGTCTCGAGAACCCTGGTGTACAACGTCCAAATAGAAACTATTTCGGCATAAATTATGTTTTATTTGATTTAAAGAGGAACCAGCACGCTCATACATACTATACATGTGGGCCAGTCCTATCTTCACTAGCCACGCTCGACATGGCTGCTGATATCGAATGGCGACGCATCGCTGTTAGCCTGATGTATGGGGTGTTTTGAGTCGGCGCTTGTGCCTCTCGGGAGGGACCACTCAGATAACTGGGCATATTCGTTGTCTTCGTCTCGGGTTTCATGAAAGCTACGTCCACTAGCCTTCGTATCGTTGTTGGTACCGCCAGGATTGCGACGAAAAGTGCTGGTCAATAAGTTGACGACGGAAGACGAGACTTTGGAGAGGTGCGATCTGGTAGCTAGAACTGCGAGGGTCGGTAGACAGGCAGCCACAATACCAATAGAAACTTCGGCAAAGGACCATATGCCAGATCCAACCTGGTTATCTTATGCCGAAGTTAGTTGAGTATCGCATGTTGAAGGTACAGAGTTACTTACAACTTGAATCACCCGGTGGCGCTTGCGCGAGAGCGACAACACGTATGATACCGAAAACGCACACTACGGCGCCCAGTAGGAAGATGCCGCAAACTTGAACGCGTCGCGTGAGGGATAAATGAAGCGAGAAGATATGGCGAATTGGCAATGCCAGAATCCCAACGTCCGTCACAACATTAACAATACTATCTACGTCAGAATTCTGTGGAGTCGTAGGTAGGAGGCGGACTTACCCAAGAGTAGTAAACGGCGGTACCGTATCAAAGCACCTCGCCGGCTCTCCAGTCCACAAAGCAGACAGTGGAATGCACTCTAAGGCAGTGACGAAGATGAGTGCCAGGTTATAAGCCACAATGAAGATACCAAAGCCCCAGGAGATATAAACAAGCTGTTTAATTGGGAAGAAGAGGCGGCAGTAAAAGCACAGGATGGATATCTTAGTCAAAACAACGCATATTGAATACGCCACGATAGCCGAGACGAAGGTTTGCGCGAATCCGGCCGGGTTGGTGACGAAGATGATGTGCTTCCCTTCGCCAAACGCGACGGCGAGGTAGCCTACGATGGCAAAGGCCGTTAGAGGTAATAGTGCTGCAATGATGAGCCAGTCATCAGTTGCAAACGACGTCCGTTCAGCTTTGCGCGCCCATATACGCAAACCGACGAAAATGTAGGCTAGAGATAAGCCTACTGTGTAGGTTGCGATGAGACGTCCTTGCTGGTTGTCGCTGGCGTGCTCCTTGTAATACTCGATTTCCTCTGGTGTTAGCGCCGCCATTTTAGACGAGTGTAATGTGCAAAGTCGTCACCAGGTGGTCGAAATCTCGCAAGCTCAACCTTGTAGAGCGTCAGATCGCGGAAACTAGGCCATACCAGGAATGGCCAGTATTTTGAGGAATGGCTGATGAGTGTACGGAGTAAGTGTATACGATGAATGAGATCTGATTTTGGTCGATGACAGGATTCCGCTAGCGTCGGTAGTTGAGGAGGTTTAAGAAGAGTTCAACTGAACCAATGTCTCGTCCCTTAGAAGGCTTATTGGTGCTAATACTTGTTCAACTATTGACCAGCTTTGGGAGAATTCAGGAGGGTATCGTTTAACTCATGGACGACGGGGAATAAGATGGCGGGTGATCGGGCGCTTCAGTGTTCGATGGGATCAATACCGAACAAGTTTCGGAGACTAGGTAGACCGTGTCCATCATACGAGCAATAAGAGTGCCCTGCCTACTCCGTTGTGACAGCCCATGTTATGGTAGTAAGCCTTACTTAGAAGGGTCCTCGGGATGTCTGATGGCTGACGGTATGTAGCTTGGGGGCGAAGAAACAATCTTTCGATCAATCCCTGCAGCGAATTAGATGTCCTGTACACATACTTAGAACTCATGTGCTTAGTCGGACTCGCGCACCTCGTTTACACGCAAGATTTTCAGTTCCGTAAGGTGCTCAATCGTCCTACATATCTCACCCTCCCTTCGGCACTGATGAATAACTTCATCACAGAACTTTCCTTTCTTTTTTGTGCCGAAGGATCAGGATCGCTGCAAAAGCCTCACCCTCCTCTCCGCCACTTGATCCTTATTCCGTGCCGGAGGATCACATGGTTGCAATAATGCACACTACATTGCTGAGGAATGTTGACTGCATGCATAAAGCTCCATTTCTTAGAAAAATAGTAGTTGGGGCGCACATTCTCGACGTTTTCTGTCACTAATGTTCCCCTCATGATACATTTCCGTATCAGACATTAGACGCGACAAATCTGCACCACCGTGAAATGATTTATCACTTATCTGGTACCTTAAGGGGTGAAAACGGCCGGACGCCTCCTCCACGCCATCCGGTATTACGAATCTCAGCAGCTAGTAACCAAGATATGGTGAAAACGAGATGCCCTGGCTCCCGTGCTCATCCGGCTACGCCACAAAATGGCGTTCGCAACTCTACCCCAATTCAGCATAATTACGTACAACGCAGTCAAGTCAGCGTAACATTACACTGTCTACACAATATTATCGTTATTGCCGTAGGTCATCCTTCTCACGCTCCGAACTGCCGAGAAGGGCTTGTGGAATGCAAGAATGCATGATGATGATAAAAAAAAAACCGGCCCTTGATCGTATTGGATGGAATATAGACCCTGGCACGCTCAAGACAAATGGCTGAAATATTGTATGAAATTGAACTAGGTACACGATTTGTGCCACCAGCTTATCTAACCTAAAGTCAACATGCTACAGCAGGAGAGCTCCTGTACCCGACTGCCCTGAAGTGGTCCTAGACTGTAACCCTACACCAAGCTCACGCAGGTGCCCTACGTATGCTCTGCAGTGACATTTTTACAGATGCTTAGAATACTTTCAATCTCATCAGGCGGAGTCCGACCTAAACCACACTCTGTAGACACGCCAAACGAGAATGGGATTGTAGCCTGCGCGGTCTCGATGCGCTTCCTTGTCCCGGATTCGTCTTTGGCATGTACTACGCCAAGATATAAATGAGGCGGCTTTGCACCGGTCTCATTAAGCTTGAGATCTTTCAGGGGCAAGAAGTACTCAGGATCTGTTCGGTTTTTTGGAACTGGTAGGTGAATCCATTCCGTTCTTGGGCCGAGAGTTTTCTCAGCGAGTATGGCGTTGGCAAGCTTTACCAGCAGGGTTGAATCATGTGGTTCAACAAAATGCTTGTGATTAAGATCGCCGTAGCAGAGATGGAACGCAAGTTTAACATCTTGAGGGATATGCTCAGAAAGTCGAACGACGCGGTCTACGAGACCATGTACGAGACCTTTAGGATCTGAGAAATAGGCCGAGTGGCGTACTTGGTCGATTCGGCCGATCTCGTACTCCATTGCCGTCATCTCAAAGCAAAGGTCCCATTGAATCACCATTTCGTCGTGGGGGATTTCGGCAGCGATGCGCTCTAGCGAGTCCGCAAACCGTTTCTCATATAAGGGCTCGATCTCATTGACTACTTCAGGTTTCAGATGGCCAGCCATGACACTATACGGTGAAGGCAGGGCGATTTGAAACCGAACATTGGGCGGAATGATGTTCTGTTCACGTAATCGTTTGAACTCGGCATAGGACGAAAGAGCCGCCTCATCGTAAGCTGTTGGTTTGATGTCGTCAAGCGTAAAGGTTGGCTTTGGAGATACGGGCTCAGGCAAGTGGCTCCCTCCTAGTTCCACTCGCCGAGAGACTGGAGGAAAGCATCCTAGCTGCCATCCGATGTAGTTCCATCGTTCACCAGTCTCGCCGTCTGGTATAGCTGGCAAACGGCTAGAAAGCGCGGTAGCTAGGCGGGTGAATACGTCTTGTGGCGAGGCTCCAGGCACGCTGCCAACCATGAGAACTCCTGTAGGCTGCATCGTGACTATGAAGTTGATGTACCTACTTCGGAGGTAATATGTATTCTTCTAGAGAAGTGAGTAGTGTCAAGTTGAACAAGTAGAAGTTAATTTGATCTTTCCCAAGTGTCACACAGTAAGTAACCTCCAATCAAGTCACTTATCCTTGGAGATGGAACAAGATAATAATCCGATGTGCGTATGAGCAGGGACGAACTAGGTACCTATGTGATACAACTCTCGAGAAGCCTGGCATTTTCTAGCACATGATTACCAAGCAAAGAACTGAGTAGAGAAGTATATGCCATACGGTATCTCCCACAAGCTCTGTTGTTAGCTGTCCTGTGTGTTATTGAGGCGTGAATGCTCCGTTCCGCGTCGTGTACTAGTGACCCTAGGAGAGGATTTAGTAGGGGTAGTAAGCTAGTCTCAATCAAGTCCCAGAACTGCCTATTTGGGAAGTAAAATTTAAGCCTACTTAAGCTGTCAGGCTTACCATCACCAACCAGTAACGGCACTAAAACGAAGGTTAACGGGTATTTGTGGGCCTATGACAGCCCAACCGCGGGGAATAGCCTTCTGCAACAGGCAGAGTGGGTCCAACAAGAAATGTCCGGTTTACCCATTGAGAGGCATGGCTCACCAAGACCCTATAACTTTGAAAGCCTGGAAAACAGCCAACTAGATTAATATACCTATAAGAATTAACTTAGTAATGGTGATTACGATAGTAAAATGCTTCGTGTTAACTATATATTTTTTCCATTTTATTTAAGTATTCTAGAGCTGTTTAAACTTATAAAGTCTTGGTGAGCCATACCTCTCAATGGGTAAACCGGACATTTCTTGTTGGACCCACTCTGAACAGGGTACCGGTAGGTAGGTAGGCGGGGTAGGTACCTAAGTACCTACTTACCTACGAAGTAAGGTACTTTGTACAGTAATGTGGCCAAAACTTGAAGCCATTCAAGTCTACTTTCTGATGGTTGCACTACTACTGTATGTACGTGCAACCTCGAGAGTGGCAGGTCTCCGGCGGGGAACGGAGGAGAGCCTCGGCAAAGGTCGAAAGGATCCCCTCGTGTCCGATAAGATGAATCCCAGCCTGTTAGCTACGCTCCAGCTGACGTGCATCTCGATCATATCATATTTGCAGCCCTCCGTTGCAGGGCAAAATGCTCGCATAAACTTACTGGAGGGTATTGGCACAGGGATTGGTAAGATCTGCGTTTAGCTCATGGAATTGGTAGATTATAGTAGGAACTGCGGTAGTCAAATGAGGCACAGTTTTGACCTCTAGCTCGAAGGAATAAAGCATGCAGTTACAAGAAGAAAAATCGGTGCTTCATCGACCGTTTTGAGTCTACCTAATGACTAAAGCAAGTAGCCCCGTGATCCCCGTGAATCCCGTTTGCCATGCGAAACTATCGTGAACCCAAGTTATCTAGTGTCTGAGGAGCTTGCATGTAGATAGAACTGAAGTACCGTGGCCATTTTCAGAGGCGCTAAAAAAATACAGATACATTTCATCAGATCTTGTCTTCTTGCGAGAATGTGATCTATGAAGCAAATCCGAGCGTGTGGTCGCACGGCCTCTAAGAATGCTTGTCCATTCCATGATCCCGGCAGCAGGAGAGGTGACGCCATGCTAGCCATTACTCGCCCTCCCAGGCAACCTCGAGAATAGCAAGTGCAGCTCCCTCACCAGAAATGCGGCGAACCGTCCCAAACCGGGAGTCCGCCGCGGTGAACAAGTCCTGCCACTCGGCCATGGTGCGGAGCCGCGAGTTATTTGTCGTCAACATCAACAGGTCTATGAAACTACGCAGCGCCGATTAGTTCAAGCTGCCTGTATGGCAAGACTGGGGTCGCTGACTTACCAGATATCCCTCCTGAGTGTCAGTGGCAAAGAGCGAGGTGGCACGCTCAAGCTCTCGTTCACGACTATTCGAGACCCTTGGTGTAGCGCAGGCACCTGTGCCCTCAATATCTGGATAACGTAGTGGTCCGGCCAGTCGTGAAATACCCACCGGAACAAGTAGATGTCCGCTCCGGCGATAGGCTGCGTCGAAAAGAAGTCATACGCCTGGTATCTAATGCGATCGGTAGACCCCACGCGATCCGCTGCGTCCACGATGTCGGGGAGGTCCTCGACCACCATGTTCAGTTTCGGATGCGCTTTGCTGAGTGCTCGGCTAACATAGCCATCTGCACCCCCTACGTCAACTACTGTGACTGCGCCAAGTGACTCCCAATCGTAGCCCTCGACGAGCAGCGATTCAGAGTATCCCGGTACGCCCGCCGAGTAGAAGCGCATCGCCTTGCTGAACTGGTCGGCCTTCAAAGGGTGAGTGCGCAGGTAGTCGAACATTGTCTTATCGGTGTTGTGCGCCAATGCGAATCCCTACTTGATATCAGCTTTTACGGCCGTCACCAATGGTCCGGGCCTCGTTTACCGTATGGTTGGGCTCGCCATCTTTGAAGGTATCTAGCGCATCTGCTGTCTGTTCACGAATCGCGAAACCGTCAACCCTTCCCTTGTTCAGCTAGGTTGCGAGAGGAAGACGTACCCGGGCGAAGGAGCCATAGAACTCATCGAACGACTGACCTAACCCAGCGCGCACAATCTTGTCGGTGGCAAGTTTCTTGGATCCCGCAGAATGCGCGACGAAGCCTTCTTCCGGTTCTTTGAACAATCGATGATAGCACATGGCATAGCGCAGAATGCGCCTAAGGTCATTGACATGCAGGTCTGTAGCCTGAGCTAGCTCCGCGAAGGAGATTGCCCCTTCCATCGGGACCTTGCTGGCGATGTCATGACGCGAAATGACTTGGAGGCTGGTGCCGTTGTACTATCTGCGCGTTAGCTCATCTCTTCAGACTGCTCGGAAGACGCACGTTAGGGATCATGCAGGCGATCGGACCCTGCAGCAAGTCCAAGAGCTCTTGGAGAGCGTTGATTGCAGCGCTGCGCGCGCGCTCTACCTGTGACGAGAGGTTCAGCGTGATCGGACCATCCGCATCGAAGGAGGGGTGCGGTAGGTTATTCTGGTCTAAGTAGGTGGTGATGGCATTGGTGTTGGCACTGATGGTGGCCGCTAAGTGGTCGATACGCGAAGCCATGGCTAAATTATAAGCAAAGGTGCTGATAACATTTACGCAGGCTAACAGCCCGTTTCCTTTGTGTCAAAGGACTAATTGAGATATAACTATTCACTGTGTTTCATACGCTATCCAGATCTGGATTCCATCATAGCGCGGAATCGAAAATGAAACCCGAGCCGTCGAGCACGCGCCATTCTGACGCCCATGCCTGGACTTCACTGAAGTCGCGGCATCGCCGCGCGAACATTACATCGGGGTAGTGGCCTCCTGCATAGAAAGGCTCAACGCCAATGTCCGCGGCACAGACTAGGCTCTGTTGCAGATAATCTAGGCAATGAGCAATATGGGGAGGTTCGCGTACACCCGCTCTATTGAACTCCTGCCCGATCGAGGCTGCGTGTGCGGCGTAGTAGGCACGCCGGACCGTGTACTAATTCCCGGACGTTAAGTAGGCTGACAAAGAACTCGGCTAGGGGTTCACGTCGGTGTTCGCGGGAATAATACGTACCAGACAGTGCAGTTGGTGGAAGACACCAATGATGGAGACTTCGGGTGCTAAAACGGGATGCTGGACGTAGCCAAGCCCGTCTACCGAGGATTCAGCCCAGTGTAAATTGATCAGCGGCGTGATGCTTACTTGGAATCAGTTTGTCCCATGCAGGTTCATGGCTCCCATTGGCTGGAGGTGCAGCTTGCATTTCGTGTAGTGTCATCACCTGTTGCCGCGAGAGGCCGGTGAGAGGCACTGCGTGTGATCAGTCAGAATGCTACCCTTCTGGAAGCACGTGAAAGACATTACATACGAGATGGGACGATGTCTGAAAACGCTGATCGTTTCGTGTGGGTTCCTCTGAGAGCCCAGCCGGCGCCGAAGCTGAGACTACAGAGAAACAGTGTAACGGCCGCCACAAGCCAAACTTTCATCAGAGAAGTCGTGTTCTCGTTTTGAGTCGTCTCATTATCTTTACTCTCGAGGGTGCCGGTCTCGAGCTTCGAGTACTGGGGGTTCTGATTCCATCGCGCGAACATAGACATAGTGGAAATCAGGGCCAGCAAGACGAGACGAAGGCCGCTATTGTAGAAGGAGCGATAGTACGGAAGAGGACGAGGAGATCAGATATAGCGTAGCAGCGGACGGGACGGGACAAGGAAGTAGGAACACACAACGTATTCCAGAGGGATCGAAAATGAAGGAGAATGACTTTATTGACCCTCGGGGTATCATAGGAAAGAAGAACTGGCAAAAGAAAAGCATCAGATCATCACACGATTGACGCAGAGTCGATGTCTTGGTTAATACTGTAGTCAACCCTATTTTTGAATGTCGTTTCCTTTCCACGATAGCTACATATGTGTGTCTCATGCGAGAGCTAAACTAGACTTTCTTAGCTGCATATGTCTGTCAGATTGGGGTGCAGCTTTCCAATGCTGGAAAGGTACATAGAGAGGGTCCGGAATCCCGAAGGATTGCATGTAGATAACAGTAGGATACCGGTACTTCAACTTTTACCATCTCTTAGTCAATGAACGGAGCTATACCACCAGGAGACTGCCAGCAACTACTCTGCCCCTGATATTGCACTGCGCCCCTTCGACAGTTAACCGACTTGCAGGGGAAGGTTGCGTTTAGTCTGAGCACATGATAGATTTCCACGGACTTGCGGTATGAGTTCAACGAGTATATTGTTTGGCAAGAAGACCAAGAACAAGCCCCCCGTGCCATGTTCGTCCTCCATACACAGCTCCCCCACGGCATTCGGCCTTAGAAGTTTATTCCTTGCGTGCCGCCATCCTTGCATCAAGATTCCCTCGCGCTTGAGCTAGCTCTTAAGAATTCGTAGCCAATAGACGGGTGATACCATAGTCCTTCAGTACGCGCCGTCCATCAGGCAAGGCCTGTTCACCCCATCACTCTAGACCTGCCTCTAGTATGCATCACCCACAGCACCAAAGTCGACCTCATCAGGGTTCTTAGTACCGCGTTTATATGCATCACCAACTGCCTCAAAATCCACCTCGTCGGCGTTTTTGATGCTGCGTTTATAGGCATCACCGACAGCCCCGAAGTCAACTTCATCAGGATTCTTGCTGCTGCGCTTGTATGCGTCGCCCACAGAGCTGAAGTCGACGGCATCAGGGCTCGCCACATCTAGTCCCATTAGCTGAATTTCACTGTCTAGTTGGGCACTTCATACGGCTTGAACTTAGCGGGGCTGCGCTAGAAAGGGCGCTCAACAAGAGAATAGGCGTGAAACGCATTTTGAGATATTGGCTGGTATTTTGGGGTTGCTTCGAAAGGCGAGTTGTGTTGAAGATGAAGGAATATGTCGATGTTATCTATGCCTGAAATCTAGTAGACTAGAAGGTTGGGTTATTATACGTCTTCCTACACACCACGCATTCAATGAAGCTTGCCAAAACTCATGTTCCTGAGAGTTATAGTACTGAGATCCACGACGGCTGTAGCGATTGGTTTACGGGATGTGTACTATTGCCACGACTGTAACCTACCTACCGTTCAAAATAAACTGTGCCAAGTGTGATATCATGTATAGAAGGGGCACAGACGTACAGATAGTCATCTAAGTAAAGAGACATTCCCGCCTTTCCACAAAGTCTGTAGACCAATTGCGACGCTCACGTGCCGACCACTATATGTAGACATGTACAGTACTTTGTAGGATGATAGGTTGTCGTCCACCGTCCTGCGTCTCATGCAAAGTCCTTACAGGGGACCAAATCCTTCCGTGCAACGGAGCTAACCGACTGTCAACGCAAAGCGAACGGAACATTTTCGGTTCCGTCTGTATAGTCTACTAAGCACCCAAGTTTTACAGAAAAAGATATACGAGCGTAGCAGATAATATGATATGACTGTAGTGTGGGGGACCCCCCAATCCCGACGCTCAAAGAAGCCATACACTGACTTGGATGAGTTCGGGCGATTTGAGATAGTCTGATGAGGCCAAGTTTGCAACACACGGGATTTTCAAATTCTAGTAAGGAAATGGGGGCTTTCCTTCACCTGGTTAACGGCAGTCGAATACGCGGCGTTGTAATCAGGTAGATTGTGCTGTACTAATCAATGCTTAAGAGTAAGGAAATACTAATCATAGAGTGGATAGAATGAACTAGCATACATGATTCCGATGACTTGCTCATGCTCGAACCGTTTTGTAGCTTTCTTGCACCACTGATATCTGAGTTCTACGAAATGATTGCCCCATAGTCGATGTCTTTCACACCATCGTCGCCATTTTCTCTACAAAACCCAAAATGATCTTTGAAAGGGATGTCTTCAACGCTATCTCTGTAACACGCTGTGTTCTCAGCAGCCCAGGCACGCAATTGCTCCCAGTCCTTACACTTATGAAGTTGCCCGTCACCAGCTGTGTGATCGCCAAATGAATAGAGCGGCGTGTTGTCCGCATTGCACTGTATATTCTGCCGCAGTGCATCGAAACAGTGGTCGACGTGCGATCCAGGGTGGTATGTGAATGGCTTTCCGTCAATTGCTTGCCAGAAAGTCAATCTCATGATGCGCTGCTAACGTTAGTTGCGTACTAATGCTTGGTTAGGGGACCTACTAGACAATGCAACAGATGGTACGCTTCAAGGAGATAAACAGCTTTCGTCTTGTCGCCAGGATAGTAGGCACTTAACGGCCAGCCATTTGTCGCTGCCCACTTTCGATCTACGCTCACGATGCCGTGTGCTGGGTTTATTTCGTCCCACAGGTTGTCAGCCTCAGAGCGGTTGACAGGGCTGTACGCAGTATTCCACCAAAAGCGCTCATAGACAGTGTCGAATTCCTCAGTGCAGGCTGTTCATCAGTTATCGATCAAGCTATCGAACGAATGGCATACCTAATTCAGATGGCGGCCGGCTTCGTGGCACCCAGAAAGGCCAGCTAAGGGAGAGTAGGTTCGTTATTGCGAGTAGAGCTACCCCATACGTGATCCATCGTCTTCTCAAACGTTCATACCCTATGTACGGTAGTGGTTCTTCTTCGTGTGGGAATTCCGACAGTTTGGATATGGGTTGATACGAAGCCATTCTAAAGATGATCTAGTATGAGCTCAGACGTGAGATATGACTTCAGGTTTTGGGGGAGGATAGAATCAACTGCTATCAACCTGTCCGTTGGCGCAGTTCTACCTGAAATTGAGCGTGATCGGCTATTATTCTTAAACCGACAGGGGTTTGCAGCTTAACTAGAAAGAGTCTAGAGCAGGGTGTGAGCTTATTCCACGATGGTTCGTTTCTATATGTTAGCATGGGTGGTCAGGGAAATGATAGTACCACATTTATGTTCTCGAGAAGTTGCATGGTGAAACCCTCCATGTTCTCTTACCTCGACCAATAACAGACCATTACTTGCCGGAGTCCCTAGATCATGTTCCAGGGTGGAAAGGGCTATGCTGCAGAGATGCATAACAAGAAATCCTTTACATGATATGTGACAAGCTAGGTAATCGATTCTGCCCTGTGTATTTTCCCTCTTATGTCAGCAGCCAACCCCGCATACTAATTGCAGATCAGAGTGAAAGATGATGAAGCCGTTCTAACATTTTCACTTGAGAATGTTCATATAGATATTACTCCCTTTGGAAGATTAGCCTTACTTAATATCATGCCGTCCAGTGAATATGAGCGCGGTGACGATCAGGCCAGCACAGAACCACTTCTACAGACCAACGAGTCTGAGGGTACAACTGCATGGTCATCAGTGTCATCTATAGTACGCACATTCGCTTTTTTCGGGCTGTTCATTATATTATCTATCTCCATATACATGGTTGAGAATCTTGAAGATAGTCTTAGCGACCTCATATGTATAGAGCCTGCTGTCCGTCGAGAATGGCGGACACTGAGAAGGGCAGACCGGCTTGAATACCTTCGCGCAGTCAAGTGCCTGTCCTCAATTCCCTCAGCAGTCTGCAACGGCACTTTACACGATGAATTCTCTTATATTCATCGCAGGGTCGGAGAGTACTGTACGTATCAACGTTTCGTGTGTTAACAGATTGCTAACTTATGGAAGCTCACGAAGCGGCCTCGTTCCTGCCGTGGCATCGGTACTTCATACATATTTACGAGGAGACACTAAAACAGCGCTGTCAATTTAAAGGAACTCTTCCGTATGCACGATCTCGTCCTTCATTCCTGGCTCTGCTAATGCTGTGTTAGATACTGGGATTGGACTCGCGATTGGGCTGATCTGACCCAGTCACCTGTATGGGATGCCAAAGAAGGTTTTGGTGGAAATGGTAATATCAACAACGCAACTACTGTAGGTCACGGCCACTGCGTCGAAGATGGTCCCTTCGCGGGTTTGCAAGTTCAATATTACAACTTGGATTGGTATCCGCATTGTCTATCGCGAGGCTTCTTGGCCGGAGACTTCCTAGACGAATTTGGAGCACAACGATTGAACAGGACTGCTATAGCAGCAGTATTAGACGAACCAGATTATTATCAGTTCGTCTTAAAACTAGAAGATGGCCCGCATGCATCGGTCCCAATTATCGTGCGCGGGGACTTCTACCGTTTCACTGCACCCAATGGTATGTTTTGACGTCAGTCTCTTGAATTCCGCTTACCGTGATAGATCCCGTCTTCTTTCTGCATCACGCCCAGATTGATCGGCTCTGGTGGCAGTGGCAAAGCCAAGACCTCGAAGTGCGGGCAACGGCCTATAACGGCCCAGCAAGGCACAATTCATCCATCGAAGCACAACTCACGGATCTTATTGAAATGGCTGGACTAGCATCGGATATTCCCGTTAGCTCGGTAATGACTACCAATAGTCGGTTGCTGTGCTATAATTACCATTAATAGGATCCTATAAGAAATGTATAAACAAACGTGTAGTAAATACAAGTATGCATCGTTAACAGTGACGCTCACTTGAACGAAGCTGGAAATCCTGACTGAGCTCTCTACCTATTATCATATCCTTCAATAACACCAGGATATCTGTTACGGTCTACGGAGTAGTGGGTGGACTAGATACGGAGCGGCAAAACTTTATTGCGGACATCGCCTATTAATAGAACAATCTAGGTCGCTAGGCTTACACATTGCAATTTAGACTTCTAGAATCTGAGTAGTTTGGCCCTAACTAATCGTGCTCGAAGGTGGCGCTGATTCATTTTCATTCATCTCTTATCTCCGTGAAAACATCAAATGAATTAATGTCCAACAATAAACTTCATTCCACTAATTGTTACACGCACGTACGGCAGATCACGGTGCATGTGCAAGCCTAGTAAAAGATCCTTCATAAACTTCATGATCCTTTATAAGACATACACCACCGTATACAATGTGAAGTCATATGGATTTATTGGCAATAAGACATCTCGGGGCTTTGAAGACTAACAGAGGCCGTAGCGAAAGCCGAACCAGTTGAAAATACATCCAATTCAGCGACCAATATCAAGATGGTCAGAACTCAGCAGCTGTAGTAGATTGTTTTGTTTTGAATACCTAGATCCGTTTCCAAGCCCTATCAATATCCTCGTGATACCTTTACATATTATCGACATACGATAATATGTAGTCCTTCGGGTTTACGGATATGTTGCTAAAGGCAAGGGCGTCTATGGCCCGGGTGAAGCTAAGAGATCTCCACCGACGAGTGTACCTGATACTTTATGATGAAAAGAATAGGAATGAGGTGCTTCAATAGCTTTTCCTCATTTGCGTGTAGTCACCACATTGGTATTAAGACAGAGTCGCGGGCGGAATGTGTTACGCATACAAACTGAACATACAGTTCGCCATGCACTTCGGCCGTACGAAAGACCATTGCAAGCTGGTCGTGATCTTCAAAAATATGCAACCGATACTGGGCAATATTGGAAACTGAGGTTATGCAGAATTCGCTTCATGAAACAAGCCAGTAAGACCTAAGCGGTCAGGGCTTGTAGACGAGTTGTATATAGAGTCGAGTCAAGCCACGAAGGCCAAGATGGAATTGGTTGGTCAAGGACTCATGCAGCCCTAGTTGATCATTGCATTCTGAATAGCTTCAATTCCAAGCCCAGTTCTCTGCCCTTGTTATAGAATGAGTAAATCATGTTCCAAGGCATTTAACGTGTCTATCTATATTTGCTATTCAGTACATAGGGTTACAGTCTAGGCCTTAGCAATTTTCAAAACTCAGCTCTCGCAGAAACGACACGAAAGAGGTGATTGCCTTTTGCATCTTCAATACTAAAACGTCAGCTAAGACTTACATTGATAATGCGCCACAACGCATAACTAGACAAGTACCTCGGATATCTCGAATAGGATAACATCTAAGCTTTCTGAGAGTCTACCTACATCCAACAAGCCTGTGCCTCAGCTTCTGCATTTGGCCAATCGGTCACAGAATCAATATCACGAAAATCATCTAGCTCCGATATTCACCCATTACCCTGTAGGTTTGAGGCGTCTTAGTGTTCAGGAGTCTTAAGACTTTTTCTTTATGTTACCGTCCAAATAGAAAATAAATGGCCAATATCAGCTATTTACTAGCCGACGCCATAGCGCAGAAACTTTACCAAGAGCTGAGGATTAAGACGCCTGCTAATGATAGAACTAACGAATACTAGTTCCAGCTGACGTGAGACCAAGAAGCTGAATTCAAGAAGCCAGATCTCCATAACTAAGCCAGCTTCTTTTGGTGATCAAATGACTAGACAAGCAAAAGCAACAGACACACTAAAAAGCTCATTGAGCTCAAGTGTCAACGAGGTGTCTTAAAGTGTACGATAACTCGGTACTTATCTGTTGTTTTCTCATTCTCGCTTCTTATTGCCATTAGTTATGTGCCTGTGCAATCAACATCTTCATGGGAAACACGTTCCACCCCTGTTTTAGATCCAAGGTTTATATGTGTGCATGTTAACCCGTAAGTAAACTCTCCACATATGAACGACCGTGCTGTCATACCACCAAAACTTTCTAGAGTAGAAAATTGGAGAATCTGTGACACCCTTAAGGACAATGTTTAACTGGGGCATATGATTTGGCTCCTAGGCTCGCTTCTCAGATCCGCCTAGACTCAATCGCCCACGCTGTTCCGAGGGCCAGCCAAGATAACTATGACAATCTGTTTACAAAGCAGGGGCGGGGTCCCCGAAGATCTAATGATGTGTAGAATATATAGAGGCCCGTCATGACTAATAGAAGATAAGTTAATATAGATAAATAATTCCACCATCCCATCAAACTACGTTCCTTCACTGGGTGCTAGATTACTTTTCTCTCACTTCCGTTACAAGATGCGCTATCGTTTTCTAGGGTATTTTTATTCAGCTTTAACGGCCGGCGTATCTGGAAGAAGACACTTGTAATGAAACACGCGCACGATATCTTCTCCTGATTATGACAATAAAGAAGAATTTTTGATGATACGCGACTACCACTCTAGCTGAAATATAACCAGTAAGGCCTGTGATACAGCTTCTATTTCAATGAATTAGCGTCGTCGCTACGGCTAACATTCAAGTTGAGATGGCTTTGCCGAGAAGAATACCATGCCTATCAAGACCTTGGACTTTCTGGATGAAAGCTTTCTAGACCATGCTGCAGTCAACCACGGACGTCCCAGCATAACACCGTCTATCTATACTAAAGCTGTTCGAAGCGCTTTTGAGAAATCTAAGGCTCGGTGGATTGATGACCCTACCATTAGCCAATGGCGCAACCCATGTCACAAGATTTACGACGTGTTAGCAGAAGTAGACGGTCTATACGAGGAATGGGCATCTTCTGATGCAGCTCCCTTCCAGCTCTCTCCAGATCCTCTCTGGCTAGATACTGGCCGTATTCTTGCCAGCGTCGGATTACCGTGGCATAACAATCAGATCAACTTACCCAGTGAAATCGATACTAGTTGGCCATTTCACTTCAAGCGTTTTGAGGCGCAACTCATTAAAATAAAAGCAGCCCGAGTGGGAAATTTTAATCCATCTGGGTACGTCAGTAACTACGATGAAGCCAACCTCTACTGTATTCGAGCGTTGCAACACGATTTTCGGGAGCTGTTTCCTACTCAAAGGCCCATACTAGCTTATGACCGCTTTGATACCGAGCTGATATGGTTTGCCGAAAGGGCATTTGGACTTGAAGGACGACAGTTGAGTCTTTGCAGGCCATTACAAGTTCTTGAGGACGAGCTTTTAACAGCAACTTGCAATGCGACCAGGCCCATCATCTTTGCAGCAACGCTGTGCAATCTTTCTTCATCAGAATACGATGATATTAGCGTCATTTCCCAGCTATCTCGTCGTTTTCGACTTTTCCTGCATGTCGACGCGTTTCGGAGTTTTGATTATGTTACTGTTGGGCCGGATCACGGTCAACATCCACCTGAGAAGCTCACCCTAGCAGCCATAGATTCCAAAGAACCTGTTCGAATGAAGAATGGATCAATTTGTGCCAGTACAATAGTTGCGGGAGGCATGAACCATTCGCGTTATGATCCAGCTGTTGCTCTCAAACCTGCCTCGGTCGGCGGCCAGAGATTGACAAGGGTGGCTTATGTCAGAGGCTTCGACTCGACATTGTCGGGCTCACGCGACGCCATAACACCATTATGGCTGGCTCTATATGAGGAAAGACTTGGAGACCGTGGTTTCCAGGAGCTTCTCCAATATCACTCGTCATTACGGTCTCTCGTCTTGCACCGTTTAAGAGATCTAGGCATCCCGGCCGTTTCGTCCCCTTACTGTACAGACATCATTATTACATCGTATACCAGGAGCCAGAAACAGTGGCTGGTAATGCTTGGCGGCAAGACTACGCCAAAGGGAACTATCGTTCTATCGATCAATCCTTATTCTTCTACGATTAAACTTTTGTCTTTTCTCCCCGAGCAGGTCCGAAATCCGGTTTGCTTTAAAGACTTCGCGGCCATGTATCCATTATCGCAGAAAACCCTGGTAGAGCTCGAGGCAACAGTACGATCATGGCAGATAGTTTCAAGGTCTATGACGGGTTACCCAGTCTATCTTGGCTCACACTCCGCCTTAGGGCCCGTCGTTGGGCTGTTGTATGACGTCAACATATGTAACGACTGGGCAGAAAGAAAATCGCGTGAACTCCTCGATCATCGCATGGGAGCTTTTGGCCTAATTTCCTCAGAGAACAAGAAGCATTTTAAAGGAACATTTACGAACGGCAGCACTATGGGAAATCGGCATGGTATCATGAACGCCCTTGTGCAATTCCCGAATGCTTTCATATATTGTTCTACAGAAACACACTACAGTGTCCTCAAAACCCTTCGGGATTGTGATACTCTAACAAATCGTTGGGTTGGAGGTGAACCTCGCTATTCCCAGATAAATAGTGCTCCAAATGGCAGTATTCTTGTTGAGGCTCTTGTTCAGCAGGCTGTTACCGATAGGTATCAATGTGTAGCTGAAGGGGTCGAATATCATATGATCTTATTAGTCAATATGGGGACCACATTTGTTGGGGCCAGGGACAACCTCGCTGAGGCTTTCCGGGAATTAAGAAGGGTTGGAATCCAAATCTCGTATATTCATGTTGATGGAGCCTTGGATTTCGGATACGAGACGTGCGGCATGAAGCTGGGCCCACCTGGTGCTGTGGACAACGACTGTACACCACTGGTACAGGGAATCACACTCAGTCACCATAAAGCTCTCGGTACTACGGTATCTGGCGAGGTTCTTTACTTTAGCCCCGAGAATCAACGCCCAATTCCATGCTTAAGTATTCATCCCAGAGTCATTTTTGAAGTTTGGTTCTACAGCCAAGTGTACAGTGCTGCTGATCGCAGTTCAATGTTCAGCTACTGTCGCGAGAACTCCTCGCTCTTGCAGACGGGTCTCGAAAGAATGGGTATTGTCACCAAAAGAAATTATTACAGTATAATCACTGTTTTTGAACGCCCACTTGCTTGGATCACAGAGCAGTTTTGTCTGAGACCTGAGGGTGACTGGGTTCACTTCATAACTATGCCCCATATATCTAAAGAGACAGTTGAACGTTTCCTTGACCAAGTTTTATATACTAATAAGCAAGTTTCTGCTGCTTTGCGCTGCATTTCCCCATTATTGAGTAACACCTTCACGCGAGAAATGGGGTTGAAGCGTATTCAATGTTGCAGCGTCCTTGCTGAACGGGTGTCGACATTAATCCGGCCTGTTATACGATTTCATGATATCCGTTATCGAGATACAGGTTCGACGCTCGATATCAAATTAAACCTGCGAGGGGCTCTCTCGATTGTGGCCGTTGATGGTTGGGATGAGATCCAGCTTGTCTTCTTACTAGGTTCGGATCGTGCCCAGTCTATTCATGTCGGCCCTATATTTGTAAAAAATCAGTTTGATTTTTGCAAGACGAACATCATCGAGATATTGACGCTTCTTGTCTGTCTCCTAGCAAGATATCTCAAGGCAGATATAAGCGTGGATAGCCAGAGCTATCGGGTGTATACTTTCTAATGTGCTACACGGAAACTCTCGGACGTAGGTAGGCCTCACGGCCCCTGCAGTGCGCACGAGGGATCATATCAAGGTAGTATTGAGTGCTCTAGCTAGCTAGGTTCTATCTGAGGAGCGGTTGAGCGGTGTACAGAATATATATGCGACCTTTGGACCCAGGTTCACCCGTTCCTTGACTCCACCAACGTCTGACAGAAACAGGTGGCTATCTCGACTTAAACAAAGATGCGATGTCGCTCAAATAGCAGACAAATAATATATACATTCAATGATTAGCCACGGACTCATCTTTCCGTAGATGGATAGATAACTCGGGGAATAAACTTAGTATCACTATTCCAAGTGCACTAAGTTACTTTAAGTAACGTGGTGGTGACCCCTAACCTTTTGGAAGACAAGCCTTGCGATAGTGAAGGCTGTCGGTAGATTCTAGTACAAATATGTTTTCAAACTCTCAGTGGTAGCTACAAAGTGAATGAAGTATTTGATGCATATTAGGGAATAACACGAGTTCCCATGTCCTGTATCACCCAACCAATCTAAGTTTAGTACAACACCCACCCTGTGAATGAACCCATGGGGAAAAGCCCATTCCATATGTTGACGTTGAGGATTAATTACAAGGCATCAGACAAGATTGGAAAAGCGTGTGATGCTTTAACTGCCATGAACTACGTCCTCGTATATTCAAACGTCTATAGGATCGATCATAGGCAGAAATGAAGTCAGATCGGTTTCTTCATGTATACCTTGATGTTCCTGATCTGCCAAAATTGTCTACTGACATGTACATCAAAGCCAAATGTTTCCTAGCGGCAGCGTTGGCAATAAATTCTTGGAAAGTCGGGTTTGTCTTTGGCCAATTGATGGGGGCAGGTGATATAAGGCTAGAGTCTTGTTACATTGTGGCAATCCTCAAACCCGAGTTCGGCCAAGTTATTATACGATCACCCCTGGCTTGAAACTGCCTTTATGCTTCATACCATTCTGTTGTACGAATCTTCAGTTTGCAATATGGTAGGGGCTTTTTTCTTGTTGTTTATCTGTTTTATTGAATATTGAATCATCATCAATCTGCTATATTTAATTGGCCAGTTACAGTCATTGGAATGGATACATGTGCTGTAACCATCACGCAGATGTCACCCCGAAACAATGTTATTTGTAACATATCCCTGGCAACTTAGCGACAGTTATTACTAGATTATCATGTATGACTACTTTCGATGTCATTCAGAAGGCAAAGCTTCTTCTTTACCTCAAGTGTTATGTATGCATGTTTTTGATGAACCAGCGCTGAGCTGCACTATGCTCAAGTATGAAGAGCTCCTTGCTAATGATTCCATCCTGTCTGAAGCAAACCTAGCTTGACATACAAGCAGCCCTAATGCTAGCAACGATGAACTACAGCCAGTGTGCAGCCTTCCAAGCACGTCACCCCCCTGAAAATTCTATTTTCCTTACTAAAGTTCATTTGAGATTCTAGTGTTAGACGCGGTGAGAATGTCTGCTGCAAGTGCTGGCCGATCTGCCGTCCCAGCAGTGGTCTGTGGCCAGAGATGTTAGTCAACCATGAGTTTCTTTGTAGCAGTCCTGCCGTCATTGAGTAAACCTACACCTCCATCAACTGGCATGATGAGACCCGTGATCCAGCCAGCTTCTTTACTGCTGAGAAATAAGATCGCTAGATTTATTCAATCAGCCATGCAATATGGCGTGGTCATATGAACTCACCATGGCCGACATCCCACGCAGTACCCTCTTTCTTCATCAAGTTCTGGTTAATCCTAGCTTGCCTCATCTCATCCGTCATACCACGCCCGCGAACCATCGGAGTATAGACCATGCCGGGAGCGACACAGTTGACGCGAATGTTTTCCTGGCCGTGATGCGCGGCCATTGCTCGCGTCATCTGGACGATGGCACCTTTTGTGGTTGTGTAGAGCAAGCTAGGGTTGCCACCCTGTACTATAGCCACCTCGCCGTCAGATGAAGATAAGGAGCCTAAGATCCAGGCTACTCACAACCACTGACCGAGGACATGTTGACGATTGAGCCGCGCCCTTGCTTCCGCATCTCCGGGATAGCGTAACGAGCCATTAGAACCATACTTGTCACGTTAATACGGAAGTCCCTGTCCCAGGCTTCGAAATCTAGAGACGTCGCATCACCTATTGCCCCTCCGACACCCACTGGCTTCATATATTAGCTGCATCGATAAAATATGAGAAGTAAAGGGTGCATGTGCGGCTTACCATTGTTCACGAGAATATGAACTGCACCCCAAAGTTCAACTGTTTTGGCCACGGCGCTTTTGCACGAAGCCTCATCTGTCACATCAGCCTCAATGATTTCCGAGGCCCCTCCTTCTTCGTCAATCATTCGCTTCGTCTCCTTCGCCCAGTCAACGTTTATGTCGAGCAGGGCAACCTTCGCCCCATGGCGGGCCAGAAGGATAGCTGTAGCGCGGCCATTGCCAATCTCATCTGTCGCTCCACGGTCAGCATCTTCATTCACCCCACGCTAAGATGCGAAATGCCAGAAGACATACTGTCCATTCTCGAGCCAGCTCCTGTCACTATAGCGACTTCTCCCGTGAAATCTAGGGCTCGTGGGGGGGGCATCATTGATTTCCGCTAGATGAGATATAAGTCTGTGTTAGACAGCTGTGATACGTCTAGTTTCTGGCGAGAGCGGCAGATGTATAGAAGACAGTGCCTTGGGCTTCAACCTGATGTACGCAATATGTCTCGGGCATAAGTATCAAGGACTCCTCTATAGGTTAGGTTAGGTAACACGACGTATGCTTGCACCTGTCTTCCCCGCCTTCTTCCCCCGAATCTAGCAAGAGAGAGTTTTGACCCTGTAGAGATTGGGATACCATCGCTATATTGAGGGTGTTCTCTATATCCTATTGAGCCCTACAGGTATCGGCCAATCTAGGTTAATTAGAGCATTTGTAGAAGCATTCTCTATGCAATGAAAATTCATCGTTCTCCTTGAACAGCACTTTGACTAGAAATTACCCAACTCGCGTCCCAACATGAGACTAATACATCACCGTGGGGTATCTACGGGAGTATCTCAGCGAAGACAGGCTCTGATGGCGCCTCCGCGTACATCGCATGGGATCCCAAGCGAATGCGGGGTTAATATCAATCATTCCGGCCTTGATAGCCAGTAATTGAACCAATTCATTATACCTGTTAAACTCTGTTCTTTAACCCAACCTGCTTGACCTCAGCCATCGCGAACTCAGTCGGACAATGGGGATGGGGTAATCTGCCTACGTTGATAAGGATCCTCTGGGTCGCCTCGCAAGGCAAAGCCATGTTCCACGCCGGCAAATAGTTGATAGTGATAGAATTTCTTTTCTTCTTGTAGTATATCTAGCGCGCGTCTCCTCGAAGGAAGATCGAAAGTGTGATCAGTCTCGGCGCAGGAAAGGAAGAGGGGTTCTAGAAAGCAACAGCGTCAATTAGTGGGACAACATTTCCCATGCAACTCTTCATCAACGGCTCTAACCAATACTCACTCTTGATATTTCGAAAATGACGCTCTTGGAGAAAAGCGGGATGTGCGAAGGCGCCAGCAGCGACAGTCCCCTTGGCCAATTCGGCGCATACGTACGGGGCCCCGAAACAATAACCCACGCAAGCTATCTTTGCGCCCGAGTTTCCATACTGCGCTGCTACAGCTTGAACCCATCTCGGCACTGCCTCATCTGCAAATTCAAGGTGCTTCTTTTTCCATGCCTCATAGTCAAAAGTGGGGTCTGTAGTTCTGTCGTGTCTGTCTTTTCGATGCTTCCACACAGGGTCCTGTTGAACCCGGTGTTATTGATCAATCCGCGGGGAAACTACTGGTATGAAGCATACTTACACCGCGAAAATAGTCTAACCCAAGAGTGAGGTACCCAGCATCGGCGAATGCGTCCATGACCAAAAGGCTATTGAGGAATAATCCCCAGATATCGGGAAAGTATAGTAGAACATGCCCGTTAGCCTTTGTGCTTGATGGGGTAGCGATGTATGTCTCGATCCCCTCGATCATTCCCCATCCTCCTCGCGCTTCGTCTTTATGGATTGTTCCCTCCAGGCAACATAATCCACTAGGCTTCGCCAGATACTCGTCGGACCTGGCCACGATTTCAGATTCCATTTTAGTGATGCGTCCGTTTGGTTTCCAGACAGCTAGTCAAACCCCTGAGTTCCGTGATTGACGAGCCCGACGGGAAACCCCTCACTACCCGCTATTTTCGCTGCCGCCCTTACCCCGAAATAGAGTTACCGTACATGGTGACTGAGAGTAATCTGAGGGGAAGCCTCGTCACAACCCTTGTCTCCTATATCTCCCCCATGCATTTCCCAGGCTTAGGTCTGTATGTAAATGGCAGGACTAACATTTCAGTTTCTCGACTTGGTCATCTAGTGTTCCCGCAGAAGACCACCCAGTGACAATACTAAGGGGCGATTGGAGCCAATATGACACGCAGGACTGTCACTTCACAGCTAAATAAAGAATCTCTTGTTAGTAGATATTCATTTCGTACATCTCGGCAATGAAGATATAGCCTGTAAACCTATGTACACCGAGGGTAAAGCGCAACGCTCGAATTTGTTATCAGAGCATAAGGTATATTCCAATCAACTTCACCCACGTCCAAGCTCGCCAAATTAACCCCACGACTCCTGTTAAGCAAACCCGAGGCTCGAACCTCAATCTTATCTAGCCGTCGACCGCCTAAATACCACTGAGCTCACAGGCTCCTTTAACGCGGCCGAGCTTCGCCACCTCAGGTGTGTTCGCCTCTTCAGGCCACCCCCCACTGTTCATGAGCGGGCCAGGATGGTCAGAAGGTTGGTCTAGAGTCTCCTGCGAGCTGCTATAATCCGAATCAGGGGGCTCTGTCGAGTGCGCTTCAGAGCCTTCCGGAATAGGGACCATGGCAGACTTGGTCCAGATATGGGTAGCACTGCCCCAATCAAGGCCGTCGATACAGCCCCCTTTCACAGAGACAACGTTCTTACCCTGCAATGCCATGTGAGCTGTCTATTCCGGCGACGCATTTGAGATAGAGCCGATATAGCCATTGGACACCGAACAGCCTAAGATGAAGAAACGACAGGAAAACTTACAGGGGTCGTGTGAATTAGCCTTGTGCCACAGCGCTGACAGAAATAGCAGTATAAGGTGTGGCCTGAGTGCGTCGGACGACTTGTCAAGGATTCGTGCGTTAGTTAAGATGAAAATGACAGAATGCAAGCTCTCGACGACGGCGAACTAACCCCCCACGCCGCAATATGCATCACACACCCGAATCACAGGATTCGACCTACGTGTAACAGGACAGCAAGTCAGTTTTAGGTAGTTCGAAGCGTGGAAATATCGCCGAGGTTCCGAATGCAGAGCTCGACTGCCAGCGACATTCGGCGCAGTGGCAGATGTACAGCGCTAATGGCTTCGGGAGCGGAGTGGTGAAGCGGACGGCCCCGCACTGACACCGGGCTTCCATGTCTGACTATCTCTTCAGCTAACTACTGCTCTTAGCTGATATGAGTTAAGAATGGGCGGGCGATGGAGATGTTGAGTAGACGATACGAATGTCGCGGCGTTATGAGTGAGTCACTGGGAATGCGACTGAGCTAATTCTCACCCCTCAACAGTAGGTACGAATTCATAACATTAGACAATAGCTACCTGCTCCACTCTTTTCACGGCCCCGGCCAAGAGAGCTTGACTTTAAAGAGAAGCGCGAAGGGGGGGCTCTTTTGAAAAGTATAACGTGTCAGGGGCGGTTGGACCGACTCATCGATCCAAACTAAGAGTACAACTCTCATCGTCAGCGAAACGAGCATCCAAGATAGTAAGTAACCAGTTTGACGCGGTGTCACGTGCCGTGGCGCTGTTCTTGGCAGGTCGATGACGTCGTGATCTTACGGCTCTTATTCTTATCCAGGTGGCACTACCTAAGGCAGAGGTGAGGCAGGGATGGCGACGAGGGTCGCGATGATCTCTTCTGACAGAGCTGCGCCCGTTAGCTGTCAATATGCCTACCTATCTACCATCAGTATACACTACTCCTATCAAAGAGCCAACGCTGGCAAGAAAAGGTGATAGTTGGTGGTTGGGCACATCCCGAATGATATCCCTGGACGATTTGACACCTTTCACGTCTCTCAATTTGGGTAGATTTATAATGCAATAGTTCTTATTCCATGGATAGCCGTAAAGACAGACAGACAGTTAAGAATAAATGACACTAAGTCTCCAAAGTGTATGCGCTCAACTCCTCACAATTTCCCTTGTTCCCCTGATACCAGTTACCACAAACGCGCCAGTTTTCCATTGCAGGGCTCCAATTCCATCCAGTCCTTGTTCTTTTTACTACAGTTCATCGTACACACCGCATGTTAATGGTGCAAAAGGATAGACACACAACTTAATAACACTAGCAAATACCCTTTCTTAGTTGCTAAGGGGATAACAGTAGCTCTTTTAATTTTCGAGATAAAGAAATCTGCCTGGGATTAGTGGCCGTTTGAATTGGAACCAGAACCAGAGCCTGTGGCTGTGCCAGCTGAGCCGTATGTATCCCTCTTCGGTCTGCCTGTGATGTCTTGCCAGGTGGCACCAAATCGACGTCCCGTGCTGGCAAGGAGACCTTCCTCTTCATCAGCCTCAGCTTCTTCATCGATCTCACTAAGATTTAACTTGGGCGTCCGGAATAACGCGGTCACGAAGACAATGAGAAATACGCTGAGGAACGCGAACTGAGCCCAGAAGTCAATTGCACCGAACACGGGCCAAGTGAGCGTGATTCGATTGAGGAAGGTCGACATCATAGTCGGAGTGCAGACTCGTGTAGCGGTATTGTGCGAATTAACCCACTCGGAACAAGGTTTAACTGCCTCGGGGTTCTTGCTACAGTCAGGGAGTTCATCGGCGTGATGTGGCGGCAGGTCGCAAAACGTCTGGGTACCATAGCTTGCATATTGAGGCGCAACTAGCATGGCGATAGCATAGTTGATCGCGAGGGTGATGAGCGCAAGCATAACGGTAGCCATCAGCAGTGCTTGCGGAGCAGTTCGACCTTTGCGGATTTGGAAGATTCGCAGCCACAGGAAGCGGATGCCGATGGTAGCAATACCTGTGATGGAGCTGCTAAAGAAGAGAAGGATGAGTAGTGCCATCAGAACGTAGTCAACAGGGAAAGCGCGAGCGGTCTTTACGAATATCCAGTTGATAGGTTGGAACACGTTGATATGCGCTAGGATATAACCGCAGTGTTCCTTGCAGACCGAGTTGGCTGCCTTGTCGATACCAGTGATCAACATTGACACCCAAACGAGGAGTGAGAGGAGGATAAGGAGAATGCCTCCAATAAGCTTGATAGGTCGAAATACTGCGCAAACTTTAGCCCACGTGCGCACGATAAAGGTCTTGCCCTGGCCTTGGGCTTCCGCAGCCAACCGCTCTCGTCGCACTAGGGTTCGTTCCTCGCGGGCAAGAGCCTCGAGTTCACGCCTATCCTTAGCGGGCATCCCGTCTGGACGGCCAGAACTGCGTAATTCTAGTTGTCGTTGCCTTTCTCTGTTCTGCTCAAGTTGTGAAGCAGTGTTTTCGTAAAGCTGCGGGGCAGAGACTGAGGGCGCTGACTTAATGAAGGATATTGGCAAAAGAGCAAGCCCGGCACCGGTGTAGAGAACATAGAGTAGAGTCCCGAGCGTGATAAGAAGACCTAGCCCGAAAGTCAAGGCTTTCTCGCCGTGGTTTACGTCGAGAAGTCGTTTGAAGAAGTCGAGGTCGAGGTGTTTGCCGTCACGGTTACCAGCAGCGGGGACGAAGAATCCAATCAAGAATATGATGACCACCAGGAATATAAATGCGATTGTGTATTTGAAAGCTCCCCATAATCGGCTTGCGAACGTCTGATGCCCTTCCTGTTCCTCGACCTCATCGTATTCCTCGTACCAGAAATAAGAGAAAGGGATAACGACCAGGCAAAGCAGCGCATCGAAGCTATATAAAGAGTAATAGACGATCTTTAGCGTAAGAAGGATGTTGTGTATTCGGTTCGGCGTGGCCCAATCTTTCTTCGTGCCGAGCGCAGTGGACGTTGTTGATGACACCAAGGCGATGTCGACGGGAAGGAGGAAGACGGTCGCAAGCAAAGCGGTGATACTGACGATGGTGACGGTGCTTACTATGGCGGATCGATCGCGGTGGGTTTGCCAGGTAAAGGTCGTGATAGCAGCCGCAATAAGGGCCAGGCCGACGGCAACGGCGTAGGCCACCCAGATGAGGGATGTTTGTATATAGCCGGCGGCAGCCATTTTGAGAGCCAAGCAGGATTTCGCCAATGGCAGCGTAATTGTGTCAGTAGTGAATGGAGTCAGGGGCGTTGGCCATGGAGTCGTGGAATTGGTGATGGACCAGTCTGCCCCGCGCTGTCGATGCTGGAATGCTGCTTGTTTATTGTCGCGGGCCTCAGCACTTAAAATACGGCAGTAGCTTCAGCTCTGCGACAGGAGCCTGAAACGTGAATTAGGTAATGACGTAACCATACGTGCAAGGTGCAGGTAGGCTGCGGCTTAAATACATATTATGCATATTTCTATGCATCTCCCGCATAGATCCCAGTATCCGAGTGTACATGTACAAGCAGCCAGGCAAAAGATCAGAAAAAGTGGCCTAATACCTATTCATTCTCCCGCGGTGTGGCGTCATATGTGTCTAATGCTCGATCAAGTCATTTTATTATTATTTCACTCTGTACGAAATCGCATAAAATAATAGTCGGCTATATTTCCAAGTTCTATCTATCCGGGTCTTGCAGAGATACAAGTTTCCTCGAGTGGTGACGAGGTAGCATTCGCCAATACCACTAGATGCTGCACAGTGGTGGACACAATAACCACCATCACAGCGGCCGCTCTTTTAGATCGAGACAATAGACATTCATGTGAAGTCATCCAATAGAGATAGCATGATGCCATCAAGATTGGCGCAATCCGCTGAACCGTACGACTCAGAGAGCCATTGGCCATCGAATCCGCCGTCAAAGGGGCTCCAAAGAGACGGCCAGGGAGTGTCATCGAACATTACTGGCTGTATTGTAGCTGGTACAAGATCGATGTTGGTCCTAGAAACATTATCTATGGCAGATTGCCCAAGCGACGCGGCCGCTTCTTCCCGGCGCTTCTTCAGCAACCACCGGCTTATAGGACCAGCCAATTCGTCCAATATATCGCGGCTTCTCTTGGCACCTGAATAGTGCTCTCCGATTGCGCTAAGGACGTTGAGACTGGCCCTTACATTGCTCATAAAGTCTTCTACTTCCAGCATTGTTGCTATACTCGGCACTGACAGGATGCAGTAGAACATCGCGATAGTGCTGAGCACCGCGCTGTGGAACGTGATCCAATTGTGGACGAGCAGGTTCTTCTTATACAGCTCGCTATGAAGCTGAATTGACTCCTCGGCACTCGAATAGCAGTGACGCAATGCATCATGATCGGGTCGAGGAATATTCGGGCTCGGGCGAAGCAACAACATTCTCACTGAGTGATAGCGTAGTAGTAGCATCGCATGACTATAGTCATTAGCGTTTCGTGCTGCTGGGACACTCGCAGCCCATTGATCGAGTTTCGCGAGAACGTCCCTCTGCCAGGCATTGATGTCAATAATAGCCGGGTAAGCGTAGCTTGGGGCATTAGGATTGACGCTGTTCGCAACATATTTGATCTCGGAATTGATCTTTGCAAGTTTGAACAAGTGGATTGCATAAGTCATGTGAGTCGATGTGTTTGATGAAGTCGGGGCTGGGATAGATTCGTTTCCAATATCGGCATCCGACAGGTCTGCTGGTAACTGTCCAACATTAGTATGTCAGCTTTTCCAGACTTGGGGCGCTCACCACACCTACTCTAAAATCGCATGCTTCGTCGCGTAGCCCTATCGGGCGGCCCATCATCGTTGCTATAGTTCGATCTAATGTGTAGACCACCCAAAAGATCCGTGTTCTCATCTCAAGGTCAAGCTTCGAGATACCACTACTGCCCGTCACAGCGCGCTGAAGGCCCAGGTCCAATACCGAGGCAATGCACTGATAGTTTAAACACCAAACATCAAGTCTAACTGTCGAGCTCTGCATAGCGAAAATAAGCAATAATAGAATGCATTGCAGACCTTGGATCGAGCTTTCCACCTGAATCTTCTCGAAGTACTGCAAAGCAGTCATATAATACCGCTCACCAGAAAGGGGTATCTTCTGCAGTCTCGATACTATAGTCGCAGAAATGGCTAATACCATATATGTTTGGAAGCCCGCTATGTGGTCCGGGCTATCGCACTCAAAGAACCGTCTGAGCGACTGCAGAAATGTAGGGTAGTGTAAGAATGGGTATTGGACATGAATGATGTCAAAATAGGTCTGGCATAGGTTGGTGGCTTGGTCTTGGGTGATTGATATTGGACCTTGTGTCTCAATAACAAGTTCTCGAAGATAAGGCGCAACTGACGGTGTCAAGCTGTTAGCAGGCCTTGCCATTTTCCCAGCTCTACTCGATGCGGCGAGCATAAGCTTGCAGAAAACATATCCACTAGAAGGACCGATATATCTAGGGTCTCGATTTGCCCCAAGCGATACCAACCCAACTTCGTGTGAAAGCCCTGCACTGGAAGGAATTTCTGACGCTTCAAGACCAGTAGCTTCATTGCCCGCCGTGGCAGGCCCCTTGGTGATCGTGGTCTCAGTACCTGGCAACACATCTAAGTCTGGCTGTACTTCCGGTATCTCGTTCAGCTGTTGACTAGAGTCACCAATAGTCAAGGTATCGTCATCTTCAGGTCCAGTACCACTACAAGTTTGAGGTGCATCCACAACAAGTGGCCCATCGCGCTCTAAATCGATGTTCGGGCAGTGTATGCGAACCAGGGTTTCGAGCCACTCTATCCGATTGCATAAACTCTTTAGGTATCTACATAAGGAATTTGTCCGTCAGCACAGATATCCTACTTGGTTAGGGAAGCGGAAGAATTACGCCCTCGGTAGGGGTCGAGCTTTCAAGCTTTCTCCATCTTCACAGTTGACGCCTACTTTCGCGCAGCTCTGACACCGTGGCAATTCTCCGTTGCACTCGAATAAAGTTAGCAGACTACCCTGATATAGGGCCGTGCTTCACCTAGCTTACTCTTATTTTCCGTTTCTGACAACGACGGCAGCTTAACCCAGTCCGCCGAGAGTTCTGTTCACGGCGAACCACGCGCCTTGACCCGCGTCTTGGCCCGTTACCCTCCATGTTAAGTGCAGCCATTCTTAAGAATAGTTCATAGTATACAATAAAATGGTGTTTCCATTATGAGAATCGAATGTCGACAATTGAAAACGCCGGGGAATAAACGGAGTTCCTCCGTGCAGGTCTAGCTACTAGTCATTGGCGTGCGGAGAAAACCCGACGTCGGACGAACCTTAGGGCTCTAAGTGCATCGGCATTATTCCGAACAATCATTCATCATATTAACCCGTCCATGCAACGGATATAAGCTCCAAGGCCTCGCTGCCCTAAAAATACGGCTCGAATATTTAGAATCCAAAATTTGGAATCCATCCGGACTTGATTAGTTTCTACTACGGCTGCATAATAATCATAATCTCTCAAGATGGCGGAAACCTCTGCTCCCACTTTCTACGTCGACGCACCTGAAGCCCAGAAATTCGTTGAGAACGTGCTTATAGGTAATGGAGTGCCAGCATCGAACGCGGAAATTGTCGCTAGATGCCTCATAGCAGCCGACCTCCGCGGTGTAGACACCCATGGGATGAATCGCATCCCTTCGTACATGACTCGGATAAGGCAAGGTGTTCTCGATGGAACCGCTTCACCTGAGTTGACCAAAATCACGCCAATGGTTGCTCAGGTAGATGGGCGAAATGGTTTTGGTTTCCTTGCCGCGTCGAAGGGGATGGCGACCGCTGTGGAAATGGCTCATGAATTTGGGATCGGGATGGTGAGCATCAAGCACTCAAATCACTTCGGAATGTCAGCGTGGATTGTGCAGCAAGCCATAGATGCTGGCATGATGAGCCTTGTCTTCACAAATTCAAGCCCCGGCATGCCTCCGTTTGGCGGGAAGGACAAGCTTCTGGGTGTCTCGCCAATCGCATGTGGCGCGCCCGGCGGAAAGGAGAGGCCTTTCATACTTGATATGGCGCCCTCTGTTGTAGCTCGGGGGAAGATCTATAAAGCTAAGCGGCGCGGCGAAAAGATTCCATTAGAGTGGGCGTTAGATTCGGAAGGTCGACCAACTGATGACCCAGACGCGGCACTTGGTGGTGTAATGCAGCCTATGGGAGGTCCAAAGGGATCGGGTTTATCCCTCATGATGGATTTATTCTCGGGGGTACTCTCTGGTAAGTGAAAAGGCCAAAGACTAATATGAAAGACTAACATAAAGCAGGTTCGGCATTCGCGGGACATGTAACTGGACCTTATGATCCAAGCAAGCCTTCGGATGTTGGCCACTTCCTCCTGGCCATCAAACCAGATTTATTCATGAGTCTCGATGATTTCCGCGAACGCATGGACTATCTGTATCAGCGCGTCGTTGGAGTAGAAAAGGCAGCTGGAGTCGATCGAATTTACTTTCCAGGAGAAATTGAGCAATTGCGGCAGGAAGAAAGATTAAATACCGGCATCCCTCTTGTCCAAGCTGAGATAGATGCACTAAATGATGAGGCAGTAAAAGTAGGGAAGCCTTTGCTTGTGATGAAGGGACAATAAGTCGCGCGGCTAGTTTTCAATCACTGAACTAGGTTGTTGTCGAACTGTTACTGTATTTCTGAAAACTGATTTTTTTCAATCTATTAGCCTTGATAATAAATGTTTACTTTACTCCTTTTCGTTACAACCTAACAAAGCATCCTCGAGTGAGCTCAGAGTCATGGGTACGATACGCACGTCATACGACGGTTCAGATTATTCACAATTTGTAGTTAGACGTTGAAGCTATACGCATACTGCCAATAGTGTTAATCTATAGAAACCTAAGCTATAAGTTCGCAAAGTAAGTTGTAGATAAGAGTAAGCTTTAGATAGCTGCATCGGGGCAGCCTTGGTACATGTATCGTTCTGGCGACACATGGAATCTAGTGCTGAGAATTACAGCCAGATTGACTTAAAGGGGTCGAGGCTTTCTGAAATTGGTTCGAACCGAGAGCTAATCGGACAGTCGATTTCAAGCTGACGTTGTAAAGATGAACAGAAACGACAATGATTATCTTCTTGGAAACCCGTTATCGTCAGTATAATCTCAATATACTCTTAATTGGGACAAATACTCACGGTCTCCGTCGGCTGGCTTTCTGCCAATTGGGTCTTGAAATTCCGCGAAACGTTTGGTCCTCGTCAAGATCTTCATCCAACGATGCTGACTGTACGTCCGCCGGGAGTTCGTTCGGGGAGGATGACCTAGTAGGTATCTCCCCCGTGAGCAGAATAATGAGTCTTCTCATGCCTCTTATCTCGACCTCCATTTGCTCTATACGTTCGGATTTCTCGTCCTCCTCGTCCTCCCCTTGAAGCAAAGGGTCGAGCCAATCCCTCCAGTCATCGAACAGCCCAAACATGTCACCCACGAAACAAACAAGAGCCAGAATCGAGGCAACAGTAGTGACTACTAGTAACGGGTACTTCATTGTGTCTAGATTGTACGGTTGTTTGAAGAGTTAAATTAATGAATACAATAATATAAAGGACGAGGAGAAGGAGAGGGAAGAAGAAGAAAAGCGTAATGGGGAGAGGTCTGCGAGAAATATATAATTGTATCTAGACTAACCTCTAGCCGCTTCGAAGCCAGATTTATTACGCTCACTTCCCAACAAGGTTTTATGAAAGTTAAATATCTAATGTAGCCCTGATATTATTCTTCTCCCCTCAACTTTTTCTCCATGCCTTAGAGCTACCTAGAGATCAAAGAAACGTTTAACCAATCTAGCTATCTCCCTCTCGACATACAAACCCTATTAGTTCCTATCCCAGACGAAATTAGTCTAATTCTGGCCTAAGTCGTTCGGCCTTAAATGCTGCGGCAGTAATTCACGACCGGTCATCGCTATTGTGGTAATAATACAACAAACATTGGACCCCGATACGCCGGTGTGTAGGTATTCCATAATGCAGTCAATTAGCTGAGACTTGAGGATTACTATATTTGTGTGGAGAAAATGTGTTTAATTTGGGGGGTATATAACCTTGGTTGTGGCAGACACCTAAAAGTAAAACCAGCTTTTGCGGTAGGACGTCCTTGCGGTAAAGGTTGCCATGTTATCTCCTTGTAACGTAATTGAGCCCTCACTGGGGTGGTAAAAGATGTGACCCTCCCCCGTCTCGGTACATCGTAACTTTAAATAGTATTTCTGGTATTGTGAACTCGATGATCTGGCCTTTTTGGGGGGGGCGGCCGCGGCTTCGACTTTTGGAAGCAACAGCTGCAAGCGGTCTCTTTGACCCTATATTCTCTTCATCGTCGCTTTCCATGTCTAAATGAGCGCAATATTTCTCAAGGGGCGCTTTGTCCATGCTAAGGGTCATGACACCTTCTAGGATGCCAAAATCGAAGGACGCTTCATAGATTCCAGCTTCGTCTGTTGTGCAAATATCCAGACTCAAGTCGTCTGCCTGGTCCGGCCACTGCCCCTCGATCTCCGCGCAGTCCAAAAATATAGCTTCCTACTGGCGAATAGTTTCTTGTCCCTTTCTTTCTCTTCAACGTCTTCAGATACTGGTTATACAACTCCGAACGCTCGGCTTCGCGTTCCTCTTTCGCTGCCTTAACAGCTTTCGCCTCATCACCTGAGTGTCTTTCTGCTGCCCGGGCTACGGCGGCAGCATCCTAGCCGACGAAGATAGTCTGCGTTTTAGGCCCATGGCTTGTTGCATGGTGAAGTCCGGAGATGCTGGCGGTGGCTTCACGCAGCTGACCGGACCGATACGAACTGTGTCGGTCTATTGGAAAACCGATCACTTCGGTGGTTTTTGCATGGTCTGGCTGTCCGGATGTCAAGAAGTATCTCCATAGCCCACTGTGGATATCTAGAGAGCTCTTTTAGAGTTAACTGTGCAAGCCATTCCATGTGCATCTCGTCGCGTACTTTGGTAATGTCCGGTGGCACACAATCGCATCTTCCATTGCTTAGCACCTTTTTCAGGAGTAAAGTACCATTTCCGGTAAGTTCTTCTTCATTATAAGAGACGCCGTAGTGCTTGAGCTGCTCCCGAACAAAATCATGTCTGTCACGTAGGTATTTGTTTCCTGCGGGTGTAAGTTTGGGCAAGAAGGCGGCGCGGAGAGCTAACCCTTCAACGCGCCCTACGTTACCCGGTGCGGTGTAAACCGGCCAAGTGCATAGCTAAACCTGTTTCTGACGACTCGGTCTGAAGACATGCGGTTTTGCCCCAGAGGCAGTTGGAATTTCTGATTAAAAGAAGATTTTGCAGACTGTTTACCGATGTTAGCGAGGAAGAAGGGGAGAGCTCTTTGTCTTTCCAACACAAAACACTGTCTGAATAAGCACATACTGTGGCAGGTCAGTGGCCACTGGCAGTCCCCAGTTGAAGCAAACTAGGAGTAGTTGTGTACATATGTACAATGAGTGTCCATTAACCATTGACAGGACGCTGTTGCTGTAGAAAACCTATCGTGGGCATCCTGCATATCTAAACCACCACGCGCTTATCAAATTGCATAACTCTGCTACGTCTCCAAGGAGAAGCCCTCTCCAATTCAGAGACGGTATCACAATATTCATATTGTATACCCATAAGATACCACAGCAACGCCTTTGAATGAAGAGGGCCATTCACCTTGGCCGTCGTTGCAAAACCATATCAGTTCTTCCTGGTCGGTAGCAGTTTTATTCTGTTCATAATGTCATGGATACACCATGGCCCATCAAGTACCTCGCGCGACGTACTGTCGTAAATTTCGTCGTGCTTGGGCCCGCCAGATCTCTTTCACATCACGTGGTCCAAGAAAAGAAGTGCGGAAACATATACTGCCTTCCACTACGCTGGTGTATAGGAGAAAGCAAAGCCTACACTGTGATTGGAAAAACTCACGACGCCATAATATATAAACCTCAGTTACTCACCCAGTTAGGTGGCTCGATCTTGTGCGCCGGTCCCTCTATCTTGTATCTAGGTATTCCCGAGCAGGACTTATGGGAGTAATCACAGGATTTATGCATCCGTAAGCGCTCACTCTGAGAGCACGTTTACTTAAAATTCCCACTATTTGTAGAAACTACCTCAATTCAATTTGATGATGACCAGAAACCAGTTCAATAGTTGACATATAGTCACTCTCCACACGTGACGCTGCAACTTGATCCAACACTCTATTATTTACCCTCTGCCCTTTACTAAGTTGCCAATGGGAAATTCTGTACTGCCTTCTGATCCATCAACCTCAAAGTCAAAACGAATGACATCCTCTTTAAATGGCCAGAGGTACTTGCTTGTGACTCTGTACTAATCAGCCCTCCGAACGTAGCCTATGACGAGCGGCACATACTCACCTATGATGTTCATCGCTAGCTTGGTACTCAGCGAGCGCTTCCCTATCCTTGTGATGACTCACGAGCGCATACTGAAACCCCTGGCTGCGCTCAATAGGGTCAGTGATTGAGGGTCCACCGACCACAAACCTCGAGTTCATGACACAGGGCAGGTTCTTCAGCTTCCGCAGTTCCGTCACGAATTCATCCTTATGTGCATTCGACACATCCGCCCTGAATTTGAATAGAACTAAAATAGCGATTAGCACGTTAACAATACCAGCCATCCTCCGTCGTGATCATAAGGAAGGACACTGACCTATGTGAATGACGGTCATGGCTGATCGAGGTCTGTAGTCTTGATGTTCGAGAGAATCTTCAGAAAATAGTACAGGCAAATATGTATCGCATGCTTCTTTTATTTAGATTGAATATGCTACGGAGACCCTTATCCCAAGGAAGAGCGACCGGTGACGCCAAAAGTTGGCTGCCAATTAGCGTCTCTCGGAGTTTTCCCGCTCCTGTGAAAGAGGTCGGCGCCACCCAATTATCAGCGACAAAGGAAATCTGCACACGGCTTAGTGATATATACGAGGGGAGCTGTAACTCTTACAGAAAGTAGATTCAGAACTTTGAGAGATTGGTCATCACTTAATGTGCAAAGGGGCCATAATCCTTATCAAACTAAGCCCACGTGTATGGGGAAAGGCTGCAGAGCTGATTATCCCATATCTACAGCCAGTGCTTGCCAATGTATCCCTAAGATGTCTTCTGAATGAGAAAAGGGGGTCGATCTGGTGCATACCCTCCGGCTCTCTCATTTTCACTGATATTTCATTCCATAATGTTTAGACATTGCGCGTTATTCGATGAAATGAGCATGCCAACGAGAAAATCTGCCACCATAGGACGATAACGTAACGTATAGTCTGTATAGAACTTTTCTGCATCGCTACCACTTCTAGCTGTTTGCGTTCGCTATACATTCGAACTCAAGAACGCTGCATAAATGTTGCGCAACAATAGGCTCCCATGACGGAACATATACTTATTGCCAAGTATATTGATTCAGCAGCAAATATCCAAAGTCTAAAGCAACTTTGTAGAAATCTCTCTGCACGCCGAAACCCGATAATCCGAGGTTCTACTTTATTCCAACGGTCCCTCAGCAGTGAGGAATTCAAAATCGGCTCCCTGGTCCGCCTGGTTCACTTCCCTCATGTACAACCCCCTATACCCTCTCATCCGCCGTCTCGCAACCCACGGCTCGCTCGCTTCCGGCCTGAGTTCCCTAGTCCTATCCGTCGTCCTCTTCCGTATCTCCTCATCGCCAAGCTCAATCCTCAGCACCCTCGCCTCGACATCGACGGTGATGATATCGCCATCGCGCACAATCCCCAGCACAGAGGTAGGGTCCGCTGCTTCGGGTGCGACATGTAATACGATAGTGCCACCCGCGGTCCCGCTCATCCGTCCGTCAGAGACCCGCAGCATATCTTGCACGCCCTGCGCCGCGAGCTTCCGTGGGATCGGGATGAGTCCGGCCTCGGGCATTCCGGGGTTACCGACAGGTCCGATGTTCTGCAGCACGAGGACGCTGTCAGGCGTGACATCAAGGTTGTCAGAGTCAATCCGACGTGCCATGTCTGCGGACCCGGCGAACACGACCGCGGGGCCGGAATGCGATAGCAGGGTTCGGTTCTTGGACGCGCTGGCTTTCATGACCGCGCCCCCTAAGAGTCCAGAGCGTTAGAAGGCAATCATTTGGGGGAGGGGGGAAATCATTTACTTAGGATAAAAGAGGTAGGGGTAACTTAATACTTACGAGGCGCCAGGTTTCCGCGCAACACGACGAGTGACGAGGCCGGGTACAGCGGATCGGTGAAGGGCGCGATGCACGACAATTCGCGCGGAATCGGGATAACGGGCTCAGCATCAAGGAGCTTGCCCAGCGTGCTTCCCGTGACCGTCATAGCCTGCAAATACAGGAGCGGCCTCAGCTCGCGCAACAGCGCCGCCATCCCGCCAGAATTATGGAAATCCGTCATATAGTTTGAGCCGCTGGGCTTCAGGTCGACGAGCAGCGGGGTCTTGCGTCCTATCTCGTCGAAGGTGTCCAGGGTGATGGACCCGGCGACGTCCGGGTGGCGGTTGATGATGGCCATTAGGTGCACGACGGCGTTGGTGGAGCCGCCGATGGCTTGCAGGACTGTGATGGCGTTGAGGAAGGACTCGCGGGTGAGTAGGGTCTGTGGCTTGAGGGAGTCGCCGGCTTGAATCAACGACACCGCAATCGTGCCCGTTTGTTCGGCGATGCGAAGACGTGCGGATGAGACGGCCGGGGCCGATGCCCCCTTAAGAGGCATCATTCCCAGTGCTACGAGTACGCATGCCATTGTGCTGGCTGTGCCCATTACACCGCAGGTGCCAGCCTTTTGATTCAGTCAGTATAAGGTCAAAGTAGACAACCCAAGCCACATCATGCCAGTGATGCAGAACATGAAAGACTCAGTAGGGGGAGTCATGGCAAGAAAACCTACAGTAGGTGCCAACTCCTCGTTGATCATCCCAATCTCCTCTATATCCATCGTCCCAGCACGATAGCTAGCCCAATTATTCCTGCAATCCGTACACGCGCCTATGCGTACGCCGCGATGGCTCCCCGGCATCATGGGGCCCGTAACAAGGTGTAAAATGGGCTTATTCGCCGAGATGCCGCCCATGAGCTGGGCCGGCGTTGTCTTATCACAACCTGTTTCTCCTCAGCAGCCGCTTACACGAAGACGATAACACACCAAATAATCAAACCTCAGAAAGCACAGAATTACATACCCCCAATAAGCACAACCGCATCGACAGGTTGAGCCCGGATCATCTCTTCCGTGTCCATACTCATAAGGTTTCTCAGAAACATACTAGTAGGCGCCGCGAAGCTCTCGTGGACACTGATAGTGGGGAAATCTATCGCCAGGCCGCCGGCGAGCTGGACGCCGCGCTTCACGGCGTCGATGAGTTGCGGGATGTTGGCGTGACACGGGTTGAAGCTCGAGTACGTATTCACGATGCCCACGATGGGCCGCGAGAGCGCGTCTTCGCTGTACCCGAGGGCCTTGATGAATACTTTCCGGAGGAACAGCGAGAAGTGCGCATCCCCGTAAGAGGTCAGGCCCTGCCTCATGCCTTGTATCGGTCCTACCGGACGATCGAGGTCATAGTCTTGGTTCCGATCCATTTTCCGCCAGTTTATTCTATTTTCTGCTATGCGTGTGCCGCGCTGTTTGTATAAGAGTCTGTTGCGAATCTGCCTGTGAGCTATGCTGCAACAGTCATGACAATAGAAATGAAGATCTAGAGTCGACGAACAGTGTGACCGAGGCGACCCCCGAGCAATTGCCAGCCCCCCATTGCCTGGTGAATCAAATAAGTATATATGAAGTTGCCATGTTGGAATGCGGGGGATCTCCGAACTTCACGGCATTAACTCCGCTTGCTACATATCCATTAACAATGGCGACTTTCTGACTCGCCTTATTGTGGTGTAAGTTCGATCCACAAGTCCCCCAACTCGACGAGAAACGCATCAGTCAGTGGGGGTCAAGCAATTCCATCGTGCTCTTCTACCGGCTGATCTTTCGAGGCAATACATTCTCACTTATGAATCTCATCCCCATCATCGTTATATGTAGTTCGGGGCTAAATGAGCCAGTGGAATTACTATGTACAATGATTACGAGTCGTCAGTGAGGTACGTTTATCAGTCACAAATGACTTACACAAGAAATTGCTTCTGTTTTTTGCTTAACGCCGGATTTTCCATTTTGATACCAAGAGAGCTCTGAGAGCAAATTAATGTTAGTTATTTAGTTACTGAAACCCAGGTAATATACATAAAGTCCTGTCTACCAATGCGCCTGTAGAAACACGCAGGCATGCCATGCTCTCCAGTGAAGAAGTTTCCTTCTCATTGAAAGTGCAAGTTCACTAAGCCCTGTGAGTAAGTCCGTTTTCAGGCTACTCTTCCTGTTCCTCCGTTACAAGAATTGTTACATCCTTGTATCCGTGTCTCCTCTAATGCCCTGCCGAAGGCAGATCAACCGAGATGATGCCGGTGATATTAGATGGCAAGAAGTTAGACATCACGCGATGTTTTTTGTACCAGCGTGTCCCCTATAAAAGGTAACTTCAAGCGGCGCAGAGCTCATAGACTGTGTATACAGCTTCCGAGTTGCTGCGGCTACACCTGGCCGTTGTATCATGCCCATACCGAGTATGAGCGTGCTAAGATAGGTAATATTGGCTCTAAAACGAAACCTACACGCTCTGGGGATACACGCTTGCGGGCTACGACAAACGTGTTAGATGGCTAGTCGTATAGTTTCGGAATAGTTAACATACCGGGCTATTGAGCATATTATTGCGCTTGTTCCTGCCCTTTTTGATATGACTTTTCAGCGCAGAAGAGTCGAGTGGTTTGAGCAATTCGAAACTGCAAAGCAGCTCTGACGAAACGGACATTACGGCGCCCCAGTTGTCGAATTCGCCACAGTACTAATATCTTGTCAGTCATATCTCGCTGTGGTGGATTAACTATACATACATTTGGCGCGCTGAAGACAGTGACCAAAACCCTGTCATTAAAGAATTCATAACCATCTTCCACAACCATGTGCGCTCGGCAAACGAGATCAAAATCATGCGCGGCCAAGAAGTCGGTTATGACTTTCTTCCCGAAGCAATAACTGACTCCTCTTTCGTTAGCCTCCCAGTCTGCTTCCATATCCGCCGGATCGGACCAAAGTAAGTCGTTGAGTAGACCATAATCAGGAACATCAGTCGGGCGAGCAATATTGCGGATATCATCCATATGGTCCAATGCCGGTGAGAGACCACCATGAACACAAAAGATTTTTCCAGCGACAATGGCAGCTATGGGCAGAGTATTAAAACAGTCAATGAAAGTTTTCCAGATTTTGACGTTGCATCGTCGCTTGCATTCGTCGTAGAAACCATAAACACGGGTAACATTGGCACATTCATGATTTCCACGAAGGAGGAAGAAGTTCTCTGGGTACTTTAGCTTGTAACATAATAGCAAAAGAATCGTCTCAAGTGATTGCTTTCCCCGATCAACATAGTCGCCGAGAAAGAGGAAGTTGGCAGAGGGAGGGAATCCGCACATCTCAAACATACGGATCAAGTCGGTGTACTGCCCATGAACATCCCCAACAATTTTGACAGGAGCATCGAGCTCTAGTAAGGCCGGCTGAGAAAGGAAAACTTCTCGCGCTCTCTGGCATATAGCTACGATTTCGGCGTTCTTTAAACAGACACTCTTGGTGACCTTGCCAGCGTAGGCGGCGTCGAGAAGGCGTTTTATAAAATCATCAAGGTCGATATCGTTGATCTCGCCCATCGCTACGCCACCGGACTGTTCATCCGTAGCTCCGGAGTGAATAGGATTAGTTGCATTCTCCCTCTTCACCAGGATCGAAGCCCCTGGCTGCTGTTGCAGTTGCGGGTTGGAATTAGAAGCGCCAGATGGTGGCTGATCGGATACATGGTCAACCTCTCCAGAGGCTTGAGCAGCACTAATATCGCCATGTCCCGTTTTCATTGAGGCAGATTGTATAGGGGATGGTGGTGGTTGCGCATCATCATCATCCAGGGGGGAGGTCACCAAGTCTGGTGACACGGGGCTCGCCATGGAGTCAACGCGGCTGGATCTAGACATCGCCGACTTACTGCTTCGCCCGGATCGTACGGATGCGACATCAGATTTATCAACGAGCGTGTCGCCATTGGAGAGAACGGTGGAGCTTCGGGGGCTGTCAGTTCTTCCACTACCTGGAATTTTAGACCGAAGCGCCTTGAACGAGCGCGATGATTCCTTTGTATCAGATTTACCGAGGGATGGGTATGACTGTAGACTATCTGTGGCTGCCGTGGCGCCGCCCGAGCCTTTAGAGCCACCACCCTCCTTTGAGTTTTGGTTTCCCATAGTCCTGGCTGGTGTATCTAAGGTGGGAGCGACCAGAGAATGTCCGAGCCTCGTGCCTCGTAGAGGAAGTCCAACCAAGGAAACGAGTGCCCAGACGCCCGCCTTCCGAGCTCTTTTGATGTATACAGGTGTCGTAGTTTTCGTCGTCTAGTTTAGTGCTAGGGAGGATGGAATAGCTGTACCAAGATGGCGAGGAGGAGAACGGAGGAGGTTTGGGAAGCCGTTGTGGCGTTCGTCTTTATGAATCGATATGTAAGACTACCCGCAAGGAGAGTCGGAGTCGAGCGACCTGTGGGAGGTGCCGGGATTCTCAAGGCCTTACGTCGGCGTTGGGAACGGGGATATCGGAGGTATAGGGTTGAACGTGGTGGTGGCAGTTGATTTATGACGAGAGCAGAGGTGGATACCTATTCATCTAGGCAGGAAAGATTAGCTCACGTTGATCTCTTCACCCGACATGCCGGGCGCAACGGCCATGTGTCGAATGGAAAGAAAAAGATCCGAAACGACCAGGCAATTGGCACGGAGGGTACGGGAAATGATGGATGTATTGAATAGATTGAATAGAGGCAATAGGTGATAGAAATTGATGACAAGCGCTAAGAATGCGGGGAGAAGGTTTTGTCGATGTAAGCGCCTGCGCGCTGGTTCTGGAAGATGTATGTGCGCGTGCTTGTGTGAATGTTGTGTGAATGGAGAAGGACTGACTAGTCATACATGTGTAAAAATGTAGAAATTCGGGCGGCGACAAAGACGGCCGGCGGCGAATGAGAGCGAAGGAGGTACGGGTGAAGGTTGAACGGCGGAAAATAAGTCGTATCCATCCACTTCGCAGATATGGCCAGTTTATGGAGAGATAGGTAGGGGAGAAAAGACGAGCTCGACGTAAGTAGAAGAGAACGAAACTCTCCAGTGAACTCGGTCGATTGCGGCGCCAAGTTTATGATGGTTGGGGACTAGGAGTGCTAGGAGTACTAGGAGTACTAGGCGTGGTAGCTGCTTTGACAAGGTTTCGCTGTGAGGAGCTGGTCTGGGCAGAAACTGGGCTAGTCGTGGGCACTTGGCTATATCATTGGTACGCTAGGCCGCTGGTCTTGGGCTGACGGGCATGCGATCGTATTCGAATTTGCCTCCGGTAACATCTACGAGGAGGACGGGGAGGGGTGCGGGCACGAGTACTTGGTAGACGATGGCATCTGCTTCGATCACGAGCGGCGAACAAGTCGAGACGAGACAAGACGAAACGAGATAAGACGAAACAAGATGAGCGACGTGGTAGTTAGAAGAATAGGGAATATGTGCAGTAGCGTAGGTCGGTAGGTAGGTAGGCGAGCAGGCTCGTAGGTAGGGAGGTAGGTAGGTAGAGCTATCTGCAACAAATTACATGTAAGAACGCTTTGTAGTGTACAAGGAGTTATTAGGATGGATGGTAGAATAGAGTAGACCGCCAAGATGACTTGATTTGCAACCACGCACGAGGCTTGGGACAAGTGGGCGAGGTTTCAGATAGCCGCCGCGTTGCTTTCTTTTGCTGGTGTGCAGGAAAATGATAAAATAAAGCCTGGGCTGTGTGGAGTGGTGGGGGACTTGTGTGAACCCGTGGAATGGAATGCAGAAGGCAGACTCAGCACGTTCGACGATCGAAGAGCCACTAGGTAATACCCAGAACTACCGTACAGATACCAGATATAATACATACATACATGTACACACGCAGAGAGAGAGAGGACTGAGAAACGACGGGGAAGACGGGCAAGACGTGCCAAGGGAGTCGAGGCGTCGAGGCTAAGCTGGCAGCAGGTGGGATCTGGCTGTCTTGGGCAGGACTTTGGGACTTTTTGGGATCTTGGAGAGGGTCTGAGAGGGGAAATGCTGTCGTGCTCGTGCGCTAAGAGAGAGAGGGCGCATGTCGTGAGCTGTGATAGGTGTTGGAGGCGAAGAGGGGAGGGATAGTCGCATATAAATATGCAACTTTTTAACTTTTTTTTTTTTTTTTTTGCCTCTCTTTCTCTTGTTGGCATGTTTCAATGCTAATTCCTGTGACTCTTATTCTTATCTAAACTTTTTTTAAGATTTGATTTTCTCGCAATGTCGTTGGCGAAGGGCAAGCACATGCATCCATGTCCGATGTAGGTACGGACAGAGAGCCGAGCCATGGGCCAGGAGCATTAAAGTGGGCCCCAATCCCGCAAAAGCCATGGCCTGCCATCAAATACAGCGGCGATGTTGTATTTAGGGGAGTCTGGGCCACTGGATACAGCGATAAATACCCAGCTATCCGGCTGCTTGGGCAGTGAACTCTTCGGAGTTGGGCCTCGATAATGTGGGGCTATCTACCCACTAGGGACTAGCCTATCCGCTATATCCTTGAGTACATACTTACAGACTTATGTAGGTAGTACCGGATTCTACCTGCAGGTACCTTGGTATCTTGTAGGAAGTACCGTAACTGTAATTACTGAAAAGTAGGAGTATGAAGAGCTTTTTTGGAGCAGTTTACGGAGTATTGTACAGATAAGGAAGGAAGAGGCTGGCTGTACCTACATTGGATCATATAGATTCTCCAAGAAGTTGTTGGAGTTGTTCACATCTGAGAAAATCACCTCCTCACCATCATCATCATCATCATCATCTCCACGTTCTCTTTCCCCTCGCACTACCTGTATCCCTTCTACAACCCCATGCATGCAAGGCATGTTGTAAGATACCTAGATTCATGAATCGACCACCCCCCTCGCAGATCCTCAGGGTACACATACAGGGAAGCGTCTCCCCGCCATGGTCGTACGAGTAGGCAAGGAGGATGTGGAATGGATAGCGAGAGGTGGTGGTGTAGGTACGACTGTGCGCAGTGTGACACTGCGGGGATCCTATGCCCACGTCTGAAGCAACTGGGTGGTATAGTTGCAGGCTAATTCGAAGTCTTGTATTATGTCCTCGCGAATCCCGTTGCTTCTTCGTGGTTGTCACGTTGCGATGCCACTCCACCAATCACGCGCCTCGAGATGTGAATCGGAATGACTTCCAATCCCACCTACGAAAATAACCACACTCTGATATCGTCCAGATGGGCAGCGATGTCTGCATTGACTCCCTCCAACTCCTCCAAAATGAAAGTCTGGTATCTCCAGCACGCATTAGCGTCGTGGGAGCTCCCGTTGGCCATGCAGCTGCTGTAGGGAAAATGAGCCGTTGGCACCTCACAGACCCCGTCGTGGAACACAATAGTGACGACATGTGCGTGTCGAGCGAAAACAATTCGGGTAGCTGATCACGGCATATGTATTCCTTACCATGAAGTTGTAAAATAAATGTCCGAAGCTACCTACCTTTGAACGATTACCATCCTCAGGGTAATTAATCACGGAAGGCGCAAGGGCCGAAAGATTTCGGATGAGACTGAACAATGCCGAGGCATTGCTGGAATCCCGTACGACCCGGTGGTGTGCGAAGGGCTGCGAAAACTTTACGCCCTCAGCTCTTACTTGGCAGCCCTCACTTGGCACAGGCATGGGGCGTTTTAGAATGGGCATTACCAGACGTACGGGTCGCGTAAAGACGTACTGGCGATGTCACGGTAGCCCAACGGCTTCGGCTACAACATCAACTCTGTTAGCCCGGCTTTGATAGGTCCAATGTTCACTGCTTAGGCCTCACCTACACTTCTGTCACTCCCGAATTCCGAGACAATTTAGATCATTTTCTTGGCCTATGGAAAATTGCGCGCTTATTTCACCAACGCCAGGCAAATCATCAATTGAGCGGAAATGCTCACGACCTGCGCGCGTGTTTAATATTATATTAGGTTGACGCGATAACTGTGGTACAGAGTCGGTAATACATATCTTTTCGAAGCATACCTCAACGAGCCCAATCTCAAAGTTGGGGTTTGCGGGTAAAGCGGTCTGGGTATCGAAGAAGATGGAGATTGAAATTGAAATTGAGCTTGTGCGGCGACGGCGACAACACCGTACCTAGCACTAGTAGAAATTGCTAAGTAGTGCAACTCTCATGCTGACAAACTGAAGCCTAACCGGTGATATGAAGGGATGCAGAGCAAGAGTTGGTTTCTCATATACATGCAGCTAGATAGAGTAGGTATGTATATATAGCTACTGCCGCAACTTGCCGGCTCTTTTCAGCCATTTTCACATCCTTCTGGACCATACATAATACCTACGAAGCACTATGTAGGTAAATGCTCAACATGTGCTTACACTAACCCGGGGTTTGAGGCTGTTAGAAGCATACAGGAGGTGAAACCTCCGGCAGTGCTAATACGACACACGCGTATCTGGTAGGACTTTGGATTTATTTTTAGAATTTAGAGTGCCAGGGTACTGCCAGGGCTATGGCTATGTAAGTAAGTAGAGCCACCTATTCTACGATGCTTAGCGGCCCGGCTTCTTGGAGCACTCTGGATTGTTTCCACTCGGCTACGCCAGCGTTCGGCCTGCGCCCACCTGGACAGCTACCGCGCCACCCTGGTGCAGCTGGACAAAACTTGTTGGTCATTCCACATCTCCACCACCACCACTTATCAAAGTATACGAAGTAGTAGGTATGCGTACGCGGATTATTGAACTTCTAGGTGAGGAGTAGCTAAGAGTAGATACCTAGTTTGAACAACCAAGGTTGGCCACAAGCCGAACCAAAGAAACCTTCTCTCATCAGATTAGTCAACTGCTTACCTGCCTATGTATGGGGTGAGGCATCAAGACGCGTCCCGCGGCTATCTTTTGAAGGATGACCACAAAATACATACACGAGGTTCATTCTGCTTCTGCATATGTATGCAGAGTTTGATATTTTACTCAAGTTGTTCTCGGTTGTCAACCTCACCTCCCTTTATCTCGATACGTATGGGGTATATTGGGCTTATGTTATTGGGACTCTCGGTGACGCCACCAGTCCCGGTATGGTGATACAGCAATAGGATTCGTTTGCTGAAAGGTAGGTATACCATGCCATACCGAGATATAGCAAACAATGCGATATCCTCGATTGTCGGTGTTGACGTATGCAGAGTTCTCCCCGCAGGCACATGACGGTGAAAACGTACACCTACGTTTAGATACTACATCTCGACCGGACGGCGTATGTAACACACTGACGTCCGCGGGTTGCGCCAGTGTTGCTTGGCGTGGGAACGTGGGAAAGGTGACGCGCGGTCCCTTGATTTTTCTGTTGTTCTAGCAACACCTACATCACCGACAACCAGTATTTCCCATCATCAAGGAGGGCTGAGGATGACACGGTAATTCCTGTCTAGGTAGTGCAATGTACTGTAGACAGGGCGAAGGGAAGGGGCCACGCTCACGGAGATTTCCATCTAGGTATTTGCACTGCAATGATTATTGTTAGGAGTCTAGGACAGTGGTAAGCAAGCAGTCGAAGGAATCAATTAGTAACGCAAGTAATGGGAGGTAAAAGTACGATGAACTTTGGATAACTGTTTTGGGAAATCATCTTAGGGCATGTATCCCCCCGCATTGAAGACCTACACGAGGAGTACTTCAGCTCGCTATGTCCTGACCATATTAAAGGATGTACCGGACATGAAACAGGATATACCTACTATTGCCTAGACACTGCCTAGACAACAATTTGCCAAGAATGAAGGGATCTCTTCATCCAGTGCTGAGGCTAGCCAATGCCGGTTAGCTGTCACCCCAACTTGCAGTGCTTCGAGGGGCTGAGCGCAAGGTTGGCTGTACAAGCAAGCCATTGTCAGCTGGGCTGGGGGCTGGACAGTACTGGTACCTAGCGTAGGTACTCGACGATGCTTGACGATGCTTGACGATGCTCGACGAAGGACATTAGGTAGGTAGGTACCGCACAGCCTGTCAACGTGGCCCGTAATTGTGGGTTCTTTGACGCCGGGATCCATCAGCAAACACACCTAAGAAGGCCATCGCTTGGGTACCCTCGAGGCAAAAAGTACAAGCTGACAACGCCTCTGTATACCCCAGATAGATGTACATTGAAGAAGGGAGGTACTTGTATCCCACCGCACCAACATCCGTGACGATGCTGCGCCACGCAGCAACGCTGGGATCAGCGCCCGGCTTCCTTACCTTACGTACCTAAAAAATACAAAAGATCGCCATCCCTTCCTCCAGATCCTGAATTTAAGATTGTTTTTCCCATCATTTTATTTTCCATCGTTTGTCCTCATCCATCACACCTTGATTCCATCGTTTACGCCCATTTGCGACCGCACTACCTCACCTTCGTTTAGTCGCAAATCCGGTATTACCACTAAAAAAGGACAACCAGATCGCTACCTAATCTTGTAGTAACAACTCCGAGTCGGCTTCGTATCTGTATACAACAAGTGAAAAATGGGTCGCGTTGGGAGATATTTCTGCGTGGCTCTGCCATTTATCCTCACAGTCGCCAGTATCATCGCCGCTCTCATCGTTGGATTGACCGGCGTGAGCAGCAACGATTTATATCTGTTCCGCATCGACGTCACCAACCTGTCCATCGACGCCACACAGTTACAGGACATTGTCAACAATGCTAGTGCTCTCGTCTCGGGCCAGGATGTAGATGAGCTCACCAACCAGTTTCAAGATAAAATCGACCAGGCCGGCGACAAGATCGACCAGGCAGGCCAGGATGTTAGCGACAAGGCAAAAGACATCGTTAACCGCTCTCCCCTGTGGAGCATGATGAGCGCCAGGGACACTGCGGACGATGTGGCCAGCGATGTCACCGATGCTCTCCAAGGCATTCGCATCACTGCCGCCGACCTCAACCTGGCCAACAAATACGACTTCACTCTTTGGGGCTACTGTGTCACCCCTCAGGATGGCAAGAAGAACTGCACCAAGGCTCAGTTTGACTGGGCTTCCAAAGAGCTCAACCTGGATTGGGTGCAGCGGCTTACCGAGGTTGCTCAGCTAAATGTCACAATTCCTAAGGAGCTGGACGAAGGCTTGAACCTCTACAAGACCATCACGAAGTGGACTCAAGTGGTTTTCATTATCGCCATCGTCGCCCTAGCTCTAGAACTTCTCGTCGGGCTGTTCACAGCGTGCTCCCGCGCTGTCTCGTGCGTCGTTTGGATCATCTCCGGCTTTGCCACTGCCGCCATTATCGCCACTGCCATTCTATTGACCGTCACAGGCTCCACTGTAATCGGTCTTGTGCTGGGTGTGGGTAAAGTTTATGGAGTCAAAGCCAGCCTCAACACCAGCTTCCTCGCCATTCTCTGGCTCAGTGTTGCGTTCGCGCTCGGCGCTGGCTTGTTCTGGCTCTTCAGCATCTGCTGCTGCAAGCCCGAGAATCGTCCTCACGGTGGCAGGTCTCGCCACTCCGACAGCGAAAAGCTGGTTCCCAACGGCTCGTACGCCCCTCTTGGTGACAACCGCAACTCTGGGTACAGTGGTTACAACTACCCTGCTCCTCAGCGCGGTGGCGCTCGTTCAGATCTTGCCTATGAACCCTATTCTCATTCGCGGGTCTAAGGATATGTAGTTAGTAAAGGACTAACACGTACCCCACGACATAGTAGGGGTTTATATATCGTGGGTTTGCATTTGCCGGCGCTTGGTTGGGTTATGATGAAATTTCAATGACCAGGGTGTGACTACGGGTCGCAAAGAATCTTTGAGTTGAGAAGAAATGAATACCCAGTGGATAGATTCATACTTAATGAAATACATGACTATTGTTAAATAATAACCTGAGATTTCTCCCGTGATATCTATATCAAGTATCTGCTGATAATTAGAAAATCTCAATTGCACCAATCACGGGCTTCCGTGCGGAACCATGCTCCATTTTGCATTTGCAATCTAAAGTGTATTCTTCGCTATTTCATAGGCAAACGGTACTCAAATCATTCGCTTTCTGAAAACGCGTACGGCACCGTTATGAGGCTACTTAAGAAATGTCTCGTGAAGTGAGTTTTCATCTCGGACCCCAAAAGAATCCCCGACCAAGAAAAAAATCCTCGTCATTGCCCCACCATACATGAGTCCCACCAGATTTCCCCTCCAAAATCGATGGACTTCACCGTCGTAACGCCAAGGGCTGTCACGGGTCAAAATAATGAAATCGCTTCTAAATGGGTAATTTTGATACTGATCTGTCATAGGCGGCACCTCCCTGCCAACTCCGCCGTGAATATGTGCTGAACCCGATCACGGCGCTTGCCTTCTTAACGGTGGGTGAGGAGCAGTACCTCCTCGCGGCCGAAGACACGGACATCAAGATCTACCATGTTGCGACATCTCAGCCCCTCGGCACAATACCTATCTTTGATGGGCAACCTATCCATGGGATTTACGTGCCTCCTGTTACTGATACCGACGATGGTAAACCCAGCGTCCAGAGAAGCGCCCCTCAAGTCCTCGTTTGGGGTGCCAATGCTGTTAAAGTGCTACCTGGTCGCGTCGTTGAGCAATTGATTTCTGTTAGCTCAAATGATGGTGTTCCTGATGACGTTCGTGTGCAATCCAGGTTCCTAAGCTCTATCTTCGAAGCACCGGAAGCAGTAGCTCCTGATTGGATCTTTGACGGCCGTATCTCACCGTTTGACGATTACCACATTGTTCTACTTACAGCACATAATGAAGTAATTCAGGGGCGTGTTAGCGCGGATCAAAGAACTCTCGTATTAGGACGCATCCAATCACCCTGCCGACCCAACTTGTACTCGGGAAACCTCTTCTGGGTTGAGCGTAACTCCCTATTAGTGGCGGCAGGGACGGTATTCGGCGAGATTGTGGTTTGGAAATGTCATCTAGGCTCGAATGCTGGCATCAAAAGGGACAATGATGATATTGACATTGTGCAAGAAGCGGGCTGTGAGGTCTTGTTTGTGTTCTCGGGTCACGAAGGGTCAATTTTCGGAGTTCACATCTCATCAGAAATCTTCACGAGTACCGGGGAGGCAATCAGATTGCTCTCAAGCTGTAGTGATGACAGGACGATCCGGATCTGGGATATCACGGAGCGAAAGGAACATTCTAACAACGAGAACAATACATACGACACGCAAATCTCCGAATCAAGACAAACTGGGTTTGGAGATTCTATCATTGGCTCCGTAGGGCTGGCGAATAGCCCTTCAAGGTGCATCGCTATGGCCATGGGCCATCTGTCGAGGATCTGGCAAGTCGAGATTAACAGCCTAAATCCGGGTTTCAAAGGAGATATGTTTGAAGTTTATTCATTCGGAGAAGATGGCACAATGCAAAGATGGCATCTCGAGCTAAACGTTGGGCCACAGGTCACTGCAGAAATGTCTGAAATAGGGGCATCAACTGCTTTTGTTCCCCCACAATCAAAGATGACACACCATGAGACCTTTTCTAATCACAGCGGGAAACAAATCTGGTCACACGCTATGCTTGCTAATACAAATGGTGTTTTGATAGCTACTGGCGGTGGTGATGGCAAGATAGCACTCCTGGAGAGTGACTCCATCCATACGCCAAGAGCCCCTGCTGACGCGGTAGACAACATTGATCAGTACCCGCGACGTATTCAAGAACTTGATGTCTCTCCAACATACCTGATCGAACAATGTGAAGACGAAAGCCTCGGTCCGCATTCGTCTACCACGTCTTATATACATGGAAACGGCAAAGAGATGTTCCAAAGCTTTACATTTATCACGGATATCAAACTCCTTCTTACTACAAGGTCAGGCCGGCTATTCCTAGGTACCCTTACCGGTAAAACGGAGTGGAAAGAGCTCCGAATACCTGACGTAGTTCGGAAAACTATACAATCGTACACTATCCTTAGAAGCTCTAGACGAACCGCGACGGCTTTTATTGGTGCTCCGAACGGCAAGCTATTCTACTACCATGAAGCCAGCGGCGACTCGCTTGTGTCAATCCACAAAGCGGAGCGGAAAATCGTCGATATCATCTGCCTTTCGGATACTTTGGTTCCGTCTTCTTCAGCGTGTTGCAACTCTGAACGGAGAGAGTCCCATGAGTTTATCGAAATTCTAGTCCTAGCGTACGGGTGTTCAAGAGCGGAGCTTCTCCGTCTTGATCAAACCCGCACTTTGGTTCAACGAAGCGAAGTAGAGATACCTGATGGGTTGATCGTGACGACTGCAGCATGGTGTCATGGCTATCTGGTCCTCGGCTCTAGGGACGGGAATCTGACATTTTTCAGCCCAGCTTTAGAAAACAAATATACTCCGCTCCTGACCGTGGAAGTCAACACTGGCGACAAAGTCGCATCAATCCTACAGCTTCCCAGACACTCTGAGAATTCCCCTCGATATCTCCTCACAACTGCTCGCGATGGAAAGTACAGGATCTACGAGATCCTCAACGCGACAGGTAATCTCCAAATCCGCCTTCTGCACGAGACAAGCCCGCCGTTCGGTCCTCTGATTGCGGAATCCTGGCTCTTCGACAGAGAAGACGGAAAGCAAGATCTCATGCTCAGCGGTTTCCGAAGCAAATACTTCGTAATTTGGAACGTGACGGAGCAGAGCGAGGTAGCCACGATTGAATGTGGCGGTGGACATCGCGTGTGGGATCAGGTACAGATTCTGGGGAATCCTAATGGGTTCAGATTCGTCTGCACCAAAGCATCGCAGATGAAGATCTTCTCGCAGACGCGCCCGCCACATCTGTCTTTGAAGAAGGGTGGACATGGTCGCGAGATCAAGGCCGTGGCGGTAGCCTCGGGAAAGTATATGGCGACAGGTGCCGAAGACACTGCAATCCGCATATGGGAGATTGGCAAGAGAGGTCAATCCGAGCAGCAGTTTCGCTCTGCGCTTATCCTGGAAAAGCACAATACAGGTATCCAGAAGCTAAAGTGGTATAAGGACCAGTATCTCTTCAGCAGTGGTGGTAACGAGGAATTCTACATCTGGCGCGTCTCAGCACTAGAAAGTGATATATGTCCGCTCGGCGTCGTATGTGAGGCTGTGTTCACCGATCGCTCTGAGATAGGCGACTTGCGGATTACAGATTTCGAGGTGCATCGCTTGAACGATGAGACGGTTGGGAATAGGGTCGCTACATCAGAAATGCCATCTCCACAGCCGGAATTCTGCATCACGATGACACTCTCGAATTCTACCGTGCAGAGCTACCTCTACTCTCCACAAAGTGGATTCCGACTGTTAGGACGACGCATGTACACCGGTGCGTGCCTCACGCAACTCAGACACCTGAACTTCATCGATCGATGTTATCCACAGGTTCTAGCAGCTGCCACGGACGGTCATTTGGCCGTATTTCCACATATCCATGATTCGGATGGTGAGGTCGAGGATTCGTCAGACACACTCGTCACGAAACTCCACCAAAGCACCATCAAATCACTGGATATGCACAGCATCGCCACAACGGCCGGGACTTCATATCTCGTCGTAACGGGTGGAGACGACGACGCAATCGGGGTATTACACATATACTCTCCAAGAGCAGATTCGCCAACCCTTGGTAGCAGCCAGCAACACCCCCAGTACGAGATCCGGAACAAAATCATCGTGCGCTCCACACACGCCGCGGCGATAACAGGGATAGGGATAGTCCGACTTGAGAATGACGAGCGAGATGCTGTGATCTCTACCGCGAGTAACGACCAACGCGTTAAGCTATGGCGTCTCGTGGACTGGCAATCTGCTTCTATGAAATTTCAGTTAATCGACGATCGGTACAGTGGCGTTGCGGACGCAGGGGATTTGGAGGTACTAAGAGAGGTAGGTGGGAAGGGGGGTGAGAGTCGGGGCATAGGAAATGGGGAGAGAGTTGTGGTTGCTGGCGTTGGTATTGAGGCTTGGGATATATCTTAATCTTGAATAGAAAGAGGCCAAAAATGTAGAAGTTTCAATATTTCCAGACAGGGCGCGAGGGGTTTTCATGCTGCTTAGATGACGTGAGAGTCGTTAGAATACTATTCCATCACAGCTTCGTAGTTTCCTACTCACCTCTTGCTCCGCATTTTTGTATGTATGCAATTATTCCGGAATAAATTATGTCAATACGCTTTGCCTTGCAGCAAGATGAGCAACCATCTCTTACTCTTCCTTTGATATCTCACCTCAGATTGAGCCTCAGTCCCCGAGCTGTCATTATGGCGCATAAGGACAATCCACACGCAAACGAAATGGGCATTGACGTTACGCCCGGTAAAATTGGTGGAAGTGATAGGTTCGCTGGTGAATAAGGTGCTGCTACATTGACGGCGTCCGGGTTGCCTGATGAATTCGAGCTTGAAGCTCTTTGTGGTTTTATTAACCACCCCAAAGTCATCAATGGTTTGGCGAGTATTCTGGAAACGACTCAGCAGAGCGCTGGAAGGTCTAGAAGATTAGGCGAACTAACAGGCGTTCTTTAACGTCAAGCCCTTCAGGAATAAGGCGGGCTGCATATTTGTTTATAGAAGAGCTTGTGGCTAGAGGAGACACTAGACTACCAAGTCCGCCGACACCAAACCCGCAGCCATAATATGGAAACTCCCTCTCAAGCACTACAGGTGAGACAAGACTACACACTCGACCATAGTATGACACCCCCCTATAACAAGGGCAGATGACTGGGCTTGGAACTTGAGCAACTAAGATTATAATGATCAACTAGGGCTGCATGAGTCCTTGACCAACCAACTCCTTCTAGGCTGCTGGTGGCTTAATTCGACTCTCTATACAAATGGTCTGCCAGGCCAGACCGCCTGAGTCTCTAGGGTCTGTTTCAAGAAGCGAAGTCTGTATAGCCTCACTTTCAATATTGCCTTCATGTCTCCGAAAGATCATGAACAACCTACAATGGCCTTTCGTACAGCCGAAGTGCAAGGCGAACTGCATGTTCAGCTACTACAACTTGTGCAGCTAGTACCCGTGTAACACACCTTCAGTTATTCGCAAATATCTACACTCACTGCTAAGTCCGTCTGGTGTGCTAATGAGCTCGACGGTTGAAACTTGAGATGCCAGTTCTGACGGATGCGTATGTTAGCGATGATACTCGTTAGAAAAACATTATTGACGTAGTATCTAGAGCTCTATCGTGAAACCCTCAGGACTTAGTATCCCCGCGCTCTTGGGATCTTACTGCCTCATTTTTGCCCTTGCTCTCGCTCGGTCGTGCTTCAACACCCTATTTCATAACTCATAAGCCGTTTATCTAGTCTATACGTCGTTTATTCATGACATATAAACTCATTATTCGTAGTTTATACGCTATTCACCCAGAGATTATAGGCTGTTTATTCATAATAAAAAAGAGCAATAATAATGAAGCTTTTAACATAGAAAGTTATTAAGAACTCTTCAAATCGATCTAACGCAGTAAATAACTTAATTAAGACTTACTATAATACCATGATTAAACCTAATGGATGAAATATAATTAAAGATAAGATCTTTGAAGTATAAACACGACCATTAAACTTGATCATCGTTTTACCCGAAGTAACGGCTGACTGTATAGCCATAACAGCTGAACCAAACACCATTTCTTAACTGTAGGATTTATTGGCTGACAATTCCTAGTTGATTTTTTGCATTGTGGCATTAGCAGAGGTTGTATCCAGACTTTAATGCTTATAAGTGGTAAACAGTTAATCTTCCCCAACCATCATCCAGATGATTACCATCGTTGTTCTCGTGGCCTAGTGGTTAGGGTGCCTGTCTTACATAATCAATGAATATGGAGAGCACAGTAGATCCCCGGTTCGATCCCGGGCGAGAACAGTTTTACTGGATTGTTATGTTTTGCAATTTGTTGAGGGTGATATGACACCCTCATCGAGGATTTTTGCTAGTGATTTGTTGATAAAGGATGGAATAGCTTATCGACTGGCGGGGAAGTGGCTGTGGTGGCTTGGTTGATAAGATAATGCGGGGTGTGGGACTTCGCCTGGCGTACCTAGGTAGCTTCCATTTTTGGGGGCATCTGACGTTTAAGCTTGAAGGAAGCTCCAAGACTTGAAGAATTCACATCACAAAATGAGCAACACAGCAACCCGTACATTGCTACGGTATAGATCCGTGCAGCCCCGAGCAGGGCGAGTGTATGTCCGCGCAATTGATCCTTGAAATATCCTCCCTGACGTTCATTGAAGCAGCTACAATGTCGCACGTGCACCCAGCCTAGGTGCAACAGCACCCTACACCACCCAACCAATATGTCAGGGCTACAAGCAACGTTTATTCCTCAAGTCTATAGCGCCCGCGTCTACGTCAAGTTACATAGCTGGAGCGAGAAATATCCATGCGACCACCGCTTATTTCAAGAAACCCAAGCCTTCCCCTCCCCCACCACCACCACCATCCGATGATGGGTCGACGCACCCGGTTGCCACTTCCGATGACCCCCTCAACTTCGCCGACGTCAATTCGCGGCTGCAGCAACGTGCCGAGAAGTCCAAGGCAGCGCTGAAGATGCAGACAGCCGCAAGGTTCGACCCCGACGTCGTTGGCGGGCTGCCCGTGACCATCGACAAGAAGACCGGAGAGACGTACCCGCTGCGTGAACTGGCGCAGGTGGTTCCGCGCGGCGGTCGCGCGGTATCGTTTCTCGTGCACGAGGCCGAGTACGTGCAGCCCATCATGAGCGCAGTACAGAAGAGCCCCAAGTTTAACCAGCAGCCGCAACGAGACCCAGACAACGAGCTTGAGCTAGTGCTGAAAGTAGAGGCCGAGAGGCCCGAGGACGTCATCAAGAGGATCAAGGTCGTGACAAACGAGTGGCGCGAGCGCATACGCTACATCCGCCAGAAGAGGGACAAGCTGCATGCTACGTGGAAGAAGGCAAAAGAGATTGTGCCCGATATGCAGAAGAAGGCGGATCAGGAGGTCGAGAAAATCATCAAGGCTGCTATTGCCGAGGTAAAAGAGGCTGAGAAGGCTGCCATCAAGGCTGTGGAAGGGTGAATAGTGGCATACTATTAATTTCGTTGTATATCTCTCCGACGAAAGTCTGCCTGCCTCAAGTTTTACCCATACAGCATTCCGCTATTTACCAGAAACATGGCTTTGCAATAAGGTGACTATGTAAAGTAGACACTAAATGTCAGGTCAGGATACACGTCATGAGCATTATATAGCAAGCATCTCTCATTTTTATATAAATGGTATAATACAGTGACGGCTAGAACTAAAATCTGGCGTCCCGTAAAGACAGATGACCATTTTTGGTGTCTATCCCACGTCTTCAGTGCATATTCTCGTCATGACTTTCTATCACCTCGAAGCGCCAGCAGCCTTCGCAGCAGGCACAGTGTTGCCACCAGGTAACAAGCTCCTAACCTTCTCCTCAATTCGCCGCTGCGCATCCGCACTCCACGAGGCGTCCCTCCTGACATAATTATATACAGTACCCAACGTATCCTTGAGCTCGACGTACTCAGGGCCCTGATACGTGCCCAGCAGGGCGCTCTGAAGCACTGCATCCTTCGTCTCCTTCGGCAAGGGCGGGAAAGACTCCAGGCCCATCAACTCGGCCGAACGCTTCTTCATCTCCAGGCTCGGGAAGAACACTCCGCTGCCCAAGGTATACTGCTTCCACATGTCCGATGAAGCCATTATGTTGGTCGGCTCGAATTGTCGGCCGCCGCCGAGGATTCGCGCCTGCCGTATCACCGTGTCGTCTTTGGCGGAGCGTGAGCCGGTGGTTGGTACGGCGGGGCCCCAGCCCGCGAGGTCCTCCCTCGAGATCGTCGGGTCGAAGTCGTGACTCGATCCAATCTCCTTCGCTTCGCGCATGGCTAGGACTTCAGCGGACCAAGCCCCTTCCTTGACATCAGTGCTGTCATCGGCATCTTCACCATCTTTTCCACGTCTTCCTCCTCGACCTCCGCCTCCGCCTCCGCCTCCGCCGCCGCCACGGCCACGACCACGACCACCTCCGCGACCTCCAAGTCCCGCGCCACCTCGCATAAAACCTCCCCTTCCTCTGCCTCTTATTCCGCCTCGCAAGCCGCCGCGAATGATATTGGGGTTGCTACCTGATAATGTAGCTTTGGGGACTGTGATCGGGTCGTGTTCGGCCCGCGAGTTGATTTTTTTGAAGGCGCTTTCTGGTTTTTCTGGGGCTGGTCCCGGCGAGGATCTCCCTCTTCCTCCTCTACTCAATTCGAAGAGGTCCGAGACGGCTGCTGCGGCACGTTGTCTCCCTGTCGGTTGTGGGCTACCGTGATTCCCGTTGTTGTCTGTAGGGTTTGCGGCGAGTTGTTGGGCGGTGGAGAAGGCGCGGAGAGAGGCCGCGATTCCCTCCTTCACTCGGCTGAGATCAGCCCTCGTGCGGCCAAGGGCCGAATTAAATGGTTGACGTATCATGGGGCGCAATTGATGCGGTTCGTGATTTTGGGTACGAATCAAGCTCGCTGGTCCGAAATTTTGAGGATTGTGACAGCTCGGTCAAGTGCATGGTAGTGATATGCATAAAGGCGAGCATATTGCGTTAACGGGACTACAAACACCACATGCTAGATCTCTCCAAACCCCGTAACAGTTCTTGTAAGAGGACTCATTGCGAATAAAAGAAGAAGGTATTTTCACGAGAGGTATTTATTCGTTTTATTTGCTCCTAGAGCCTCCACGTTTCCATGTTTCCATGAAATTCTAGCTCTGCAGTGCCTTGCCCATGCCACCATATGTGATCGTCTTGATATGCTGGTACTCCTCTATGCCATACCTGGATCCTTCTCTACCAAATCCTGACTGCTTCACACCTCCAAACGGTGCAGCTGCATCAGAAATCAAGCCTGTGTTGACGCCTATCATACCGACTTCTAGTGTTTCCGATACCCTATGTATCCTCTCCAGATCCCTTGAGAAGAAGTAGCCGGCCAATCCAACATCAGCAGCATTGGCCAGTTCCACAACTTCCTGTTCAGTATCGAAGGGAAATAGGCCGGCAACGGGGCCGAATGTCTCCTCGCATGCGATAGCCATGTCTTTTGTCATACCAGTGATTACAGTAGGTTGGAAGAAACTGGATCCCAGCTCCGGGATTTTCTGGCCTCCCACGACAACCTTGCCGCCTTTCTGTTCAGCGTCCTTTACGTGGGCCTCAACCTTGGATACGGCGCGATCGTGTATTAGGGGCCCGTGGGTGACGCCCTCATCAAAACCATGGCCCACCTTGAAGCCCTTGACTTTCTCGGCAAACTTCTTAGCGAATTCATCGTAGATGCCCCTCTGGACGTAAATGCGGTTCGCACAAACGCATGTCTGACCTGACGAACGGAACTTGGATGCAATGGCACCAGCAACCGCGGCATCGACGTCGGCGTCATCAAACACGATGAATGGTGCGTTTCCACCCAGCTCCATAGACAATACTTTTAAGCTTGATGAAGCCTGTTTCATCAAGAGTTTGCCCACCCCAGTAGAACCTGTAAATGAGACCTTTTGGATCGTAGGGTGCGTCGTCATAAGCTCGCCGACCTCGGGAGTATTTTTGAGGGAGGTCACGATATTCACCACACCCTTAGGTATTCCAGCCCGATGGGCTAGTTCTGCCAATGCCAGTGATGTGAACGGCGTCTCTCCTGGCGCTTTGCATACCGTTGTACACCCTGCAGCGAGGGCTGGACCAATCTTACGCGTGATCATCGCGGCGGGAAAGTTCCACGGTGTGATTAGACCGCACACGCCAACAGGCTGCTTCAGCGTCACTACCCTATTACCAGGTACAGAGGCTGGTATTGTATCGCCATATACGCGTGGTGCCTCTTCGCTAAACCATTCGAAGAACTGCGCAGCATAATTGACCTCGCCCTTAGCGTCTGCGAAAGGCTTGCCATTTTCCAAAGTGATCAATTTAGCGAGATCCTCGGAGTTTTCCATCACCAAGTCGTACCATTTCCGTAGCAGCTTGGACCGCTCACGGCCAGTCTTGTTACGGAAGGACTTGAATGCCTCACTGGCGGCTGCGATGGCCTTTTCCGTGTCCTTGGCATCGAACTCGGGACATGTCCCTATCAGGTTTCCTGTCGCGGGGTCATGGACTTCGAAAGTCTTGCCCGAGGCAGCTTTCACCCATTCGCCATTCACGTAACACACATCCGTCTTGAATAGAGAGGGGTCATTGAGCTAAGTCGTGGAATGGACTGGTCAATTACTCTGGGATATCAGTGAGAGTAGCGGAACAAAGAAAGACTCACTTTTGGTGGTGCCGTTGAAGCTAATCTAGATGCTACCAGAGGGAGACTCATCCTCTGAAAACGTGATCTAATAACGAGCCGTGCGGACGAAGTGGCACTCTTCTGTAGAGAGTACAGCAAAGCCATGATGAGTTAGCTGCAGGCGTTCCTACTTTCTGACCATGAACGAGAATGAGAGGAGAAATAGAACGACTAATGTAGGATTAGGCGATCTCGGGCCACTGCTAGTATTCCTGAAGCTCGTCAAGCATGTCGTTGAGAGGTGATAGCTTCAACTGATAACGTTTTTATGTGATGGGCTATTGACGACATCGGTGCTGCTACCGACTTACAGTGAGCGCTACAGCACTAGGCAATGCTAGCCGGCGGCTGCTCCACCAAGCCATGCAGTAGGTATCGCGTGGACATGCCTGATCCAGCTAAACCACTTACCTACGCCTCAGATTATACCTACCATGCAAGTAGCCAGGCCCTTCAACAACGTCTCCAGCCGCGATAATGAGATAGCATTCATTCATTCTATTTCTCATGAATAAAGATATAGGAAGATGCTCATGGGTTTTGCTTGTGCCCGACACGATTCATGTCGACTTGCCATGATAAGACAATCAGCTAGCCAAGCTGGAGCCGGAGTCTTTAATGGATCGCCTGGTTTCTCTGCCTTTCATATTGGCGGCCTTATGAAGTTATGGGGTCTGGTAATTGATTGCAATTAGCTAGACCAATACATTCCTGGTTGATCATTGACACCTGTGAAGCATGAAATAAATCAGAGTAATAATGAGCTTCAACGCGGGCTTCATTGACGCTTTTCATATATCACATTGTTATAGTTCAACCCAGACTAGAACAAGTCAATCCTTATCAGTTGCAACTCGATATTCTAGAAAGTGACAGAAAAGGAGGAAGTCTAAAGAGTAGAGAATGCAGTAACCTCGCGGCTCAAAAAAGAGTCTCAAAATCGATAGTGCTTTAGTTCTTTCAACCAAATAAACCTCCAATAGCACCTACAGCTGTCCAGTTGAGAACGTTGCTATAGGGCATGGATGCAGCCGTGAGCTCGTTGGCGTACAATTTGTTGTGGCCAATATGGAAACAGCCATCAGAGATGTTTACCCCGTTACACACTGGCCAGAGGCTCTTGTCTCACATTCGAAAAAATGGCCCGGAATAAATATTCAGGAGGTCCGGCCCAACAGACGCATCGATGTGGCAAAGATCCTCAACGGAGTGTCGGTTGTTATCAGTGATGACTAACATTGGGCTTATAGACTCCTCCAGAGCTCTTACGGGAATTGATCTGGTCGTTGTCGTCCGAAGGAGCTACTGGCGATTCATCCAGGGGCTTTCCGACATTGCAATGTCAGGCTCGTGTCTTCCCGCACTTCCATTAAGCGGTGGGCGCTGAGACTTCCAATATAATATATATTTCGGATCTGGGATCTTATATACCTTGAACGGAGGCCCTTTGTAAAAATGTTCGATTATCTCACCCTACGTTTCTGGAGGCTGAGCGATCGACTTGCTGGTCTGGTACGAAAATTTTGGCTAGTGGGCTTGAAAACCGCCGACATGGTGCTCCTTGCTGATCCACATGCAGTCTGGCTTCATGTCGGTCCCAGGGAGGTACACATTGGAAAAATAAGAAGGGCTGCCACAAATATGACCCCAATCTCCCATCCAGCCGTATTTGTTTCCGTCAGGCCAGACGATTCTAGCGTGGGCAATGCAAATTACATCCTTATTTGCAGCAAAAGCCGCATATGTAGCTTGCTTATGTGAGAAGAAATCATGTTAGAACCATATGTCGGAGTAATCTCCCGAGAAAGTTTTTCCTAGTCTAAGTTTCCTTCCAAATTCCTTTCCAGCCTCATCAAAAATTCAGATATCAGAGTAGATGACATACGTCTTATAGGTAGGTAAACAGGCCATGACTCACAACCTGTCAGCCTCCCATGGAGTTCATGAGACTTGTAAATGACTGAGCGATATTGGGGATATACTACGTATATGTAGGCATCATCAACGAATGCGAAGCTGAGGTGGTTTTAAAGCCTGATAGTATCCATGATGTTGTTAAAATCGCTATATATGGATAAAATTATAGTAATCACATAAACTGTAGCGTACTTAACTAATTACTTCTAGTATAATACAAAATCAGAGTAGTATTATGCCGAACCAACCGTACATGCTGTGAGGTATTTGTTCATACATTGCGTTGTACACAAAATATCCCGAGCGGCTATGGAAACCTCCACCGGAGATCTCGGTCTTAGGAACGAGAGTTGAAACCTACCTAGGTGCTTTATAGTTCCGTACACTTGCCGATCCGTTATGTAGCCAGCAGCACTGATCTGCGACAGCATGTTTCCCCCGCAATCATGTGCTATTCCCGTCGAGGCCATCCTGGCCGAGAGCGCATGATGCTATCCATAAAGGGAAGCTGGTGTTACCGTATCACAACATTATTGGACCTTGTCTGAACCCCGCCACCTGGAGTTGCAATTACCATCGCCTCCAAGATCAGAGAACGGAAGGGCAAGGATGCAAACCATTTAGGTTACCATAAGCCGAGTCATAAGCCCATCGGGCCGTCTGTCCAATGGCATACGGGTGCGCAAGGCGAGACCATTGGAGACGGCGAATCCTTAAGATCTTCATATATATCATGTTCATGGGCCATCATCCTCCTGGCAGCGAATGTGCCAGTGCGCTCATCATCAACTCGTCAACGGGAATAAGTATACATAGAAGAAGCCGAATGATTGGTGTATTGGTGTGATCAGGCAGACTCCAATATATCCAACACCACTATGGCGGCAATCTTCTGTGTGCTGGTGTTGGCTAGCTTGGCGACGGCAAAGATCGCATCAAACGTGTCAAGGCCCTCATTGGCTGCTGACATCATCCTAGGCCAGCCCCTGGAAGGATTCGTGAGCTTCTCAATCGAATTTTCGTCGTTCCCGGACTTCGCAGGTGAGTTATACTTACTAGGGGTATACATGCAGTAACGCCAGACCAACTCACAACCTACTAGGAAATGGATCGAACCCAAACAAGTTTTCAAACAATTTGCTCAACAACTTGGGTTATCTCATAGGGACTAAGCCTTACATACGAGTTGGAGGGAACACGCAAGATTATGCCATCTATAACCCAAACCTAACAATCGCGCTGAACGGCACCGTCAACGCGACTCGGTCTCCAGACTATCCGACAACAATTGAGATCGGGCCATTGTATTTCGAGTCATATTTGACATGGCCTAACGTCAAATTTACCCATGGCTTTAACATGGGCGGAAACCATGACAGCAGACAATGGGACACTCTACTTCAGACGGCTGCCATTGCGTGCAAAACCCTAGGCAAGGACAGGCTAAATTGGTGGGAATACGGCAATGAGCCCGACCTCTTCTCGGTGAGCTCACAAGGTCCAGTACGGCCGTCTAACTACAGCGAATCCGACTACGTGGCAGAGTGGCTCGCCGGCACGCGAGCCATCAAAGGGGTTATCACCGAGACATGCCCTGATATGCTCGGCAACGAGACGTACGGGTATCTGGCGCCGTCGTTCGCAGGCGTGGCGAATGCTCTCGACGCAGCAAGCACATGGGCCGAGGGTCTCGATTCAGATGGAACAGTACGGTACTTCTCTACGCACAAGTGAGTCGATCATGCCATCCCATTCCATCCTCCAAATCGCCACCGACAGATCTCTAGCGATCCCGAAACCCTCAATCACGATATGAAGCATTACACCCGAGGTCGTGTTCAAACTAACCGCACCTTTCTTCGCCAGCTACATCTCGGGTGCGACCTCGCCCGGCGTGACGCTTCAGGGCACGCTGATGAACCACACGCGCACACGTGCTAGCGTGGACGCACATGTCTCTGAGTTCGCCGAAATTTCGGCCGTCGCCGGCCCAGGTCTGAGGCAAATCATGGGAGAGACGAACTCGCTCTACAACCAAGGGAAGCCCGGGTTATCGAACTCCTTCGGCGCCGCGCTGTGGGGGATCGACTTCAACCTGTACTGCGCGAGCGTGGGCATCGGGAGGGTTCACATGCACATGGGGACCAACTACCGGTACGCGAGCTGGCAGCCTATCACGACGAACCTCGCTGTCGTGGGGACCAAGGCCCCGTACTACGGCAACATCGCGGTCGCCGCGTTCCTGGGCAATCTGCGCATCGAGCCCGTGCGAGTCGCGCACCTGGACTTGGCCGCCTCGGAACCCAATGCCACGGACGCAGATATCGGCGTCAGGGACTCTGCGTATGCCGCGTACGTGGATAATGTGCTCACGCGCATCATGGTCATCAACATGCGCGCGTACAATTACACCCTCAACGGCACCGGAGACCTCGACATGCCGAGCCCTGCGCCGCGGAAGACGCGCACGTATACCTTTGGCGTGGAAGGGTTTCAGGACGGGCGCGAGGTCGTCGTGCGAAGACTCTTTGCGAACGGAAGCGATGCTATCACTGGCATCACGTGGGATGGCCTCAGCTATAATTACGAGTTGGACATGGGCAAGCCCGTGCGCTTGAGAAATGTTACGACGGGCGAGAAGGTTGAGGTCAAGGGCGGCGCTGTCGAGGTCGCTGTCCCGGACTCGCAGGCTGTTGTGTTGGACTTCGACGCGGTTTGAGTGTGATGCGTGTTTTCTGGGGATTTCGACAATTGAGCCAACGAGTCTTCGAGACGGGAAGCACGAGTAATAATACTTGTTTGAGGTAGAAGCCACGTCCCACGGGCTATGCGCAATGTTAGCATGAAGCTCAATGCTTCTAACACCTAGGGCATAGATTAATCCAGCGCGAAGAGAGGAGGCCTCTCTCGGTAAAGATACAATGAGAATTGACATTTCCTAATTGATAAGTTGAAGATATTAAGTACACATTTATAGAGTTTGTAGTGTGCGCCAATAACGCCAGCCTAGAATCTTATCTAGGAGATAATCCGCACAGATCTCAAGCAAGAATGGGCCCAATTGGGCAAGGAAAATGATCCACGGTTAATCGTCTTCAGCTTCATCATCATCATCGTCGTCGTTGATGAAGCTTCTCATCTGAGTTATCATCAATAAATTTTTTTTTTTGTATTTGATCCATTCGTTGGCAGGGGTCAATTTAGCCCCCTATATCTGTTATGACTTTCGCTTATCTCAGGCTATTTGTACACATGTGATGGCTTCTTGCCCTCTAGGGCATTGAATGCCGTGGTCCGCGGTGTAAAGGGCATGAGGCCTGTTCGCGGCGTCGGCGGAATCGAGCGCATCTCCCAAGATGTGCCCTTCTTATCGCCGCCAGTGCGAAGCGGCTCGTCGTCTTCATCATCCGAGTCCCAGTCCCGCTTGTCGCGCTCATTAGGCAGCATGGCCCAGATGTTGAGACCGAGATTGACGAGGGTTACCACGCTGATTTCATGAACTGTTAGCCGAGCACGAGGGAAGATATAGAGATAAGAGCTGTAGGTCCCCGTTGGGGCGAAGGCTTACAACATGAGCGAGAAGGCGGCAAATAGACCTTTCGCTTCGGTGCAGTATCCCTGGATCTTGTGGTTCGCAGCTACGCTGCAGGGCTTTGCGATATACCATGCCACGCGGCTCGGATGGTTAGGATCAAGGTAGTCTGGACCCGCTTGTCCACCGAGACTCGCGGCATATAGAGCGACGAATGCGATGTTGATAGGCAGGACGATGATGGGGAGCCAGAACTCCATAATGAATGCGATTAGTCTCGTGATAAGGAAGAAGAGGCTGATGATGGAAATGGCAGTATTATAATTGGTTATCCTGAATCGGGTGAGGTTAGCATTCTAACTCCGATATGAGTCTATTCAAGATGCGCGCATCGCAAAACTCACGTGCTTGACCATACGAGGGGGATAGTAGGAGTGGGTTTGCCATTGGCGTGCGCAAAGGCGATGACATTGGGACTTGAGTTGAAGCCCAGCTCGTAACCTGCTTGCCAGAGCTTTGTCCGATACTTGTCTGGTCGGGCGAGCTCAGTGAGAATCAGTAGTGTGATGGTTAACGCGAGTTCGACTGGAAACATGATCCACATGGCGGCCGTCGAGGGCCATTTCCTCTTTAGTATCCTGTATCCCATTTTGAAGATGCGGATGTGCGACGTGTTTCGCCTCGATGGTATCAAGCCGCTAGAGGTGGTATGATAGGGGATTCAGCAGCAGCGCCTCGCGACGCCTTCACAGACCGGCCGATCTTTGTTATCCCGATCTGATCTGACGGTGTCTTCACTCGGCTTTGGAGCCTATGTCGTGAACGTCGGCCGTTTACACAGATTGTTTCACATCGATTCGCCAAGTTGAAGCTCTCTCCCAGCAGTCGACAACGAAGAATTAATCGTCAGTGAGTCCGCGAGACAATTAATTCAAGGCTTAGACGAGGTCGAAGCCAGCCGGCCTCCCAGCTTTGGGGGCCACCCATTTTAAGAAAGCACGCAGCGGGTGCCGACGCGGCTTAAGCACCAACAAGGCGGCTGCAGGCTGATCACAGATTCTTGGGGTGGTGATATGGTGTCGGCAGGCCAATGAGAGAAGCCGACGACGAGGTCAGGGAGGACTGTAAGCGCCGAGCCATGTTGTGTGAGGGAGCGGAGGGAGCATGGGGGCCACTTTACGGGCGCTTTGGTGGCCTGCCGCCTCAGGATTGGCTTTGGCAGATGGGGTCGAGAAGATGGATTTACCAATCATCTGCTGGCCTGTGAAGCCAAGCTTTATCCAGCAGGGATTTCTATTTGCCAACCTCTTTGGAGAGGTCTGGAGAGGTGTTGGCGATTCTCAAGCGCCCCCTCCTCTCTCCCGCACTTTCATTGTCGCTCTGTTGATTGGCCGCTTCTCGTAGATTTGGTAGTTGCTTAACTATTGTAGCGAGTAGTGAGCTGTAAAGTGACTGGGCATTTACATGCAACACCTCTTCGACTTGATCCCGATTTTGAATTTCTATATGCAATAAGAACTCAGAATGGTCCCTGCGATAGTCCTGGAAAACCTACAGGTTATAACTAGGAAGTAAGCAAGATTTTAAGTCGTTGTTGATAGGCCGGTGGTGTCAGCGTTGCCCACGTAGCCGATGGTTTACCCAAAAGCAAAGAGCAGTGGTGTTGTGCACCCCCAATGTCTATAATTAGTCGCTGCTGACGCTACCAAATGGTATGACCTACTAGTCAAAGGTATCTCTCTATCTTATGGTGATGTCTGAGTAGGTATGTAGATATATAACGCTGAGTAACAGATTCGCTCCTGTCAGGAAAAAGTTGTATGCCATGTATCTTGCTTCAGCATCTAGATAGCCCGATGCTAACGAGTGAGCTGGGCATGTGAGTGTATTCGACGACCTATCAAAAAGACAATCTAGGAACACTATGATAATGTCTTTGATCAATTGTCGTCTAAATGATATCCCGTATACGGTTACATGTACCGTGCCAATGCCTCTGTTCCCTAAGAAACTCCGAAATACTTAGTAAGCACGATCTGTGGATTCCGAGACAGAGGTTGACGTGCTTCTGGCCGTTCATAGTGTTCCCGTAGTGGACTTGCCTACCCTCTGCCTACCTAACCGATGAAGTCAGTAAGTGCGCCGTACAGATTTTGGCACAGTATTTATCCAAGCCGATGCAGGCGTGCCTACAGCTGAGATGTTGACAACACGCAACTCTTGCTCATCCGTGGCGATCGGAGTGGGTATAAAAGTATGCAACGTACGACTTTCATGTACAATGATATGATCCCTGCAACACGTTCAATTAAGCGAGGATGGTAGGTAACCTATTATAGCTAGTTTTGTAACTATAAACTTTTGAAAGTTTGATAACTTTTATAGAGATCGTAGAATGCTCAATGATAGGTAGTAGGACATTAGGGCGAATGTAAGATAAACCCGTGTACATACTATGTAGATACAAAGGAGCCGCAAGAGTAGGTTGTTATGAGTCGACCTTGAAGCTACATATTATTACTTTCTCGCCAAGCTAATGTCCGTCGAGCCGTATATCCTCTCTTCGAGCTGCGTTCTTTGATATGATGCCAGCTCATTCGTGACACGGTAGAGACATGCGTGCCGGAATGACTCGCTTGCTCATGTAATCGAGAGGCAGAAAAAAATTACACAATGGTTTTACTTAACCCGTTTAATCGGTTTCCGAACTTCAGTGGCCCAAGTACCAAAGAGCTGTATAGGTACTTACAGAGCACAGCGCTTGGTTTCTGAGTGCGCTTAGAGATATCCCGGCCAACCTAAACAGGCCGCTTCATGTATATCAATCAGTATCATAGTAGTGTCGTACTCTTCGAAAACGCGATGCAGCTGAGCACAGAAGAAATGGTGGCTGTTACATAATAGCAAAACAGCATGTGAATATCATCAAGGAACATCTTTGCATAATCAGATCGATCGCCTATGTCGTGAAAACCGAGATCTAGGAACCCTGGCAACCATACTGTACTCTCAGATATAAAAAGCGGAACTTGTATGATCAGATTGTTTACAGTAGAGCATTTTGAATCAGATCGCCGATGATGTCGATCGATTGCCAGCGAGGTCAGTAGATGGTAGACTACAGGGGCGAGTGGCAAGCCATTCGATCGGGCAGTTCTGATAATGTTGGGTAGGGTGCATGCAGTACACTCGGAAGTCATACACTCCTACTCCTGCCTTGTATGCACGATGATAGTCAAGTCGGGTTTCCGGTCGAGTAGATAAGGCTTCTTCGTGACATGTATATTCGGCGACACGCTGAAGCACCTAAGGTAACTTGCCGTACAATCTGGTAGGTCGTATGAACAACCCCCTCACTTACCATACCATAGCTGTTATACCGCTGGGCTTCGTAGCGAAACCTACCGAGGGGAACAGAAGAGCGCCAAGTGTACATATACATCTTAACGAGCCAGCTTGATAGGTATGATACCGGTATTTTATATCGGGTATTTTACTCTTCTCATGTTCGTCATTCGTCGTAGGCAGTGTGCCCGACCGTTTGTAGCAATCGTGTGATACCGGTAGTTGTACTGTATGTATTAGGTAGGTATGTTCTTTGGCCTGTCACTGGTTTCCCTTGGGCTGAAGGTCTTAGAACAGATTGACTTGGAAGATGATCTGTGGTCTTGTCCTGGGGCTCGTATTTAAATTCAAAGCACTAGATAGGCACTGTAGATTAGGTACGTGGAGGTAGGACGATAAATACTTCGTAGTTCCCAGCTGGTGGCCTGTTTGGAATGGCTGTTGAATACTTTCCCCCACTGTCCGTAATAGTGACCCGGGGCGATCGGGACCAGCTTGCCCGACTTTCGGTTGCAGCATCAGACGTGAGTGGGTAGACTCGGCGCGCCTTGTGCCCAATTCGATCGTTCTAGACTCAGCGATCGACGCAAAGTTATACGGGCCGTGGCAGCCAAGTTGACTGTCACACGGCATGTGTTCTAGACACTGACATACCAACCAACACCTACCTACTTATCTACCTACCTACTTCTCTCGCTGCGAGAACGAGGAAAGAGAGAAGTTACAATATATACATACATATATATATACATGGTAGACACTTACCTATATCGACACCGAGATTACACCGTAGCGGTCATGTCGTGTCTCCGTAGACACGCTAAGAAACAACGCGGGTGCTGTTTTTCTGGGATGGGATTTCTACAAGTCGCATGGCTGTTTCGGGGAGGATGCGACATCATGTGAGCCGGCTGCGATACTTCCCTGCTATCTTGCACGTGTATGGCCCGGATAGCAAGGAACTTTGGAGACGCGTTCCCCCATCAAGTCATTATTGCATGCAGCAATGCTTCTTGTCCTGTGTACATGTAGGCATGCGGTATGCTATGCGGTGTATGCGGGAGAGGCATTTTAACGTTGTTTGTTGTTGTAGGTTGTATAGGCACTGTTCTGTGATGGGATGGGCTGTGTTGTCTTTCTCGAGTATAACAGAATGCACGGCATATATGTAGATAGGTATGTAATTCCAACGTTTTGTACGAAAAGGTGTGTAGGTATGTCTTTTTACCCTGGAGTAGGGAGGGCTTACTTAGAAGCACTCTGCATGTGGTGGATTTCAAATCTTCAAACGAGAGCTGAAGGAAATCCTGACTCTTGCAATTTTTCCTTTTCAGGGCGAACAACAGCTTATTGCCTACCTGCATCAACTGTGGTTCGCAAGCGGTTAGACTATCATCTCACTCATTTCTAAGTACATAGTGCTCTAGAATCACTTATTGGCTTGCGCAAACACATAGGCCAAACTTCTTTTTGCCTCGATCGCAGTTATACATAGTACTAGCATAGGCAAGTAACTAAGTAGGTTATGATCATTATGTACCTATTATACGTAGAATACCGGCAGCGAGAAATCCCGACTCAGATCAATGAGACTAGACAATTTCTGATCAGAAGGCGAAGCAGGCAGGCAGGCAGAGAACAAAAAAAAAAAAAAAAGAAGCCCGGCCACTGATCTAATTGCATGGAAATACCTACTTGTTTGGGGAAAGCGGCTATTGCTGGAACTGGATAGACAAAGACCTTGATGAAGACACCAGTCACAGGCAACTATTTTATAATGATATACCATACGTAGGTAGTTCCTAACTCTCACTACATAGTAGACGGCTGTATCGAGGTCAGCCGACTTGTGATTATTCATAAATGGGCAATTAGACACGAAACTTACCATGTACGTAGTATTTAGGTACTATATCTTGGATAGCATGTCCATGCCCATGTCCTATGTAAAGTAGATGTACTAGTAGAGAAAAGAACTCGAAGACCACGTACAGTATGTACATATTAGGTGTGAGTGGCTCCGTGAGTAGAACCACGGGCTTCGCTAACCCCAAAACCCTTAGTCAGAAGGTCTAGAAGATGTCGATAGATGAGTCCTGATCACCCTAACCACGTTTTTGCCTACTATGACGTCGTCGTTCTCTGCAGATGGCGTGTCTGCCCTGCCATCTCAGCGCGATATTTTCTAACTAAGTATGTATTTATCTCAAAGCCGCTCTACCCTACGACAACAACCACTTCATATATATACACAGGAGTACTTATTGGACTCAACAGCCTGCTCTCTTTCCCAGGGTCTCGGGGGAATGGGAAGGCCCGTCATGTCTGTATGTAATACGCTTCTGCCACTTCAAATCTATACTAGAACTGGCAAGCAACAGCCGATCTTTCTACTCGATTCGTTTACCTAGGCATTGAATAGTTCGCACTAGTGTCTGTGTAGCGTACAATTTGCCAGATAGGGAGGCAGTGAACGAGCGATACATAAGCAGTACTTTAGCGCAGGCTGAGATCTACATGCACTTACATACCTAGTACTATGGACCTGCTATGGACCTAGTGTAGATGGTACCGGTACTCTAGAGGGTTGTCAGAACATTGGAGTGAAGAGCTTCTTGGTCCGAGGTTACATACTGTAACTCCCGGCCGAGCACCGATTGTCTGTCGCACGAAAACGAAGCTTCCTCCACGCCAAGGTCACGAATCTGGAACACTCGGTCCAAGCAAGAACACCCAGCGGCGCCCAAGTGGAAGTGAATAAGACCCAGGAAAGCCTGATATACACCTGATATTAGGTATACCTAAGTACTAGGTATGTGCTGTGCAATATGCTTACATCCTTTGATGTTCTGCTCTTCGAACGTTACCAACATCCTGATCCTGATGGCGCACTGGCGTACACTACCTACTGTAGTGTAGTACCGAGAGCTAACAATACCTACCTAAGCACACAGTACATACTTACATAGTATAATGCCCGGAAAGGACTAGCTCCAAGCCAAACCAGGGGCGATTGGGGGTAAGTAATTGTCGCCAGAGGCTCCTCCCCTCGGCCCCCCACCTAAGAGAATCTGCTGCCTGGGTTGAGAATGGGTTGAGAAGAGTTGAGTACAGTTGAGTTTAGCGCTCTCGTGATTATCTGTAGTGATCCGCCCGCCTTTTACCCCTGTCATGCCCTGGCTGAGTGAAGCGAGGAGCGAGGAGATCGCCCACCCAACTTTCCCTAAATCATCGCTTGTCGTGCCAGGATCCTCGCAACCTTTTCTGGAGCAGACTGGAGGCTCCAAGCAGAAGCTTTAAGGTCTGGAACGCACGATTGTCCTGCAGACCCCGGCACCTTTTCATTTCGATGCGGGTACGGAGTACGGAGTAGGTACCTTTCTCTCTCTCTCTCTCTCTCTCTTGTCCCCTCTGTCCTCTGGTCCTTCTGGCAAAGAAAGCTCTGGCGCTCTGTTCTCTGGCTCAGGCTCAGGTCAGTGGCCAGTGGTCGGTGGTGTTCCGTGTTCCTTGATAACTGTGTCTGTCATTCTTCCTGGTGATGTTCCTGGTGATATTCCTGGTGTCAGTGATATATGCGTCTCCATCTGTTGTTACTGTGCAGGTGGTATCATAAGTACTGTACTCTACACAGGTAGGTAGGAACACAACACTCTTGCAACAGATTCTATCCACCACAGTCTACTTCGACATCACACGAGATGGAACACTGTATCTGCCTACTTACTTACTCTACACATTACTTACATACCTAACCCAACTGAATTGTAGATAACTGTAGGTACCAGCCGGTAGCACGTCTCTGTCCCATCCTGTCCCATCCTGTCCATATCCCGTCGATCCGTTCTGCGAAACATACTTCCCTCCATACCTACCTACAACAACACGTAGCAAGCAAGCATCAACGCCTTTTTTTTCTTTCTCTCTCTCTTTCAAAAGAGACCACCGTCTATACTACTTACACGTATTATTCTCATTCAACACCCAGTCTACCAGTATTGACAGAATGCAGCAAAGTGTCTAGACATCTGTTCGACTTGCTCAAGCCCTCTCTTCTCTCCAGCTATCTACATACAGTAGTTCTTTACCCTCACCCTCCCCCCCCTCCTTCGCCGCCGGCACGCCAACTTGTCCTAGCACTTGCCTAGCACACCTCACTACTACTACTACTACCTACGACTTGACTGGAACGTGCACAACTCGACGTGCTTCCCATACCTCGCCATACTGCTCTCCTCCTCCTCCACCTCTCCACGTCCCACTACGCTACTGTACAGTACACCACACTACCTGTTTCTGCTACTCCTGCCAGATCCTACCTACCTACTGCTACATTCTACGCTACTCTCCTCCCTGGTACCCTGGCCGGCTGATGTACGACTGCTTGTCCACTTTTCTGCTGGCGTGTTTATACCTGTTCCTCTTCCCTCCCACCTTCTACTGTATGTGTAGTGTGCCGCTCTTTTAGCATAGCTCTACCTGTCCTCGCTCGTGAAGATAGCCAGTGTCCATTCACTGACGCTGCCTGTGGGTTTCTTCCCTTGTTGCTCGTCCGACTATTGCGAAGAGCTGTGGCGTCTTTTGCAAGTGGGTTCAAACTGGACGGGATCGTCTAACATTGTACACCTCGGTTTGTAAGGGTTTCCACTGGCGGGGAACGTTGCTAGCTGCGGGCCATCAGTGCTGCTATTATTGACGTTAGGGACGGACCCGGCTTGTTTTGCCCCTCAAGTATCGCCGACCCGCCGCCTGGATCTGTCAATGGCCACGGCCAAACAAAAACCTGATCTGTCTAAACGTCCCAGATACCTAGAAACGTACTGTGCCTGGGCTTGGAGTCGGCAGATTGGCGCGTGGTGACCGACTATACACCCGATAACTAGGAAGACCACTTCATGACACGAGAAACAAATCCTAACGAACCTCATAATCCGGCAATACTGGGCGACAAGTCGACGACAGCTCCTCTTTATCAGAGCTTCACGTCCGAAACCCCGCCCGTCAATCCCATTGTATTCACCAAAGCGATTCGAGAGTATCGGCACACGCTCGCTACCGATGCGCATAATCCTAAGGCAGGAAGAGCAGGGGAACTCGCGACGGAAAACGGTCATTATGGTTTGATACCTACTGTATCCAACGCTCATATACTACACCAAACAAAAAAGACGGCGTGTATAGGAGACGACGCAGATCACAGTCACGAGGGGATTTCTACAGCCTCACAGAAATCGCCTCGGCTTCAATCGGCACATACGAAGCGGTTACCAGAAGGCGAGGCTGGGGAGAAGGGTACTAATCCGCCTATTAAAAAGCAACGGGTTCGCCTTTCACCCCCTCGACAAATTGATCTAAGCAGTTTTTCGAAACCTATCCTTCCCCCAAAGGTCGTAGACGGACTGACCTCTCCTCTCTTCTTCTCTCATAGACAGAAACCATTCCTCGTGCGACCACTCGGCTACACTGGGCTGGAGGCGACGACGATGTTAAAGACAGTGCGAGATGGCACCGAGGTGACGACTCTGAAACTAGCTCGAGGCACAGTCAATGCGGCAAGCCCAGCAAGGTCTTCGAGTACACCGGGTAGCTGGTCATCTATTGAAGCAGCGACATTGAGTCGAAGCCCTGATACCCAAGCATCTGTTCCGGGATTGCAAGTACTTCAAGGTGTTGGTATCTTAGAGTTACTTGAACAAGATGATCGGCCAACCTTCATCGTTGATAGTCTGAACCCAGTTAACAACACACCTTCCGGACCCTTTTCAATCCTGTATGCAAACCCTGCGCTCCATGTGTCCGATTCTATACGGCAACTTGTGTATGGAGACTTCCAGGATAATCAAGATGGGAGGGCGGAGTTTGACAACTTCAGATCATGGATCAAATCAGGTGGTAACCCAACAGGAAGCCAGGAGACATTTCTGCCATCATATCACTATGGTGGTGTTAGCTGGACTTGCTATACACTTAGAAACCGTTTCCGTTTTGTCAGTGCTAACACGACTGCTGCATCAATCGGCCGTGCTTCGCCCGAGCCACTTTTAGAACGCGATGCCAGCTTCGAATCACGAAGCCGAGGCTTGACCCCGATTGCTCAGCCCCAAACCCCTAGCGATGTTGCCATCCAAGATCGCGATTATTTCGGTGACGTTGGTGACATGGGAACTGATAGCCAAGTCCAACAGGGTGTGGATAACGACGTAGGAGAGCCGATGGTAATCCACCGATCTCATGATTTTATCCCCGCAGCTCTTGTGTCATTACCTCAGCCATCGTTCGACTGGACTAGGATCCCCTTAACCCCTGATTTACCACATCATATTCATTTTGCCCGCACTCGAGATTGGGCGTCCACGTCACTTGGCCCCATGGAAGAATGGTCGTCAGAGTTGCGGACTATCTCTAACTTGGTAATGGGGAGCCCCCACCCCGCGGCGCTATATTGGGGTCGAGACTTCACGGTGATCTATAATGAGGCGTATGTCGCCGTGGCTGGACGTAAGCATCCCGAGTTAATGGGCTCGAGATACCAAGATTTATGGTCCGAAATCTGGCACGAAATTCAACCGGTATTCGAAAGTGCCTGGGAATCTGGCCAGGCGACGATGAAGAATGACGATCGTATGTTCCTGCGGCGTGCTGGCTTCAACGAAGAGACGTACTTCTCCTGGTCGATCGTGCCTTTGGTAGGAGAGGATGGAAATGTCGTTGGTCTCTATAACCCCGCGTTTGAGAACACGAGGAGAAAGATAGCCGAGAGAATGATGCTCACTCTCCGTGAAGTTGGTGAAAAGACAGCCATCGCTCGAGATGTCAAAAGCTTTTGGAGTCAAGTAAACAAGGGTCTCGAGTATAATGAAGACGATGTCCCGTTCAATCTAGTTTACTCTGTTGTGGAAGATCAGGAAAGTGATATTTGTTCGATGCATTCAGGTAGTTGGATGAACCCACCACAACTCAACTTGGAAGCGTCCCTTGGTGTTCCTCCCGAGCACCCATGCCTGGTCGGATCTCTGGACCTGAAGACGAGCAACGAGGGTTTTGCACCCTATATGCGAGAATCCATGTCGAACCATGGCCGACCGGTAACCCTATCATCAGAGCAAGGGACTTTACCTGAGGGGCTCATGGATGGGTTTCATTTGCGAGGTGGTGGCGAGCCATGCCGCTCGATTGTCATATTTCCCGTCCACCCAACTACTGGCAGCGAGAGCGTTGTCGGTTTCATTGTCATGGGCATTAATCCCCGACGACCATATGACGAGGACTACCAGCTCTTTATCAACCTGCTATCGAGACAGCTAGCAACCTCTCTAGCTTCGGTTGTATTATTTGAAGAGGAAATACGGCGAGGTCAGCGAGCAGCTCAGATGGCGTTACGAGACCGTCAAGAGCTTACGGAACAATTACACATTCGCACACGGGAAGTTGAGGAAAGCGAACTTAAATTCACACGCATGGCCGAGTTTGCCCCTGTAGGCATGTTCATAGCCGACCAGTATGGGCGCATTACCTATTCTAACGACATGTGGTGGGACATATCAAGACACAATAGGTCTGAAAGTGTCAACAGCTGGATGCAGAGCGTCAAAGATGAGGACCGCCCAGCCCTTGAAGCTGTGTGGCGGCAACTTGTCTCTGAAAAAGTGGCCATTACCCACGAATTCAGGTTCAAGTGTGCTCGCCACGAAGGAGGTGTCATCATCGACACATGGGTGCTAATGAGTGCCTATCCTGAAAAGGACATCGAAGGTGGAATTAAGGGAATTTTTGGGTGCATTACGAATATATCACAGCAAAAATTGGCCGAACAAATCCAGATGCACCGGCGAGAAGAGGCTGTCGAGCTCAAGCGCCAGCAGGAAAACTTCATTGATATCACAAGTCACGAGATGCGCAACCCTCTTAGCGCAATCCTTCAGTGCGCGGACGAGATATCAGGCACGCTGAGCACATACAGCTTGCTGAAGGACGAGGCTTCAAAAAGTGAGAATCTAAAGCTTGCTCTAGCCGGTTGTCTGGAGGCGGCAAATACTATCAGCTTATGTGCAAGTCACCAGAAACGTATCGTTGATGATATTTTAACGTTATCTAAGTTGGATTCCCAGCTCCTGCTTGTTACTCCTGTTGATGTGCAGCCGATGGCAGTGGTGCAACGGGTGCTCAAAATGTTTGAAGGGGAATTAAATACCAATGGTATTGAGATGAAGTTTCAGGTCAAAAACCGGTATATTGACATGGGTATCGATTGGGTGAAACTGGATCCATCTCGGCTTCTTCAAGTCTTGATCAATTTGATGACCAACGCAATCAAGTTCACGCAGTCCCACCCTAAACGATCCATTGTTGTAACTCTCGATGCATCCACTGATATCTCGGACATTACAGATTCTGGGGTTGCCTACTTCCAGAGTGATCGATCGGATCAGGACGACCTTACAAACCAACGGGACTGGGGTACTGGTGAAAAGATCAACCTGCTCTTCTCGGTTCAGGATACGGGCAGGGGCCTGGATGAGCATGAGAGAAAATTACTCTTCCAGCGCTTCTCACAGGCAACGCCTCGAACCCACGTCCAGTACGGAGGATCTGGACTGGGTCTTTTCATCTCCAGAATACTTACAGAACTGCAAGGTGGTCAAATTGGTGTTACCTCCCAGAAGGGTGTTGGCAGCACGTTCTCTTTCTATATCAAAAGTCGCAAGACGGAGGCTCCGCCGACGGAAAGTAAAGTACTTCCCTCTGCTCCTCCTCTTACGCGCGCCCCTGGCTCCTCTACTACGATCGAAACTCGGCAACCGAAGGCTAGCGCTCGAGATCTCCTTAGTGGTTCCGCAAAGGCCTCGTTCCCAGAACCACGATTCTCCGAAGATGGCCGACGATTATTTGATGTTCTCATTGTAGAAGATAACTTGGTCAATCAGAAAGTGTTGCAGAGATCCCTCCGTAATGTTGGCAACAACACTAAGGTAGCGAATCACGGAGGAGAGGCTCTCGAGATTTTGAAAGGATCGCGCTACTGGCAAGGCAATGAGTCCGCTGGAGATGATATCTCGATCATTTTAATGGACCTAGAGATGCCCGTTATGGATGGTATTACATGTGCGCGCAAAATTCGCGAGCTGGAGCGAGATGGTACCATTACTAGCCATATTCCCATCATTGCGGTCACGGCATATGCACGGCCGGAGCAGATTGAGAATGCAAAGGCCGCGGGAGTGGTAAGTGTATTGAGAGACCGCCCCCACATAGTACACGCACTGACACTTCAAATAGGACGACGTTATTTCGAAACCGTTTCGAATACCCGAACTAATTCCCCGAATAGAGCAGTTGGTCGAGGCACACGCAAATTACGCCGAAACCACTGCCGCTTAATCGAAGACTTACGAAACCCTATGTCAATTGGCGCAATGCAGAGAGTGGGTCCTACAGAATCGTGCTGGCTGCAGCATTTCACACTGCGCCTTTTTTTTCCTTTTTTTTTTTTTTTCTCTCTCTCTAAATACATTAATTCTTGGGTGGTTGGCTTCATGGGCACCGCATCACGCCACTCCTCATCTGGATTTGATCAACACAGATTTCGTATGGCGTTTTGACTTTGGGCTGGCACTGGCGCGAGGGGCTCAAAAAGAAAACTTCCGGGATACATGGCATCGAGTGTGATGATTATTCGACCAGGGCAACTATTCATAGAGACTACGGGCAACGATAGGCGTATTTGGCAGCATAAGCCTACATTCGAATGAGGCTGTTCTTCCATTTTTTTTTCTTTCTATTTTTAGCATAGCATACCTCTTGGTACTTTCTTACTCGTGCTTGTAGACAACTACGCGACGGCATGAGGGCAAACGACTGTTATTAATGGAATGGATTTAAGACGTACATACAAAGCGTCATTGATTGGCGTTGAATTACTATATTGTTTTTTTTTTCGATGGGTTAATGTGCCTACTATATGTCGTCTATGTCTTGGCTTGAATATCATATGAGCATGGTTGCTCTATTACGATAGAAACATGTAGTGTGCATCCTTCATTTGAGTATAATTTATGAGTATTCTGGAACTGGTAAGGATTCGGTCTAGTTCGCGCAAAGAAACCTACTTGTCCCTTTGGATATTTACTTTTCATGTATGTAAGTAAGCTTAAGTATATGCGCAGTACATGTATGTACTTATGTAGAGAGGCCAGACTATCGATATGCAATTGAATCAACTTGGCTGCATACGTCATTCAACCCACTGAACTCACTGAACCCACATCCGCCAAAAAACACCAATTGTAGGTATTGTAAGTACTGGCGACCTGCTTGAAAATCCCTATTGTCTTAGGTAGGTATGTAATGATTGGACTTGACTCTCTCGGAAATAGTTGCTGTGTACAGGCGCAGCAGTACCTACAGTAATGGACAGCGGTCCGTAATTGCTCGGTGGCAGAATCAGTGGGTACATATCTCGGTAGGAAAGGACCTGTTTGAGATCCCTACATAATACACGAGTCTACATACGGTAGAGAGGTAAGTACTAATAAAATTTACTCCCTGCGCCGTGTTGGCGTTGGCGAACGGGCAGAAGCGGGTGCAGAAGCGGGTGCAGGTGATCGGGAGGATGACTCAAGCCCCCTCGCCTCCCCCCCTTGTCGCCGAGCTGCTCTCGCTGTCATTGGCCTGCTGGACGCTCCACGATGGCGCCGGTAGTGTCCAGGTCCATGTCTAGGTCTCGACGGCGCCAAGTCGACTAGATTCCAGCATCTTATCTTTCAATTCATTTGTGCCCCTCCAAGCCCTCTCTCTCTCTCTCTCCAAAACCTTCCTCGTCGACCATCTCCCTTGACGGACGGGCTGACCCCCGGGTCGAGCAATTGAAAGAACAAAGGAGAAGAAAAAGAGAGAAGACGAGAACAGAGGACGGTAGACGAGAGGCAAACGAGAGCGAGAAATATATTCTATTGAACCCAACCGAGAAGCCCCGGTTTGTTGTTGTCGCCCTAGACTTGACTTGGATAGGTGATGAGAACAACGAAAAAACGCAGAATTCTCGCCCGCAAATTCGTGAAATGGTACCAGCTTTGTGAAGTCCAGACTCTCCAAACCGCTGACAGCGTTCTTCATCCCACCACCACCACCACTCTGTCACCGGGCACTCGCTCTTGGTGCAGCCCACGCTGGTTTTGTGATCAACCACGTTTCATGAGCTCCAACCTCATCATATGACCGTCTGGTAGTCTGCCCCTGGCATGTCCCCTACGATGAATCTTCCGGCCGCAGCGGACTCCCCATCCACCATGGCGTCGTCCGGCAGGTCTCCGACCCTCCATTCCAACGATTCGCCTCACCCTTCCACACCTCTGGACCGCAACCATGTACCGGCGACGGCCACTCCGCCCATCAACCAGCTCCCCGTCTCCGGTGCACCTCCATCCTTCATTACTGGCCCAATCACGCTGGACCCATTTGCCACGCCGTCGGCGACTCTGAATCCTCGGAGCTGTGTAACATGTCGCCGCCGCAAAGTTCGTTGCGACAAGCACATGCCGTGCGGCAATTGTCGCAAGGCACAGATCCAATGTGTCTTCCCGGCTCCCGGACGAGCCCCGCGACGACCGCGTGCCAAAGATCCAAATGCTCCACCTAAGCAGACTAGTGAGCGCGAGATGGAGCTTATGAAGCGGTTGCGAAAACTAGAAGGGATTGTAGAAGACTTGAGTGGCCAAATTGAGTTTGAAACATACAAGCATGGCGCAGCCAATAGCGAATCACCTGAAGCAACATCATCCGACACTGTGCTCGAAAACGATCGCCGGAAAACGACGGCAAGCCCTTCGATCGAGAACGTCTCGTCGATGAACAACGTCCCACCCGGCTACTCTGCGCCGCGCCGAACAAACACTGGTGGTTCAGCGACGAGCAGTAACATGGCAAATGCCAAGGGTCAGCACAGTAGCGATGTGCACAAGGACTTCGGCAAGCTTGTATTGAATGAGAAGGGCAAGGTTCGATACGTGAACAATGCGTTCTGGAGTAAAATTACCGAAGAGGTATGCAGTCTTGTTATACAAGGTGTTTGGCTGTCGCAGAGCTAACTTTGGGAATAGATCGAAGCCCTTCGATCAGAAACCCAGCGTCTCACTGACGATTCCTCTGACTCGTCTGGTGATGAAGACTCCCCGGTTGCAGCGGATCCTCAAACAGATCGACACCTCGATCATCACGGATTCATTTTCGGCTACAGCTCGTCAAATGTCGACTTGCGATCACTCCACCCTCTACCGTCGCAGATGCTGTTTTACTGGCAAGTCTATATGGATAATGTTGACCCGATAGTGAAGCTTCTTCATGTTCCTACCATGACCAAAACTGTCAAGGAATTACGAAGCGACATGAGCACCATGACTCCTGGCGTTGAAGCTCTGATGTTTTCTATTTATCTCGCTGCGATCACGTCTATGGAACAGGACGAAGTATGCGATTCCCTTTCCGTAGTCCACTGTGCAACTCTAATTAGTTATAGGTTGTGACGAATTTTGGTGCCGAGAAGACGCAGCTCCTTGCACGGTATCGCTTCGCTACTGAGCAGGCCTTGGCTAAAGCAAATTGTATAACAACCTCAGAACTAGTCGTGCTTCAGGCTTTTGTGCTATTTCTTATTCTTGTCCGACGGTACGATGACACGAAGTTTTCTACCACGCTCACTGGCTTAGTAGTAAAGATTGCGCAGTCCCTGGGTCTGCATCGAGACGGGACTCACTTCGATAACATAACGCCATTTGACATCGAGATGCGACGGAGGCTTTGGTGGGCCATCTGTGTATTAGACCTTCGATCTGCAGAGGACCAAGGCTGCGAGTTGACCGTAGTGGAGCGGTCCTTTGACACCCTATTCCCCCTGAACGTCAACGATAGTGATATCAGCCCCGAAATGACAGAGTTCCCCCCAGAGCGTATCGGCTCTACGGACATGACTTTCTGTCTCATTCGATATGAGATTTGTGGCTTGTCTAGGAAACTACATACTGCCTCGAGCCCGCTATCGATGTGCCCCACGGCTCCGCAGAGCACTCCTGAAGAACAGGAAACCAAGCTCATTGAGATGTACGAACACATCGATCAGAAATATCTGAGATTGTGCCCAGCTAAAGAAACCGACCTGCTTAATTGGGTCTCTGCCACAATCGCACGACTCATCATGTCCAAGATGAGTCTTGTTATCTACCAACCCCTAATGCCCTCTTCCGGTAACAACGACCTTCCTAGCGACGTGCGCGATCGACTTTTTATGGCATCGATAGAAGTTGTTGAGTATAGTAGGGTTCTTAACTCGGAGCCAAAAATCCAGCGCTGGAGGTGGCTTTTTCAAACATACAACCAATGGCACGCCGTCGCATACCTTCTGCTTGAGGTTTGTCGTCGGTCTTGGTCCGCCTCTGTCGAGCGTGGATGGATCGCGCTCAATGCGACCTTTGGAGACAAGAACATTGACATAGCCAAACCCGTAATATGGAACTTATTAAGAAAATTGATGATTCAAGCAAAGAGACATCGAGAGAGCGAGATTGCGCGATTGCGGGCCAACCCCCAAGCTGCTGAAGAACTTGATATCGAAGAACACAACAAACTTCCACCAGCCAGTTTCCAACACCTACCCAGCTCTATCCGTAGCACTCTTGCACGAGATCGATGGCGGAAGTTAGTGGGCACAAACTGCCAGGATACACAAGCCCCGAATCCTCTCAAGTCAGACCACAGCAGCAGTAGCAGAAGCAGCAATAGCAACCTCAGCTTATCGGAGACAATAACCGCAACGCCCCAACAGTCATTCCAAAAGTCCGCAGACATGCAGCTTGACAGCGCAATGATGGAGCCATTTTTCAGCCCCGAAAACATATTTCCTATAGCCTTCGCGGGCGATTCCAGCGAGTACGCAAGTCAAGCGCTGCTCAACGGCGAAGCCTTCGCACACCAAGGCTTCAAGACACCACAGCCGGGTATCCCCATCGAAACCTTCAGCACAAGGGGTGATAACGCGCTGCCGAATCGTCACCATCATCAACAAGACAGTTTACAAATGGATATGGGAACCGGGGACGCCATGACAGACGACCACCCGCCTCCTTGGTTATGGAACCTCTCGGGTTTGTCCGCTACTACAAATAATAATACTAATAATAATAACTTCGCGGGGCTCTACGGGAACAATGTTCCTGGGGCTGTGGGTGACGACCAGGACGTCACCATGGATACCAGTGAGGTTGTCAACTGGCAGAACTGGATGGATTCCGGGCTGGGCATCAACGGAGTCGGCTTTACCGGTGGTATATAAGGGCCATCTTTTTACTCTCGGGGCTAGACTCATATGGATACGCACGGGCAATCAGTAGGTTATGATAGATAATCATTGGGCTTTGGGACTAGATCTTGGAAAGATGGACGGGAACCCATCCAGTCTCTTGAAAGTATACACAGAGACACACATGAATGGATATGTGTGTTGCGAAGGGGGATGGATATAGTATACTACTACGGCTGTATTACTGACAGTATATACGGAGGGGGAAGATTGGGAAACGAAATGAATTCTGCGTTGAATGGGACGAAGGAGCTTGGCGCTGGTGGGCGTTGTTGTTCTGTATATCTAAGTACCTATCTTCTTAGTTATCTAGTTAGTTAGTCATGTACCTATCTATGTATGGGGAGGTCTTGAGCGTTGCTTTAGTGGAATTTTATGATATTCGTGCGTCTTGCTGCTGGTTTATACCCTCCTGCTACATATCTACCTACCTACCTACCTACTTAGTTAGCCACCCGTTGTTTTTGAAATGACAGAATGTTTCCATCGAGATGCGAATATTAAGTAGCTAGATTTATCGTTTATTGGTACATGCCATATGGGTCTTCCTTACGCTTATTTATGTCTCTATTCCGAAGTTTCCCCCTTTTCTCTGTCGCTCTCTCTTTTCTCTTTTCTCGCACACAGTTATTGCCCCTTTCTTAGCTTGTTCATTAGGCCTTCATTCATCGTCCCATATGCCTGCTTCTGTCTCTGATTTCCTGTTGGGGTTTCACTCCTCGCATATCTATCCTCGATGCACATCTGTTTTGTCCCTCGTTTTCCCTCCCTTGATCTGGACGGGTAGGTAGGTAGGTACGTGGGTTTCTTGGTAGGTACCTAGGCAGATATCGTAAATAGCCTGACCGTGATCGCTTGGTCTCGATCAGTATGGTGTCCCGTAGGTTTATGGATTATCATGGCATCTCCGTTATGCCTACTTCCTTGGGAAAAGATTTCTGTCTAGGTGTCAGGTGATATAGTCACATAGACCCTAGGGGTGGCTGTATTAGACCTACTGGCTATATAAAGGGGTGTTGGCCCCCCCTTCGAGGGTTGGAGGGTTCAGGATTCAATGAATATTGACGCCTATACTATCCCTTCTACCTACCTACTTGACTGTGACTGACCTTCTACTCACTCCGGGACATACCTCCATGACACTAGGCCGCCAGCTGTCCGCCCTCCTGGTGCTGCTGACTTGTGGACGTGAACTGGTCTCTGTGTTGCATCGCGTGTCTCTGATTTGTGACTCTGAGACTTTGTCCATGCGGGACCCGTTGGGAATGGAAGGGTGAGAGTGCGAGGGGCTGGGTACGGGATTCTGATAGGAGGACTCACGATAGGGGCTGTCTCAGTGAGAGCTATCTGGGCGAGAGTCAGTACCCTTGAAAGAGAGGTCGGACGTTTTGTAGCTCCTGTTGTTGAAGCCTGCGAAGGCGACTGAATCTTCGAGGCTCTCGTATGCTGGAGTTCGGTCATCAGCTTGGTTGGCAGAATTGCGTCTATGGTTCAATGTGTTGCTGGGGTACTCGAAAGAGTCGAAGGGGTATGCGATTCGCGCTGATGGAGATTGTCGCAGCAAGTTTGCAAAATGGATCTCCGTGTTGACATTGTCGTCTTGTGTATCGAGTGCTTGAGGGGGGCTCAGATGGTCGATTAGGTGGCGGTGGACTTGAAGACTTGCTGAGGGGGTCTTGCGCCTTCTCCCGTCGTGATCTCGCTTTCAGGTTGCGCGACACGCTTTCTGGCAATAGTTCATAGGCTACAACTCTCAGGAATTAGTTTGATCAAGTCCAGGGCGTGCTCGCGTGAGAATATACACAAGTAGGCAACGCGAAAACTTCGAGGTTGCTCACTGAACTCAGGGGGTCGTAGCTGGGTACATCTTCCCGCCGCGGTTGGCACTCTAGCCCTTCTTTGGCTGTTGCGTTCCGGAATCCAACATTAGATAACGTTGCATGTAAGATGGTATAGTCGAGACTTCTCACCTCCAACCTTTTTACTCTTATTGTACTTTTCAGCCTGCTTCAAAGTGCCTCCAGTCACTAGATTCATCACATTAGTGTTAGGTAGTATTTAAATTCTGGCACAGCAAATTTTCTAGGGAAAGTCTCAATATCATAGGCTAGGTGACTGTAGCATACCTTGAATCAATGTGATGCTCAAGAATTTCTTGAACTGTTATCATCACACCATGCGTGCGGGCCCAGTGTGCTCGGTGTGTGGTGTGGACGAGCGGGTTTCGCTTACTATTGAAATGACACTGTTTGCAATATAAGATCCAAAGTAGTGAAGTCTTGTAAGTGTATTCGAATATGAAGGCCTCGTCGATGTCCTCAATGCGTTTGATCATACGCTCGGTTTGGCGGTGTCGTTTGCTCGAACTTGATATCGAGTGGTTCATCGATGTAGTCTCCTCGTATCTGCGCTTCTTATTCGAAGTTTTGAAGCTCATCGCTTCGTCCTCTGAACCTTCATCGATGACTATCCCAGTCTCTGCGCGAGCTCGAATCCCGAATTGTCGCTTCGATGTCTGCGCCGTATGCGTAGCAGTTTCATACGTGATAGGCAAATGACCTAGAGCGCCTTTTTGATTCGAAGATGGTGTATTCCTCCGCTCTGTAGTCAGTCGCATCATGAAGCCGTGCGATATATTAACTTCAATATCTTGCATCATGTCCTTCGTTGCTTGAGTTGCACGTAGACGAAGTTGTGGCATATCCCCTGTCTTATCCTTCGATAACATCGTGACAACATTTGTAGCACTTTGACTAAGGTAATCGAGCCATTAACTTAGATCTTTCAATAATTATTGTTTTCGATCGGTAAACTTCTCGCATAATGTCACATAATGGTCCACCGCAGCTTGAATGGGACCGCCACCCCCTTGATGAGCTACCATTGAAGCTGCTGGTGAAGCCATGGTGATGGTGACAGTGCCACAGCGGAGGAAAGATGGGGATGAAGAATAAGAGAAACCCCGAAAGCTATATTTTGGCCCGTTTGACTTGTGCTGTTTGTCGATAATAGATACAAAGCGACTTGGGGCAGGTAGCCGAGCTCTGGAGCAGTCAGTGACGCTGCCAGCTTCTATACACTTAATGCAAGACAAGGCCCAGAATTACTGAAGAGTAAATTTCATAAGACCAATAGTTTTCAAGATAGTCATCTTTCAGTAACATTTGTTCTCATCTGACCCAATTACTAGTGGTCATGAATTGCCCCATTTACCCTCAACCAGCAACAAACGCCAATATCTCAATACGGAATTATCTACAAACTCATTTCAGCAAACTGTAATCTTTATGATGAGTTGATCATTTATAACTCAGTACAGAAAATTGTATCATAACTACCTAGAATTGCGCAAACCTCACCGCCGTTTCGTGTTGCGCGCATGGTCATAGTTGTGCGCTCAACTTACACTAATTAGCGTTAGGCTACTCATCATGATTAGCACTGTAATACATTTCACACAAACCTCTTTAAATTCAAGATATGGAAAAATTAGACCTTAATCTGAAAGCGGCTCCAGTTCAGTACTCACTCGGCCGAGAGTAGCGACATGCCGTTTCATAGTTCCCCCAGAGCGCCATGAGCCTGATCTGAGCTGCATGAAACAGTCGAAAGCCTGAGATATCTAAGGAAGATTCTGACTTCATGAAACTGGAAGCCTACGTATATGAAGAGGGTAGCCAGAAGGTGTGAGCGCGGAAGAGACATTGAAACGACTTAGCGGCATCTACATCAACACAAAGACACAAGCTCTCCTAAACTCAGAGACCAGATCATGCCTGACGAGCACACGGCCGTCTCCACACATTACTGTACCCTCTAGTAAATAGGGAGCAAGTAGCGAACGCCATTGAGTTGGGGCTCGCTGCTAAAGAGAAATAGCAAATCACACTCTTCCTCGACAGAGTGGCCATCTTCTAGAGGACTACCGAACTCGTCATAAAGAATTACCAGAAATACCGAAAGGACCCGATTACGGCAACGGCCTTGGATCAAGTTAAGAACATCTGGCAAGCCAAGATCGATGCTACTGCTGGGCTGGCAGACTTCTTCAGGTTGAACTGCAAATATGCTGCCAAAATGCTAGGGAGACAGCTGGTTAGGGGTACCGATGGAATTTGAACACAGCTAGAGCAGCCTCTCTTGAAGATTTCGTATACGTTGCTACGCCGCTCAACTTCACGGTGCTTGGTGGCAGGCTCATTTACGGTCCCGCGCTGATGAGCAACGTGTTATGGAAGCCATAGCAGCACGCAGAACATGTATGCCAACCCACTTGTTCACAAGATTTTTTTCCTAAAACCCGGTCCTCCTGCAGACTTAATCTAGTTCGTACTTGGTAACGTCGTTGAGACCACAGAGGCGGTTCTGACGCACTGGGGGTTTACCAGTATTGACTTTGTAAGCTCGTCGGATGTGTTCCAATCCATCTACGCAAAATCGGTGATGGTATTGGAGCCGGGCGCGGTCGCAAGTTCCCGCACATAGGGGGTGAGATCAACCACAACAACTCCACCTATCTCACAACGGGTCCGTCATCCAGAGAGCCTTCAAGCACACGATCCGTAATGCCTACCCATACCAGGCTCCGAGGGGTTGCTTATCCCTTCCCAAGGGCAGCATTAGCAAAATCGGCCATCCCCAGCACTCCTTCGATCAACAAGGACCCAGCTGTCAGACTACTAGCCGGAGGCACTTACGATGACTCTGCAGACTACTACGTGCGGCCGACACTGCACCCGTTCGACTACGACTGAGTACAACCTCTTCAACACGGAGATCTTCGAACCGGTGATCAGCGTCTACATACGTGTCGCGTGTATTCTGACAGGGAGTGGAGATCGTTGCTGAAGAAGATCGACAAGACGGCGTCGCCCTAACGGCGTCTTCGCCCTGACCCGTAGCACGATCCGCTACTCAGCTACCAACTTCTACTTAAGTAGTACATGCATCAACTGTAATACCGTGGCGGGTCTGATTAGCCAGCAGTCCTTTGGCGGCGCCCAAGGCCGAAACCTCGGACAGAACTCGGAAATCCTGAGACGCTTCTCGAGGCCGCGGATCTTCAAGGAGGTGTTTGCTCCCCTGGAGCGATGGACCTCCCCTGGCAACGTGACACCTGATCTATGAAAGTAGAGGGTCTTGTTCGGTGTTGCTTCGAGTAGGCACATCCATAGATAGATGTGAAAAAAGCCTCAGAGGCTAGGTGGTGAGTACCTGGAGAATGATGATCTGCTCATGGTGGGTACGAACATGAGGGACTACTTTAGTGTAGCTGCTCCCTTACTTGCTTGACATACAAGGATTGTTGGCCACTAGGCACATACTTACACGGGTAGTACATATCAATGAATACCTAATACATGTTTTCTAAACCTAAGTACTAACATTGATGCATTTCTCACTCTAATCTCTTCAAGTAAGATTGTGCAAATTCGCCCAAGGTATATGCCAGTTCTTAGATACTACGGATAATGCTTTCTAGATAGAGAACCTTAGTCCGTAGTTCTATATCTAGAACATTTTATGGGAAATAGGTATGATATGATTATCTCGCGATCAGTTCCGAGATCACCCTGCCACGGCTACGGTAACCCTGCTACAAACCCATGTGTATATCGTCTACATCGAACTTCTAGAATACGATATGACAGGCACTAGTCCAACTACAGCGTGCGCGAAATTTGTGTCTTCCCCCGTTAAGTCGTTCTTGGCCGCGTTGTCGCCGTGAGCCGCCGGCATCCTACCGTCAGTCCACCAAATGGCAGAAGCCGAAATGTCATGGCAGTGGGGGCCTTGCTCAGGGTCCAGAGGGCTCTGTCCAGGGGACCTGGTCGCTAGAGTTACAGGGGAGTTGAAGCTACGGTTAGCCATCCGATATCCGATCAACGGCACACGGCCGTGCTCCGTGGCATCCCGGTCACGTCCTCCAGCAGCGCGGGCTTCTTGTTCGAACTCCGAGACCGAATCAAGCTATGTCGTATAGCCGGCGTCATCATCAACGCGGATGTGGACGATGTCTCTCGCTTGCTGCAGACTATGGAAGATTCCGAGTTCATGGCCCTCAATGACAAGCAGCTATGCCCACTACGCCCCCTTCGCTCGCCAATAGGACCTTGCGCTAGGTAGTAATCCTATTTTCCTCTTTTAAGATTTGATCAGGATCCCCATAACGAATAGCTACTAAATTTGAGTTATTGAAGTTGACAGCAACATGACAAATGACTATTCATTCGTAGAATAGGAGATGTGAAATGATCTACACTTCTAGAATTTATCGCAAGATCTCCAGCAATAGAGGAGACTCCTGCCTTTCGAAACTCTGCGGCCACCACTCTCGTGACACTATTATAACTTAGTGTCATGTTATGATCTTTCGAGTAACCACAGATCAATGAATATCCCAGTATATGAAATCCTATTACGCCTAAACTACGTATTATTTTTTCTATGCCTAATATCTAATAATGAAAGGATGATACATAAGGCCCGCCTATATACCTCCAACCATTTCGTCATTTCCAGTCAATAGGTAGGATTGTTACAGTGGCCGAAGATCATTTGCGATACCCATTCGACATCGAGCTCGTCAAGAGATTTCGCAACTTCCATCATCTCGGCCCCTGTCATCAGGTTATCGATGGAAATGTCATACCCGCCACTATCAGTGGCAGCAGTAAAGGGGGGTAATAGACCCGGTCTTAGTAACGCATTGTTGTGTATATCATCTATAGACACGGTTTCATCAACACTACCTGAAGCCGTTCCACTATTGGGCCCAATCATGGCCGGATCTTCCCCGAGGAGAACATTATTTAGCAGTTCATGTAGCTGAGCGAGCTCCGCCTTACGGAACAAAGCAACCCGGTTACCGAAGTTAATGAACTCTTCGAATATAGAGTATGATTTTTGTAGCCACTGGGGAATGTCTTCGTTCAAGCGAGCATCGAGAACGAAAGCCACCATGGCAGTGACCGTAGATGTGACCAATGACTCAAGGTCAAATGGCAGGAAAACCTCTAATGCGGTAGGATCGTCTTATTAGCTTTAAATTCAAACAATCGAGATAACGATGACCATCAATAGCCGTAATGAGAGATCCGGGCGTACCTAACAAGCCTTGAGCTTGTAATAGCCTTAGTATTGTGATACTTTGCAATGAGGCATCAAGACACATCAATATGAGTTTTCGGACTGTCTGGGAAATATTCATTCTCCGTAGGCACTCAGCTGCTGATTTCAACCGTATCTGGAGGAAAAAGTATAAGAGGGACCTAGTGGCGAGTATTGTGCACTATATTGAACGCTGTGAGCTTGTATCATAACATATCTACGTTGAATGAAAGGTGTATTCTTGAAGGTGACATACCTGATAGTATGAAAGATAGAGATGGGCTGACATCCTCGATATTCCATGTCCTGGTTTCCCTCGCTCTAGAGGAAACGAGTGGCGGAGCTCGTCTATTACTTCAGCTATATCAGAGAGAGCTGTTTTAGTACTATGAAGAAAGTTGTGATTTGCCTGGCTTTTGGTAGCGTGGGCAGCTGCGGGAGTGGGAAGAATAATAAGGTTAGTTTACGAATCCTAGAAAGTCAAAACCTTGCTTCGATACTTACTCTCGTCGATTCTTTCCAAGACACGTGCTAATTTGATTCGAATGCTCAGTGCTGCGGTATGCTGAGGAGCGCCTATGAACCTCGGTAGCTGAGAACACGCAGTATAATCTTGAGAAGGTTGAGATAAACCCATGAGTGAGGTCATCTCTCGATCTAGGATATAGGCGGTCCACCACGCTCGACGTGACCTTTCGGCCAGGCCTTCATCAAACCGCTCAGTCCCCTTGTCTGTATGCAACCCACTGTCCATCGCCAACCGTATCGCTTGGCCAATCTGTTCCATGGAGAGATTTGTGAGCACGTATAATCCCAAGAAGGGACTATGAGCATGTAGGCTAGCATCTTACATAATTGTGAGCCGTGCTTCGAGCATCAATACACAGCAAGTATAGTGCAATACAGCACAGGATTTCAGTCGCCTCAATGGGCTGAGTGCAGAGCAAAATTGTGCTGGGTAATAATTGAAGCGCCTTTGAGAAGAAGGGCTCGCCGGGCGGGCGCCCGCCTTCGGACTTTTTGGTGGTGAAGGCTTTCCCAAAGGCCAGGATGAGGAGGAAGTGAACATACCACATCTCTTCTAATGGCTGAGGCTCTCTTGAGGGGTCATCATAGAACCTATATAGAGACGGCATAAATGCGTCCTCATCGAAGAGATGAAAAAGTTGGCAATGGAACTTAACAGCATTGACTAGATATATGCAATGGTCTAGGGATGGCAGAATTGGTGAGACTGGCAGAGAAGATGTGATTCTGCTTCCGTCCCAATCTAATTCATAAATCATACAATCGAGACCCAGGTCTTCCGTTAAGGGAGGAACCGGAAAGAGTCGCTCATAGGCCATATTCAGGATGTGCCTTGTGTAAGACCAGCTCGAAGAAGTCCCCAGGTGGAATGTAAAGCCGTTTATGGTAGTTGAGAATGCAGAGCAACCTGTAGATAATGGATTCGCCAGGCACTGCTGACCACCAAAATCGGAGTTTGGGGAGTATGATTCTCCGTGCTCATCATCGGCCAGATAAACCGGGAAACGATTGCCACAGCTGTGGAAGTCGGGAGATTGTGAGATAGAGCCCATAGCCTGTCTGATGGTCGTTGCCGGTGATAGTCGGCCATCACTATGACAAGCCCCATCACCGTCCCCGTTAGTAAGTACGCCTGGGCTTGGTGTCTCACGATTGGCTTGTTCCCGTTGCCTCTCAGGGGCTGCATTACTTCGCTGCAACTCTTCGATATATCTGTTCTTACAATAGGGAATATCAGTTGTTACAAGTCGAGGACTGAGCGGGGGTAATTTTCAGCCTGCCTTCTAGTCACCATAATCTTTTGGTTCTCGAGGTTGAACGTACACGTTAGGCTGCGCTTGCGACAAGCATCGCATGGACGGGAACCAGAGCACTTAATCTTTTGTTGGCGGCATCTTTCGCAACTACTCCAGAGGCGAACGATGAGCCTACTGCGGTGCGGTATTCGCCATGTTTATGTTTGAGCACAGTGACTCACGCATTGGATGACCGTTTCACTGTCCTTCTGGCTGAGCGGGCGGGCTTGAAACACGGGATTGAGTTTGCGTTTAGAGCAGGCCCAGGCTCATCAGGATCATTTTCCTGGGGCAACATCATGGGTTGCTGTCTCAATTCCCTAGGATGTAAAGAGAGGACAAAAGAAGCCGCAACTGTCTGTGGTGGCACCTTAGATTAAAACAAGAATCTGAACCTTTTGACCAGATATAGTGCCATGCTAGGCACAGACCCAATGGCGGTGGTATCAAAAGAAGATGATGATGATGACGGACAGCAGACTCCTAATCTCAGCACTACATTGTCGTTAGATCAACAACATTGCTACTTACCTGGGTAGGGAGCAGATTCATCAAAGAGACGCGGTAGGTACATGCATGATGTAGGTACTGTGGTGCGGGGAAATGCGGGGGTGGGGATCTTATACTTAAGTACGTGTAATTTTTTTATATTGTATTTTATTTTACCTAATTATTAGTTAGTCACCGTACCTTGTAGTAAGTAGGCAATGTGAGCAAGGTTCCCTGGGCGGGAGCATGGAGTGCTACTTACATACAGTATTGTGGTAATTACTTACCTAGATAAGCATGTACTAGTATTAGTACGTGGATGGGTTAGGTTAGTGCTTGGAGAGATGCAATGGTTGGTTCTCTTCGCGCGCTGCGATTTGATGAAGCAGAGAGTCTCACGACGACTCCAGACAACACAATAGTTGCAAAGAAAGAAAAGTAGAATAGTCAAGTACCGAAATCTGTAAGATATAGCTGCCTTACTGACCTAAACCTCTTCCGATGGCTATACTAGGTATATACGGGACATGCCCTTCCTTATCAACGGCGGTCCATCTTCGGTGAGGCTTATGTAGTATGGAGCAGAGATATGGATCAATGTGAATGATAAGATAAGTAGAGGCTGAACCTAACAAGAATTACGTATTTCATTTGCGTTTTGTCGTCTCATCTCTTCTCTCTTGTTTTTGTCGCTCAACAAGGTTTATAGAAGTGGGCTACCACGATCCGTATCTAGCCGACGTCTCCTAGTCACGATAATCATCTTAACTAACTACCTAGGTACATATGAGCCATCCATATATATCAACCTAGGCATCGAATAAAGTAGGTGAGAATTTTCTGCTATCTCATTTTTCCCCCTGTTTATATGTCTCTTCTGAGTAGTTGTCTTTCCTTTATCTTTCTTTGGTTGCTATCTCAGTCGGTCTGAACTACTTACATAGTACATCGAAGTGGTTACGCAGATAACTGAATTTATGCATCCTGGCCTACTTAAGCGATAAGCCCCTGTGAACTAGCTTGAAATAGCATAGGCTGATCTAAAGACAGTAAAGATGAAACGAGCACTAATTACACTAGGTACGTAGTATTAACCGGCGAGCTCCGCTCGACAAGCCGCATGAGTAAGGCTCCAGCATACATGACACACACCGCGAATCGACGTTTTCAATGCAGTAATAGTTATCAAAAAGTTATCTGAGAACCAACCTAACACCAATCACCTTGCGAAGCGAGTTTTACCCCATGGGGTTGGAAGGGCGGTTGGTTAATGAGGACACATGGCAGGCAATAACAAGTGAGGAGACATCTAGGTACCGTATCTGAAAGGGCTAGAATGTCTAGGTGCCCGCAACATCATCTCCCTCCTTTGACTACATCTAAGTCGGTATCCATTCGGTGAGGCGTGCAGCTGTGTAGACACCGAACAGTCCGCCGGCATCCGGCTCGCTCCCTGAGCCCCCGGGACTATATTATTATGTACATCCATGCAGATACAACCCGGATATGGTCTAGAAGTCATCTCGGCCCGAGTCTGTCAGATACCATCCTCAAGATGTGCGGGAGAGCTATCTTAGAAGTGAATCGGTAAGGCGCTCTTAGATGCCCCCTATCCAGTGTCCTGCATCTTAGCTATAAACCTCAATCATTCAACAATTGTTGATTACAGAATAAGGTCATAATTTCTAATTCAGCTTGCCCACAAAGGTCAGCTATTAAGACATTGGCTAAGGTACGACAGACAAGATACACAATGAGTTTCGAGGAGCGTGACATGAATGGAACGTACAAAGGTACGCGGTTCTTTCTACAAACTAGCAGGAGAAAGTGTGGAGGTGCCAAGATACTAGAATAATCTAAGTGCTACTGACATCGTTTGATATATCATCTGCATAGAGCTCCTTTCTGCTTCTTTTAGTTAACATAGTTCTAGAATTCTTCTTCAAGTCCTCTGAGGGAACTTTTGCGTCTTCCGCGTGCCTTCCATGCACCGGTTGGCTTAAGTTTCGAGCAAGCAACCGTTGTAGCAATTCCAACCCTACCCCTTGGAGAACCACCTGTTGCCCTCTCTAATACCCGGGCTAATTGATCTCTCAGCCTCGCATCACGACCTCAACACCTGGGACTACATAAAACATACGGCTGACATCACTGTTCCGAAGTGAGTCAAGCAACATGGGTCCGGAAGTTTCCGACTCCCGTATGCCCTGTACGTCGCTCATGGCACATGCCTTGTTCGGACTATTAGACTCTTGTTAGCTTTGGTAAAAGCAAGAAAGCGGCAGCATTAATGGTTGGTGAAACAGCACTTGGTCGACTTATCAACAGTAGCCCTATTATGCTGATTTTACCACTGGCTTCCCTCAGGTGACAGAAGACCATGTAGCTGGGGAGGGATCTTACTAAGGGTGGTGTTAATGGTTCTGTTATGTTTAATGGTAGAATGCGAATGGATGCGATTAATTTTCTATCACAGAAGAATTCACATAAGCAACCCCTGCTTTTGAGTAATGAGATAAGTTTCCTAAAGTGTTTAATTGCCTCTAGTACATAATCATACAGAGTTAGAGTTGTCAGCGCATGACCATGCCGCTGAACCTCCTGACTCGTTGTACGAGTTGATGATACCAACAATGGATCCGTAAGTGCCGGCAATCGTAAGGAATGTTCCCGATACAATAACGAAGACACTAAAGAAAACCATCCAATGCCAATGCAAGTTTCGCTCCTTTTTACACCAGTTGTCGTACAACCACATGCACCCCATGGGCTGGAATGACATGAAGGTACCGAGAAGGGCACCGATAAGCGATATAAGTCCTCCAAAGACAGGAATGGCACTCGCGATTACGTAGGCAATGACTGTGGTACCTAAGGTGCACCCTATCCATGAGATCCAATGGGTGGGTGTATTTTCAACTAGATGTCGACTGCCAGTCCACATGCGGACAAAGATAAATTTGGCGGGTAACTGAATTCAGAGGTTAGAGTTGAATACATTAGCAACGCAGAGCAGGGCTGGGTTTGCACATACATGAATGACAAGCGTAGTTGTGACCAGCAGTCCTGGCAGCGCTAAACCGTACGCAATTCTCTTGACCAGCGGGCCGGCGGAACCAAGAGCCGGTGATGCAACATACGAGCCGCAGAAATAGTACACAACGGTGCCAATAATTATGTAGGTAGCGGTTACAGTGGATTGGCAGATGAGCAGGGACCGTGTATACATCTTCGGATCACGCATCTCGGACACAATGGCAAAGAACGCGGTGGTTCCGGCAAATGCAAAAACGAGCGAAGATACAGCCGATATAGCTTCTTCGAACGAGGGGTTGCCAAAAAGTTTGTAGTCAGAGGCCCAAGGACCGTCTTGTGGCGCGTCTGCTGGGCGGTCTTGAACGCCAACAGCAATCGTAACAGTAAAAACTGTGGTTAGAGGGGAAAAAATTAGTCATTGTGTCTAAGTGGGCTAATTCAATAGCAAGTAGAAGAACTCACTGGCAGTAAGGATAGTAGAAAGACCAACCCAAGCCAGCCAGGTAATACGACCGAGCGTCTGTATACTGGACAAGCCAAACCCTGCAATAGCAGCAACAGCAACGAAAACGGCAGTGCATGTGCCACTGTTCAAAGTTGAGGGTTAGTTTTCGAGTACTAGTAGAAATGTTTCGGCATGTAAAATGAATCAATCCCTCAGAAGTGCTTACTGTAAAGAAACGGCGTTCAAAGCGATCGATAGACCTAACATGCCCGAGCCGGCAACAAAAATCCAGTCTGATATGCAGTGTCAGCTACAATTTGTTTTTCTTTGAAACAATAGAAGACCAATACTTACAGAGAGTATATGCGGCACCGAAGCACCAAAGTCCAACCCGTCCAAACAGCATTCGACCAACGTCGTCGAGACTATAAACTTCGGGATGGAGAAGTTTGAAGACACCGACCATGTAATTCGACCAAGTTGTAATGCACGCGATGCTGAGTAGAATAATAATCCCGGGAATGAGACCCAAGACGTTAAAGGCTTCGGGGATAGAAAGGACACCAAGTCCAATCTGTGTCTTCATCATCAGGACAGCTGTGCCCACCCAACCAACCTAGACATATGTCAACGACTGTAACAAGATTACGTTTATGAGTCTTTGACTCCTTACATTCCTGTAGTTTGGCCCATCCTCGGTGATTTCGCCAAACACTGCGTCATGGGTGACTTCCGCTTCGATATCACCGACCTTCGGCTCCCCCTCCATCGAAGCACGTTGAGCAGGCGTCAGCTCGTTCGACTTTGTTACTTTTTCTGAATGCATGATCAAAAATGATTGACTAAATGACTGACAGGAGGCATAGTGGCGATACTGTATCTTGTCACGACGCCGGCAAGTCGGTTCCTTTTATATACTTAGGGACACTAATTACTCTACTTAAGTTGCATTAACTATGTCTACGGGCCACTCCGATATACTAAGTAAGTAACCTCGTATGTTGGGGCAGGGCTGAACCTAGGTTATTATAAACCTAGCTCCTTGTTCGAAATCAACGGCTTTCGCCCGAGCGTTTAGAGAACATCAGAGCAGCAGCGTTAACCCAGCCGGACTCTACTCATCAGTCATTGAGCTAGCCCTTTCGGTCAAAACCGCGAAAATCTTCGGCAGAATTCCAGATCTAGTGAACTGTACTATCATGCATACACGTCAGAGTAAATACTAGATGTACTGAATCAAGTAGTATGGGTCTGTATGGGGTCTGGTGGAAAAGGAGGTATTACTAAGGTAGTACACCACATGTGCTTGAGTTAACACCTACTAGGGACGCAACCTTTCCGACTCTTCCAGTCCTGATGACCGGTCGTTTCACCGATTCAGAAGGGAAAACGCGTACCCCGGTTTTCACCCTATTTTTTTCCGCCTGGGTTTACCCTGCAAGTGCCGTTAGACCCCTGTGAGAACCCTATTTCCCCGAAACCCACAACGGCTCAGAGCATGACGTCACATCGGGAGCGCTTCCGATGTTTTGAGGTACCGAGGTACATCTGGGTTGGGGTAAGCCGGGATAGTCTGATAAGTGTCAGACGCATGGACTGGAGTAAACTGAGATAGATAGAGGTAAAGTGAGATAACTGAGATAACTGAGATAAACTACTCCCTCATCGAATCCTGTGTAGTACACTCTCGTCGGTGCTCATCTCTAGCCACCATCAGGCGGCGCAGCCGATAACCAACCGATAGTTACCTTGCCGCAGGGAATACAATGCTGCTTATCAGTCATTCCCAAACCAGACATTATATACTGCAACATGGCGTCCATGTGATGTGATGCTGGGAAGTCTGGAATGAACTGGCCGGTGGAGCCAATGTGCGAATTCGGCATATGCTCCCGTCAAGCTTGGAAGATGGGTGGTTCCTGATATGTATAGGAGGAAAGAGGGGTAACAGGCGTCGAGGACGTGTAGATAGCTGAAAATAGGGAAAGAAAGGTAAATTCATGTTGTTTGTACGGCCTCAAATCAAGTAGACTCTATTCTTTAGCAACGATAGAGAGACGAGTCATGTCAATAGCTATGCGAGGCGATTTCTGCAAAAGAGTTGTCAGGACTCCTTACAATAATAACATTGTGTCTTTAAATACTGTGACAGCCCCTATGCTTCATCGCCTGCCCAAAATCTGCACGGCGGCTAAACGCTTTGATCATTCTTCAAAACAAATCTCGACATCATCAAACATACATAGCCGCAATGGCCTTCAATTTCAGACAATCGAGAAGTCTAGTCCCGCACCGTTGTCGGTTTTACCAACATCCGTCTTATTGCGGTCACTCTTGGTTTCGAGCGTCACCTCTAAACCCTACCTCCTCAGCCCCTCACTTTCCATCCTCTCCTTTCTTTCCCAGCCGGACAGGCTCTCTCTCCTTAGCGTTGATAGAAATCCTTTTCTCCGCTGGATCGTCAAGCGATTATTGTACGACCAGTTCTGCACTGGTGAAAATGCAGCAGATGTGAAGAAGACTATGAGCCAGATGCATAAATTTGGCTTCTTGGGCGTTATCCTCACGTACGCTAAAGAAACCACTTCTAACCACAAGACCAAGAAATCAGAAGTGCCAGGTTCTGCTTCGCTAAATACTCATAATGTTGGAAAGGAAAAGTGTGCGGAAATTGAGTCTTGGAGGGCAGGCACCCTCCAGACAGTTTATATGACTAACAATGGGGATAAAATTGCTTTGAAGTAAGTTCATTTTGCTCAGTCGACGGACAAAATCTGCAAGATAATTCCAACTAAGGCTAACCTCTTCCCCGTCTTCTACAGGTTGACTGGAGCGGGTCCTATCGTAACAGAGGCTCTCGCAGCCGGCAGTATCCCACCAAAACAAATGTTAGATGCCCTTAACGACATATGCCTAGCGGCACGCGAGACGAAAGCTCAGATCATAGTCGATGCCGAACAACAGCGATTTCAGAAAGGTATCGCTCGTACAGCAGTGATGTTGATGCAGCATTACAACACGGAGAAGTTGCCATTGGTAACACAAACGTATCAATGCTATCTAAAACGTACACGCGAGTACTTAGCGAAAGACCTTGCCAAGGCCTCTAAAGAGGGCTGGTCGATCGGTGTCAAGCTTGTGCGAGGTGCATACATGACCACAGAGGAGCGGTCGAAGATCCACGACACGAAACAAGACACAGACAATGCATACGATGGCCTCGTCAGAGACCTTCTGCGTCGCAATTGGGAAAGCTTTGGAGGGCTAAGAAGCTCCGGTAACACGCATTTTCCGGAAACGAGTGTATTACTGGCTACACACAACAAGAAGAGTGTCATGGCAGCCCATGAGCTGCACCAACAGATGGTGATTGAAGAGGGCGCTAAGGCTGTGCCGCTGGAATTCGCACAGCTACACGGCATGGCAGACAGCGTGAGCTTTTCCCTCTTAGGTGCTAAGAATGCGCAGGGTGAAGCACCACAGGTATCCAAGTGCAGTACCTGGGGATCATTGGGTGATTGTCTGCCGTATCTACTACGGAGAGCAGTTGAAAACCGTGAGGCTGCTTCACGTACACAAGATGAACTTAATGCACTCTGGGCGGAGGTCAGACGGCGCATGTACTCATTTGTCAGACTTTAGATTTCATGATTCAATGCTGAAGCCATGAATCTCTAGGGTTTTCTAGCACAAGATTGACCTCTGCGTCCTCCCTTCGTGAAGCCGAAACATATGTGTTAAACTGGTTGGCAACAGAAAGGCAGTGCCATGGTCACCCTTTTCATTTGTTATAGTCCATAATTTACAATTCAGGGGTATTATATCAGATGTCTTTGTCAGAAAGCATTATTGGTTAAATTCAATACAAACACTTGACCAGACAACTCCTAGTTCGCCCTCCATCAAGCCCTTGCGCGAGGTATAATTACACATTAATAATATTGTGAGATCCTAAGTCCAAAACTCGGTTATCACACTGCTAGAAGGGCTGTACAGGGTCTAAAAGTCAGAAGTCTGAAGGCATTCAGACTTCTCTGACTATATATAATGTATCTCTTTGTTCCTCCGTCCTGAGACCCCTGACACACACCCTCTTACTAACCACCAAGTACTCTCCAAGAGCCCATCACTTAGTAAAAATAGGGGCCGTTGACGATGTTTGCTGACATAACACTAATATGACCTCAGCATACATATTATTGATTCGACAAGTAAACTTCATGTAGTTGTATATATTCCCACAAAGAATCCCGCGATTAACTTCGACAATATTTACCTACGTATACAATAGAGATATATTCTGGTTCGATATAACTGTTAACTAGCTTGTGAATATTGAAACTAGGCAGAAAAGAACAGTCTTTTATCGAAGATGCAGTAAACTATAAAACACCATCGAGATTAAACGGGGAAGCGAAAACAATTGCGTCTCGTTCTTAGATACAGTTCATGACCAACATGCGGGCCTCTTTTACTCTAGCTAGAGGGTGCAGTCGATTTCTCCTAGTGATTAATATAAGTCCTTAATGTACAGTATAACAAGGGCAGAGATACGGGCTTGGAACTTGATGGTATTTGGAATATGATAATCTACGAGGCCTGCAAAAATCCTCGGCCATCCAATTTCTTCTTGGCCTTGGTGGCTTGGCTCGGCTCTATATACAACTAGTCTGCCAGCCCTAACCGCCTAGGTCTCGTTAGCTTGTTCCATGAAGTGAAGTCAGTATAACCTCACTTTCCAATATTGCCTGCAAGTCTTTGGAGATCATGAACAGCCTGCAATGGCCTTCCGTACGGCCGAAGCGCAAGGCGAACTGCATGCTCAGCTTGTACGCGTGGAACATAGAGAGCCAAAGCCGCCGAGCCATCGCAGCGTCAGTCGGCTCCAGTAGGTATATTTTACTTCGGACTAAAATCTAAGTATTGCTGCTGATTCCTCTCTGAATGTCATATTTCTGTGATAGAGCTTTTAGAAATCAAGCCACCAACTCTGTAACATATCTTGACGGCGATCTTCATCATGAAAGCGACCGGTACATGAAGAGGCATCATGGCGCGAGGACAACACCTGACTGTAGCATGTTGGTAGCAACTTCAAATGGAAGCAGGGTTGTCATGTCACGATAACACACCATGTTCATCTTAGTCGCTCTGCACTAGACCTCTCAGATACCTCAGAATCTTGGCTAGCGGCTACCTGACTAGAACACTATCACGGATGAATCGGATTCTTTTAATCTCCATGCTGTTGTTGGCCCATGACGGTTGCTCGAGCCCCGTTCGATATTTGCAATGGGCAGTGGCTGGCAACCTAAAAAACTGAACAATAATCTTACAAAGCGACCAGACATCCATGCGTCGGTCACACACAGATATCCTACGAAGCATGGTTCATCCGAGGACCGTCTTTCTCCCGGTGTTGCGTTTTCCGCATCTTCGTCACTTAACCATGACCATTATCCTATTATGGATAATGGTCCTTTAGGTCTGATGGTTAATTAGTAAGGTCGGGTGATTGATTACCCTGTACCACGTATCGTCCCCCACGTCATATAATGTTATATAAATGCGATTCCCGAGGCCACCGATACGTTTCCAGCGGCATAAGACGTTGAACCAATCACAGGTCATCGCTTTTCTTAATCGGGTATCTCTTACAAGCCTCTGACTTCACAACCACTCCTCTTAGTATCATGGCTCACAATATCCTTGTCACCGGCGGATCTGGCTACCTAGGTGGCTCTCGTGAGTAACACATATCTCTCAGGGAACATTTGCATGCTACGAACCACTTCTGAAGAAACCTGTTGATAATCACTGGTCTCACACTTGGTAGTGCTCGCACGTTGGCAGGAAACAAACCTTCCCGCCTATAACAAGCTATTTGCGCTTGTTCGCACACCTGAGCAAGCCGATGCGGTCAAGAGATACGGCGCCGAACCTCTCATCTTCAACGCCTTCGACGAAGTTGAAGTCAGGGCAGCTGTGGTTGACAACAACATCTCGATTGTTTACCATTTGATCGCGCCTCGAGACCATGTATCACAATCATATTTCATCAAGGCCCTAGCCGAAGTGAAGAAGCAGAGAGGGCATGATGTCCACTTCCTCCATGTGAGTACTTGAACGCAAGAAAGCGGAACAAGTTCAGTTAGCTAATACAGATTGCGGTGTAGACCACTGGGGCCAAAATATTCTCATCTCATGGAGCTGCACCAACGGACCAGCCCCTGCTTGATAGTGATCCTAAGTTGTACGATATCCAAAAGGCGCAGAGGGCTTCGAACCAGTGGATGCAAGGCGTCAGTTCTCACTCCAATTTTGGGAGCTTCCCGTGGCTGACCAAATTGCAGGCCACCAATATCAACAACTTCGTGATTGAAGAGTCAGAGAAACATGGCATTCGCAGCTATATCTTCGTGCCTTGCATCGTGTGTGAGTATTCTCTTGTTTTTAAACTCGAACACCCATCATGGACATCGTAATGTTAAGATATCGTTCTGTATAGATGGTGAGGGCGAAGGCTTCGGTAACCGCATATCGATTCAGACAGTGGCGATCGTTCGCGCTGCCGAAGCTGCTAAGCGAGTATACAGAGTTGATACCGATCGGCCAGTAAGTGAATTGCCCTCTAGATCTCTGTTCATAGGAAACTAAAGAAACAGACTTGGCCGGTGTGCTATATTCGCGATAACACAAACTTGTATCTCGAGCTCATGCGTAAGATTTTGAACGGCGAGAGTCCTGGCTATGGCAAGAATGGTTACTATCTTGCCGCATCCGGCAGTATTGCAGTAAGTCTCACTATATGTATCGAGCCTTTTTAGCTTACTAATCTTCTGGTCACAGTGGGATGACTTGTACGCTGCTATGGCGACTGCGTTAGCCAAACGTAACGTCATCTCCGATGATGCAGTGACTATGGCCGATGACCAGGCTATCGAGCAAATGGCTCAGGGTCTGGGGTGTTCTAAAGATCTAGTACCACTCATGGTGGGAGGATAGTGAGTGCCATCCTTTATATTTCCCTACACAAGCGTCTTTGCCGTTGACAGAGTTGGTAGTTGCACCTTCACCGCCGATCGTGGATTGAAAGAATTCGGCTGGAAGCCCCTCCATAAACCTGAGCATATCCTCGAATATGCTGACGCCGAGGTGGATTTCATCCTTCGGAACAAGAACTGGTAGGACAAACGACATTCAAAAAGAGCCAATCTTGGAGATGAATACCCAGAGTGCTACTTCTAATAGTTCCCACGTCATTTATTGAGCCTGTACATAAGACACTAAAGTAAAGCTTAATAGCAAATATAATGTGACAACTTCCCCGACGCGACCAGATCATAAGGAAAAGAATCGGATCCAACTCCACGCTCCCACAACTACTTATCCTAAGCCTCCCCTCTCTTCTTCTATACTCCAGTACAAACGATATGTTCAAGCCGAAAAGCTGTCACCATGCGGTAGAGTAGTCCCATCAGCCAAGTCATTCAGTAATTGTTAACGAGACTGCTGATACCATGTCCTATTGTTTATCCAGAAGTGGTTGCATTCCTCGAGAACAAGCGCGCCAATACGGTAGGGGCATCTTCATTGTCGATCACACCAGCCATTGTCATGACGACTCTAGGCAGCGTGTTGAGCAAGATCTTGTCCAACCACACAAACGGCACAGCCAGGATAGAGAGGAGGTAGAGGTCCTCGTTCATAGACGCAAGGAGGGCTTGCGTAACCTTCGCCATGGCGAAGCTGAGGATCCGAACCTTAACGAATAGCCAATTTCCCTTGTTGAAGAAGCTCCAGGGAGCTTTCAGCAACAGGTGGTAAAAACCGAGCTCTGCCAAGAACCAAACGGAAGCTTGCCAAAGGAATGCCGTGAACCAGTTGCCATCCGCGCTAGCGGGAGTCGACGCCATGATGTTTTTCCAGAAGAAGGAGTAAACCAAGACCCATAAGCCCCAGGAGAGCCAGTATGTGTCAACATAGGAGGGCCACAACGGCCAATCCAAAGAATATGCCGCCCTACCGTTTTCGAGCCAGTAGTATCGGCAGTACGGCAGGATGCCTCCAGACATACGCTTCCACAAGATTTCCTGGAGATGCTGATCGAGAGATGTGCCGTCGTCTGCCTCGGCGTGAATGAGACCTTGGTAGTACACCACCATGCACCGGGAGAGAATGTTGATGCGCGTGCCCTCGCCCGTCTCCTGTATCTCCCGCGTGAGCGCCGGCTTGATGTCGAGGATGAGCTCGCCGATATTCTCGGCCGTGTACCGGGTCAGCTTGGGGAAGACGGCGTACATGACCTTTCCACCGCGGCGGCGTTGATGGTCCATTAGGCGGTACTCGTTCTCGTTGACTGGGAACGGCTGGTACTGCGATGAGTCCTCTAAGTCGCCCATCGACTCCACGATCTTGGTGACCGTGGAGTTCTGGTTATTAGAGCTGAGCTCAGCGATGACGCGCCAGCGGTCCTCGTGGCTCTGGTGGAACCCTTTGGAGTGCTGGTAGATAGTAGAGTCGGCGTGCGCCTCCTCCTCCCACTGGAATCGCGAGCCCGGCGACGCGGACAGGATGTGGAAGATGCTGGGGGAGATGGCCATGCACACCTGGAAGTACCCAGCCATGGCGAGGATTGTGTGTATTTCTTGGTAGAAACTGGCTTGCTGCGGACCGGAGGAACGCCCTGAGCCGAGAGCTACAAGCGAGAGAAGAGGCTGGAAGATGAGAACAGTCTGACCCGCAAGCATATCCACCGAGTCCCAGAAACGATCGGGAACCAATTCAGTACCAACTGCTGCGCGCGCAATCTGGCGACGACCTTCCTTGCGTGTAAAGCCTATGAGACGTGTTAGCGTGACTCTAGAATTGTCTCGATGCGGAGATTGTGGCATCTCCGTGTCTGTAGATATCTATGAAAAACAATGGTCAGGTCACCTTCTTGAAATGCCCAGTGAGTGTCATGTCGGTCTAGTTCAGCTGAGAATGGATCGGAGGCACCAAATAGCAATGAGCTGAAGATCTTTTTCTCAATGATCTGTGCCAAGATGCCGACACAGAGCCACTTGCGGTGACGAGGATCATTTAGGATCTCATTCCACTCGACGTACCCGCTGTCTTCATGAGCCACGAGACGCGCATACTCTATGAATTGTTCCGTCATAGGCACCTGCCAGGCTGAGATTTCTTCCTTGGTGTCTCGCAGGTCTTCGAGACGGACATCAGCCCCGAACCATGTATCGGCAACTTCACAGATCTTATTATATAGAGTCCGGTAATTGGTGCGGTAGAAGTCGTCATCGTAGTCCGCGGGGTGCTTGAGCCGCCCGTACCATTCGGTAAAGTCAATCCGGGATGGGCTCCAGTCCTCCTTGCTCATAACCTCTCGCTGCCAGGATTCGACTGTCGTCCTAGGCTCTGTTGAGGTGGAAGATCTCGTCGTTCCCCATGTGCCGCTGGGTGGCGGCGTGAGGCTAGGACGGGGATCATTCCCTGTGAGCCAGTTGACGAATCCTACTATAGCCCCAGGTCTTGTTTGTACAGTTTCCGGGATCCCAGCCCATATAGTGCTCAGACCAAAAGGCGCCCAACCGCTCTTTGAATTTCGGGCATTATGCCGTGCAGCTCGAACCCTGTTGTAGAACGGTCCCCAAATCAAATCAGGATCGGTTGCAGTATAATATTTAAGAACATCCAAGAAGGAATAACCAAAGGTTTGGGGGGTTCGTCTGAATGTTCTTTTGGTTCTTGTGTACTCTACCGATGGCAATGTCGGTATTGTATCCCTAGAAGTCTCCATGATGCTTCAATGACGGTTTTTTTTTTCTGACGTAGCAGGGTCGATCTTACCTAACCTAAGGGTCCTTGACAGATACAAGACTGCACGAAGTTTAAGAAGACTTGCTACAAGGAACTATCAGGCAGGTTTATTGATAAGGCACGCTATTGAACGAGATCGCGACCATTAACAAAGACGTATCAGACAAAGAAGTTAAGAATACACACCTAAGATCATCGATGCTATAGCTGCCTGCTATCGGACGTTTCCGTGCCATGCTACCGTTTTCGGACTGTGTTTCTCTTTAGAACCATTCGAAGGATCCAGCAAGACTAGACAAAGCCCACATGTTATCGCAAACTCAAGGACCGCAAATTCTTCACCGGAATTATCTAGATTGGTCAACGGGGAGAAAGTAAGAAAAAGAAGAGTATTATATTATAAACCCTCTACTGCATCCTGCACCTCCTTGTCATCAAAACCGTACCCTTTCTGTGTCATAAGCTAAATCCCACAGCGCAGCCCAGCTTTAATCTTACAGTTTAGACCGCATTAGACAATTGTGTCTTATAACTGTCTCAGATCGAATATTGGGCTCTTATGCATCCATTAGGGAGAAAACAGCACACCTTAGTAGCCTCCCTTCCGATAATTTTGAAACTTATTATTTACTGCGGGGGCTGTTGATAGGGCTGAGGTACTTGTTGCTGGAATTGTTGAGGGGGCTGTTGCTGGTATGACACGGCTTCCGCTTGCTTGGGATAATATGCCTGAGGTTGTTGTGGTTGCATTGGGAGTTCAGACGCAACTACGGGCGCCGCACCAGTCGTACGGCCCGGCATAGCATGAAGGCCAGCTTTTCGGTGGCGATGAAGAGCAATGCTATGGCATATCAGAGCAGCAAGATAGACAACCCCTGGCTCACGTTAGTAAAATGAGAGACCTGCAATCATTCGATTATCTTACAGTTGAAAGCACCAAGGGCTGCGGCAGCTGCGGCGATCGCACCGTATGCAGCATAGGCAGTATAGTAATAATCATAGTAGTAGTCGTAGTAGGTGTAGGCAAGCAATAAAGCAGCTTGAGCAGCGAGGAGGCCAAAGGAGACGAGCCAGAAGATAACGTGGAATATATCTAAGCCGAGGATGGCCCAGTAATTATACGCATTGGGGGGGCCAAAATGAGCGACAAGGCAGTAGATGCTGGTTATAAAGCCAACAATAGACTATGAATAGAAGTTAGCAAGTCGTTTGGAGATCCAGCGGGCTTCGAAACTGACAGTAAACAGCATTAGAATCCCACCAATTATGGGAACGACGGCTGTCAAATACGCCGACAAGCCTAGGCAGATTGTCCCTAGAATCAACTGGATAATGCGAACAGCAACAAATCCCTTGGTGTAAAGGGGAATATGCTCTTTCCCGGCAGGGCGCTCGGTAGGGTACGACATCTTGCGGAAGTGAGGTATAAGTGTTCAATGTCAACCAGAAGAGATATCAAAAAGGAGAGCTAAGAGGGAGGTAAAGAATGTGGACGATATTGGCAACCGTATGTGTACGTATGTAATATATACGATAGCAAATGTGGCGAGGAGGAGAAGGTCTAGAGACTTGGCGAGGAAATCAGCTTCATTTGAAAGGTTCAAAAGAGGCCGTTCGGGCGGCTGCCGGAGAGCAACCGACCTACATATTATACCGTAGGCACAGGCTGTCGCGTGAGAAGAGAAGCACTTGATGATGTGAGTGGGCCTACATTGCGACTTGATAGAGACTTGTGACTTGCTCGCAAGGAGCTCCCAGAGGTAAGTAGAGTAATGTACAACCTATAAAAAGAGATGCTGTTGCGCTAGATGATGTGGCGCTTGAGCTGGAAATGCAGGATACTTGGCTCCCAAGCTAATCTCAAAAGTCTGTCGCAGATGCAGGTCTATCCAACGCCATCGCTATGCCAAGCGGACGATGAAAGAAGGCAAATATCCACTAAACGTACAACATGATCAACTACTATGTACGTATGCCTCACTCAACCAATATAAGTTAGACACAGGATGAGCATTGTTCGGGCATGAGTAACGAGCAGAACATGGTCATACATAGTAGAGAATCTGATTCCATACCCTATGTATGCTAGGTATCACATAAGGCAAGGTCGGCGGGATCACAACGAAGGTCAAAGACCCAGAAGACGCCTTACATGCGGGTAGGTAGAGGATACCGGCACTGTAGCGGCAGGCATTTGGGTGTGGAGGCCACCTTGAGGACGCTACTGTACAGGGAAGGAATCGTGCTTCACTAGATCCAGGTTACTGCGGCTGAAGACGAAGTCTCGGGGTGGTATATCTGTGCTGATCATAATGGCCAATTCAATAGGCTTTGGACAACCCTCTTCCAGGTGGACCCATGCACATATGGCTTGTCACATATCCATACTCAATGCTTCGCTTGAAGGGTCCTTATTGGGGAGCCTGAAGCCATTCGGTAGTTCTAGTGTATGAAGTAGTCAACGAAGAAAGGTCCGCTTCATTTTGATTACAAAGGACGGCACTTATAGCGTCGGTGCAAGAAAATATCATCACTAAAGGTTTATAAGTGCCCGTAGTGAGCACTAGGCGCTCTGGTGTATTAAATCAACATGAGGACGATGTTGAAGATTAATCGTTCCTATGTCTCACTCTTTCTCATAGATACTACTTAGTACTAAGTAAGGGGGGATTTCCTGTCTAGACAGGAAAACTTAAGCGACAAGGCAACGCACTAGGCAGACTTCATACTCTAAGTACTTAGCATGGGAAACTAGGGAGACCGTCCAAGGCAAAGAAGGCTAAGCGGGATGAGAGGCCAATGAGGGCGCAGCCGTTGGGCTTATTCCATCGAAGAGGAGAGGCCTGCGCGTAAGCCGGTCTAGAGACATGCCGCAGCTCTTGGCTTTAGATAAAATTACATACCCTACGCATTGTACTATGTAATCTGAGAGTTTTTCATCGGCAGTATATTTACTACAATACGAGCCTGCCGCTATGTTCGTCGAAACATTATGACAACCTTATCATTGGCAATTATATAGAATGATAATATAAAAAAGTGTAGGAATATGAAAGACCTGAATCCAGCCCGCCGGATCCCTCCACTCTCAAGTGGGCGGGCGAGCTATCTACACTGCCCCTAGTCGATCTAATGCACGCCATGCTAACTCGGGCATCAATGTCTCAGGCATAAAACAGTTCCGGTACAGCGGCTTTCAGCTGTATCAGCCCCAGGGTTTGGCGAAATGAAACGGTTCTCATATGAAGGTGTCTCCTCGCGATATAGGTATTCTGTACTGAGGTGTATTTGTAGGAATGCGCGATTGGAACAAGATGCATGAGAGGAAAGCCAGCCAAGGAGTATCAAACTGGAAAGAAGAAACACTTGTGCCCCCTCTCGTCGCTCTTACACATGCCTCGATACCACAGCTATGCGAGACTATAGCATGGTTTGGAACCGATCCATAACACACCAAACAAAGCTGGACTTGCATCTTGGGGGCATTGTCTCTGCCTCATAAGCAGAAACACTCTTAGAGTTCGGGCGAGACCCCAATCATCGTGCCCTTTCTCTTTCGCGACCTATTGCTTCATACGGGTGTCACTATAGGCCACCCCCAACCCTATGTTAACGGCTTAGTATCAAAGCTCACACACCATGGCAATCGGCCAATCGTGCAAAACTAGGCGCATGAAAAACACATGCACCTGACCGTTCGCTATGCTAATTAAGCATACTGCATCGAACCGTGCGTGCCTCTTGTACTTCGGGACTAAGATAACGGTATCGCAAAAGCGGCTCGTTACGCTATTCACATGCGCAATGCCTAACGAGCTGAGATCCAAACGTGCCAGTGGCCCCTGAGGACATGAGGCGACTGAAAATAATGGTGCTTCATTTAGTTCATGAGACTCAGCCCAGCTCTGAGTGCTAGGTCTTGGCCTTTCAACCAGTATCGTACATGGCCATCCTTCTCTCACGGGCGCTCTTCTGTCATTCATATACGCCATTAGGCAGCTTCGAGGACCCCATATGAGCCATCATCTCGCTCTCTTTGACACCTGGATAATGCGCACTTTTATAGCTGTTTTATAGCTGCTTGGAAAGGGTACCAGTGTACAAACTCATTAAAGCATATCTACTGTACGATATCTTCATGCCTCACCCCACCATGATAGAGAACTACTGCAATTATCATGTGAGTAATAGCCAGTTCAAGTGCCTGGGCTCACGGGACTAAATCTCATGTCCATTCCGAAACCCCCCAATCAGAGGATCTCATTTCCTGTATAGTGATGAGCAAACAATGCACCAGTTTACTTCAACGAAGGCGCTGACTTTACGATTCAGTGACGTCGCTGGCATCGTAATGTCAGTAGTCCGAGTAGCCGGAGCTAATCTTCTCAGGCTCATCGCCAGTGTTATTGCCCTCGTACTCGACGCATATGTCGCTAATGTTACTGACGATAACGTTGCTGATGGTGACGGTGTCACCATAGTTGCAGTTGATACCTATTTTCACTTGAGTTAGCCTGGAGCTGTTACATCCTGTTCCATGTCGCTAGGAAAGGATTCCTTTCCTTACCAACAGGGGACGAGCCAGTAGAGGCAGTGATGCCGTCTAGAATTACATGGCGTTCGTACATATTGTCACAGTTGCCGCAGCTGCGGTACAGCTTACCGAAGTCTTCGACGGGGAAGTCGCTGATGCTGACGGTACCGCCACCATTGTGCTGGATAATCTTATCCTCAGCGCCGTAGGCGCCACCGCCATTGACATCGGTTGTGTCGCCCTCGTTCTAGTTCTTAATCGAGAATGCGTCCTCGCAGACAGCGCTCCACCGAACGTTGGTGAGGGTGCAGGCACCCTTTCAGTAAACGCTCTCAATCTGGTTGGGTTCGTCGATGACATTGGACAGCGAGCCGCCCTCCTCAATGTGGAAGATGGCCTCCGAGTAGCCACCCTTCACCTGCCCCGTATAATCAATTCCACGGTTGTAGATCACCATCCCACCACCGAAGGACTCGCCTACCGCGATCGTGTATACTTCCGCGATCGTGTATACTTCCGCGAGCGCCGAACTGCCGGAAGGCCGGAAGGTCACGCTTGGTGACAGGAGCCCTAGGCAAGGCTGTAATGACAGGCTTTGATGTCGCCGAGACACCGAGAACGAGGCTAGAGGCTAGAATAACAGTGCACCGCATTTTGGTGAAAGTAGTACAAGTTGGTGATATCCGAGGGCATTTAAAGAAAGGCTAGGCAGTGAAGATGATGGTGAAGCCTCGAGTCTGGCCAGAAAAGATGTGGTGTACCGCCTTCGTGGACGAAGGCATCACTATCATCTATATTTAATGTTGACATGGTGTCATTAGCCATGGATGAGCATCTAACTTCTGTTCAGGGGTGCCGTGAGGCATCAGTGGACAACGCAGAATTGCTTCTACTACAAGCTTCCGGCAAATCAGTCAGGATCGAACAACCCACACGTATATGTTAGTCTCATCATAATGCCGATCATCAGATTCAAGCTGACTAGCTCAGGTCACCAATTAGGGAAGCATTAGACTCTCAGATGGTGGAATATCTCGCAACAATAGAAGATACCTTGATATCTGTGACGCAGCTGGTAATATAGATATTGCTAGTAGACATGGCTCTTAGCTGATCTACATTATTTTTACCCATTATAAGACATTAATCCAGTTTCATCTTTTCATTTGATGTAGATTTTTACATATAAGGTTCATATCGCACACGTCCAGGTTCGAGCCTTTCTTCTGCGCCGGATAGGCCCAGGAAGGACAGATCCGCATCATCTCCAAGTCAATGGACGATTTTGATCGGTGCAAATTTTCAGTCTGTTCACTATCGCCACATGGGCTGTCAGTCCTCGGGGGTTTTCTGAAGCATGGCCCAAAGAAGGCCAAGGGTTTGTTGAAAAAATGAAACTAGTTCTCAGCGCTGATATTACCTATTCCCACCAATCAAAGTGGTTCTTCAATAACAGTCCTCACTCACTGCCAGGCCTACCATGACGGCTGCACTGTGAATCTTCCCCATAATCCTCTGGTGGAATGTTGAATAGATGATTGACTCTTGAGAACATGAAAACCCAAGCTGTTGGTGCTCTTGGCTACGATCCCGGCCAACCACATAAAATAAGACTCTACATACAGCAATGACTATATTAAACGTAGTTAATTGATGCTATGAAAGTACGTGGGAATTTTCAGTAGTCATTCTCTTTGTGATCTCCTCCTCTAGAAGCCAGCGGAAATGAAACACATTGCATGTGTTACAATTCAATATAGCCGGGAGCTGTACACAATAAGTACATGAGAATTCTTGCTTGATATAAAGACATGCTGGCATATGTAGCGATACTACTAGATAGATGAGTACCCCGGTACATCTGCTTTCACTAACAAGATGAGCTCCATCTTGTTAGTCAATAAAAGTTCCTGAGAATTCTGCTCCTTGAGTTTTAGATATAGAGAATTACTAGCTAGACCATAACTAAAGGCAACTGGACATTGAATTGCATAGAGGCACTGGTACTCATTCCTGATACTCAGCAAGCCAATGTACTATAGAAATAATCATGGGGAACATTGAGGATCATATGGGATTCAATGATATCCCCCGAGTCATTGAACTGAGTATTAGGTCTGATATTTTTCTGCAGCAAAGGCCACACTTAGTCCCAGCAATGGAGACGTATCTTTCCGCATCTACACCAAGAAAGATGGGTATTACTACGCATTGACTTCGTGGTCAGACATTCACGTACACCATCTATGCCATTCCCAATACCTCGGGTGCTTAACAAACAGCTTTCTCACGCTAGATGATCAGGTTTGGCCAACGGGGATGCGTGTTATACCTACAAACGGTGCACGTGTGCTGTGCATAGACCAGATATCAAAGCAAACTACACGCTATCCACACAAACATCATCAGTACGTACCACTGCCATCATTGTCTACGTGCTTCCATAGCAATCTGTGAATAATGTGTGTGGTTTTTTCTTTCCTGAAGGCGGTGTGGGCAGTTTACTGCCACTTTGCTTTCCAATGCCTATATATTCTTTCAACTTTCCAAACTGTCCTGATCACTTCCTCTTCCCTTTCTCTACAAGGGTGTCAGACTACAGGCTGATTGCTTGTGGCTATCTTTAGACACCCTGACATTCTTCCAACACTATCATCATGCATCATTAAATCGTCTTGAACCATCCTGTTATGCAATTCTTGTTACAATATCTTGCTTTGCTCTTCAGGTAACCATCGTCTATCCTCCTTTGACTTGTGTGTGAAGCTGACAACATAGTTACTCGGCGCCATTTTCTTCTGCTTGGTAAGTCAGACACTACTGACCTGTATTTGCCTCGGCTCATCCTCTTAGGCAGCTTCAGCTTCAGCGCCATGCTTCGTCCTTGTGCCCGCTTGGTACAGTTCGTCGTGAACGCAGAGTCCTCCTGCATCCCGTTATCATTTGGTCGTCGCAAGTAAGTCTTACCTCCAGATTTATCTATCCCATTTCTCCTTTTCGGGATGGTTGTCAACATAGGTAACAATTTACTCAACTTATACTAACTTTCTATTTCAGTGATTCCTAATCCTCCACGAAGCTTCCAGAGCGACACCACAAGAGGAATCATTGAGCACCAAAAGAACATGCACCTAGAAAAGGTGGTATCCTAGATTTTTCATACTGGAGGATTCTGCCGTCACCAGGCACAGGCCCATGAAGAACTGTCCCTCTCCCAATAGCATCGGTCCACCTCTCTGTTTGAAAGAGTAATGGATTCCCAAACTCCTGAGGATATCACACATTGACTAACCGTTGGACAGAGACCCATTGTGCTGTCAACCAATGTACCAGTCGCCCAGGATGCTTCTTGTCTATTGCTCCCCAAGCACGCACAAACACATATCAAACCCTACCTATCCACACACCCACATGCCCATCCACATACACGCAGTCGACTGAGACGCCGCCAAGCTCACCCATCTCCATCATCCAACACAAGCAAAAACTACCCCAAGGATGAGATGGATATGCTTTATCTTTCTCTAGGGGATAGTGATCAGCTACAAAGGAGAGAGCGCCAGCGATAAAGACAGCAGGCCTGGCCTACCACATCAATGTCCCTGGCCAAGAATCCCAGCCCGGATCAGCTGTGCTTCCCACCAACAGCAGATCCTCTCATCAAGATGGAAGCCGAACGGCCGTGCCAGTCCCGTAGGATCCGAGTATTATGCCCCAACGCATACCCCGACCGCCTGCTTGGTGGGCGGGACATGTGTTGATGGATAATACTCGGGCCATTATTGCCTGCTTGGTAATAATGGCTGGCTCTTCGCCGGACGGCACGAGTGCGAGATGCCGCCGCTACCGCGCGCTGTGCTGCAGCTGGCTTGCCAGAGAGCGAAGCGGAGGAAGAAGATGAACATGTCAGTATCTACCGTTGAAATCAATGCTCTCTATGATACTAACCAAAAAAAAGGAGACGCAGCCCGACCTCAAGAAATATATCCTGATCAAGGAATTCTGGACGGTGGACGAGACTGATTGGCCAGCGAATGTGGCTGATATGGCTAAGCTTACTCCTCAGAGGACAGTAGAGAGAAATGGGGGAGTCTTTCTAGCCAAACCCAATGAACTCTCCACAACAGAATCATTGAGACGCCGCGCCCACACGATACGGGACCAAGGCACTGCCGGTATAGGGCATTGGGGAGCGCTCCTGCGCCTCAGGGGCACCGACCACTTCATGATTCTGTGGAGAAGATTACATGGGATGGGCAAGCGTGCAGTTCATTGAACAGCTCAGGACAAAGGAGAGATTGGAAGGCCACCTCATAGCCAATTTCGCTATCTGGACTACCCATGGCCCCAAGTGTTTAGTGGAAGTTGCAGCAACTTTCGTGCGAAAAGACCTAAGACGAAAAAGGTCGAGCAGCCATGCCAACAGCTATCTAAACAATACTACGGGCCACGGGTGGTCATGTGATTGTCGAAGTGAAGAGCAGCACGGCCGGGAGATACCTGGGAAGGCATAAAGCAACAGGTGGGAGAAACAAGAGGAAGGCAATGACGAGGACAGGGACGACAAGTCCACGGGCGATATACGTCGTGTTTTGGACATGAAATTGGATTGGACAACTCTTGGGGGTACATGTGACGGTATCTGGTTGGTACAGCTCACGTAATAATGATTCTACACTTTTGGCGCCAACGACAATACATACAATAAAACATAAAACTGGTACCATTCTTATTTTCCACTTGTGACTTGGCATAATGAGACACTGCTCTCATCATGCCTCGGGCATTCACTAGACAGACTCCTAACATTGTGGGCCTTGTCTCATGCAAGAATCACAGCATTAATGACAAAGGTTTGCACCTCTCATACTACCTAGAAAATAGCTTCCAGACGCAAATTCCATGATAATATAATACCTCATGGCATTGCCTCCCGGATCAACGGAATCCCAAGCTTAACACCACATACCAATAATGGTCCCTATCGTCAACTTGGACACTAAAGTAGGGAAAGCTGTAATCTGTCTACTGTTTGAGGACGGTTCCCTGCGGTAAAACACAGGTAGAAAAAAACACCCCGACTCTTATCCGATGAACTTAGGGCGTCTAATCTAGGTTTCCAAGCATACTTAGTTACGAAGCGAAAAGAGACTAGTGACCATATAGAAATCCTTCTACACACGACAAGGAAGAGAATGAAAGGTAATGAATAATGTTTTCTTATTGCCTACACTATGCAATAACCTCGTACACTTTCGTCTCCATTGAACACATCTATGGGCTAACTCTGAAGGTCAGCGCCTCGGATCGTCACATTATGTGGCTCTATCAGTTCGTGCCCTGTCTCCCATCCAAGTCATGCACACGTATCCAGGATCAGCAGAGGAAGACGAAACCTCTGATAACCCTATTACATACAGATTTGAAGACCAAGAAAATCGAGGCACCGAGTACCCCCCAATGTCTATGACTACTTGTAATAGTTTTCAAAACAAGTAGTTAGCCAAAACAAAAGCCCGAACAGCCCAACATTTCTAGCAAGGCTAGAGAGGCCATGGACAAAATTCGTTTACAACTCCGGGCAGTGAGTGGATATGAAGAAAATAGTTAAGAATAAGCAAGAACACCCCTCGGTTACGGTAATGTAGAAATGTAGTATCAAAGCAGCCGATACCGTAACAATGCGAGGTTGAAAATAAAGGCGGGTGACAGCTGTGTCGACCAGCCTCAACAAAAAAACATAAGCCATGGGGTATCTCATTGAGTTCTGGCAAAAGTTTGGAATGCTTGGAACCGTAAATCACGGAAAT